TTCCGATGGTGTGTTGACTTTGAGGTTTTTAAAGCATTCTGTGAACAACTTCAATCTGTGGGGTGACCTCTCGTCAAGGTGAACGCCACCTGTCTGAATAAGAATTCCTTTTTAGGTAAAATGTACAACAAGTATTGGCGAAACTAAACGAGAAACAAATAAGAGTTGAAATTAAACCAGCATTTTATCCACCCCCGAAATGAACATAAATCCCTAACGGCCCATTAAGAGATCTGAATTATACTGTAAGGGTTAATTTATTTTCATGACCCTGCGGTAAAGTAAGGACTGGCGCAAATGTTGTACAATTAGTCAAGGTTTATTAATTCAGATTAATAATGGTTCGAAAGTAATTCAAGGAATACATCCAATTATGCTCATGCATCCACGTCAACTGTAGTTCACAACGATTTAAGTCGACCAAACCAATTGTTGCGGGAGAGATAGAGGAGCAATGTCCAATTTAATGTCCCATTTGAATCCAAATATAAGTCCTCAAAAGGGATCCAAGTATTGTTGTGTGGTTTCCAGTTCGATATCACCCAAGCTTATCCAGGTATTATTGTACGTTTAGTGTTGTTTAAATCGTAGCCTTGATCTTCCTTCTTTGGAAGCTGGAATATGGTTTGCGACTCCGAGTTCCAATTTCTTCCTTCTCCCTTTCTCTTTCGAATCGATCCCCGTCTATACCGTTGATTAGGTCACCTTTTTACCTGTTGTCTTTTGCAAGGTGGTTCCTTTGTGAAAAAACAGACGAAACACAGCTCTCTCCAGCTGCAGACCGTGAGACTGATAAGGAATGAAAACAGTTTGTGGTTTATAAACAGTCTTTTGTATCTCCTCTTTGAGCAAGAATCTTCTTTGAAGCTAGTTACAGCCAACTCCCCTCATATGAGATGGATCATATGTTCCAAAAATATATATAAACCTCGCAAATATATGTTGAGATATTATTTAACACAATAATTACAGAAATCCTCCAATACTGCTGTCTGAGACACCACAAACCCATGGTTCCTTTCGTTGTTGGGTGGTGTGTGTTGGTTCTGTCACCGAAACCAGCAAACAGCTAAATAGACCTTCCTACCAATCTTGGGTTAACTGTTCAACGACTTGCGCTTACTTATATAGCGCCAGCAGCAGTCACTTACACCTTCCAACACGGTCCCAAAGGTATTGTTACCCCTTTGCCCCACCCTCTTCCCCAAACCCCAGGGGGCAGTATACACCATCGCAGGCGGAGAAATACTCCCCTTTGTTGTGATCTATCAGAGGAAATGAGCCAAGATAAGATTTTGCTACGAGTCTTTTAATCATGTTAGTGAAGTGCACGCAAACACATAGGCTGTTCACCCACCCGAACGGCAATGTAATCAGGCTCTATTTACAGACTTCTTAGAATTATTGGCTGAAAGCTCTATCTGCAACACTTTCACACGACCTCTTGCATTTATTCAAAGCCATGTTTTGAAGCGCTGTCATCTGGCGACTGTGGTCCCGTTCAACACACATCGCAAACTTTGCTGTCACATTGAAAAATATCTTACTTTACAATTTAGTGCATCCATTTTTCTCCTCCCTTTGATTTTCTCCCCCAAAGGAATTTGTTGCTCCGCTCACTGGGGTGCAGTTTCATGCTCTCTGGATGTCCTCGGTTAACCCCTCCGCCCCACTCCCCACCCCCACTGTTCACGTGTGAGCCTTGGCAATGAGCGTTAGGAGGTCACTTGACTGTACAGCCCATCACAGCCCAGCCTCAGCTCTCCCCACCCGGCTGCCACACTTGCCCATGACTAGTAATGATAATAATCCTTGCATTTGACACAGCGCCTTATCACGTCGTCGAGACGTCTCAAAGGGCTCCACAGAATATATTGTAACGTGAACTGACTGTATATTTTATGGACAGGACCCGGCAGCCAATTGCGCACGGCAGCGTCCCACAAACAGTCGTGGATTGGGTGGGCGCTGTAGAGGGACTAGGAGCAGGAACCCTGGCTGGATTTCCTTTCCCTGCCCATAACTTTCCCATAGAGCCTCAGATGAACCGGATTCATAAAATTCAGCTCTATCCGCTCCACCTTCGCAGCTGCCTAAAAATTGTCCTGTCTATTTTGCTAATAGACTGTAACTGCCAAAAACTTTCGGTTATCGAAAATCAGCCTAAACATGATACGAGCGCAACCTGGTGCAAAGAATTAACCGTCGTGACTGTCTTCAATGAAAGGAGTCCAGAATCTTAGACAGTTTTATGAAGGAAGAGTCGCAAGTTCTTCATGTTCCCGGCAAACTTCTGTGCCTGACCTTATAAAATTCCACTATTGGCTCTGCCTTTGGAGCAATGCCGAATCCAGGAAATGTCTCCTGCAAATAATTATGTTTCAAAGTATCTTGCGATCTCAAGTGGTTCCAAACGTAACCGAATGAAAAAAGCAGCTTTTACTTTTGCTAACGAGCGTGTCAGTCTGGCTCAGTTGATAGGACTCCCACCTCTGGGTCAGAAACATGCGGGTTCAACTTGGGACTTGTAGCTTATAGTCCACTACCCGGCGTGAAGGGTGCTGTATAAGTTGGAGGTGCCATCCTTCGGATGAGATGTTCGATAAAGACGTCGCAACTGCCTGTTCAGATATAGTGTCAAGAGCTCATGGTGCTACTTGAAAAGGGAAGGCAAGTTTCTCATGTTGTCTAAGCCAACAATCCTTCCAGATAAAATTGGTCACTGATGTCACTCTTTTTGTGAGAATTTGCCATGTGCAAAAACTGGCTGCCGCATTCACCTACGAACATACAGTCATTACAGCTCGTAAGCATTCCCTCTGACACTTTGAGATGTCTAGAAGACGCGAAAAGCACTGTATCAAATGCAAGTTATTATTATTATTATTATTATTATTATTATTATAAATCAAATGCAGTGACTATTAAGTACATTTCTTGTACCAAACGAAACAGCCTTTTAAAACTATTAACAGCTATCTGGTCATGACTAGAAAGTCTATGTCTATGAACTACAATAAAACTTGCTTCTACACTTGAAATGACCTTTATCTGAGCGGTCTCCTGGGATCAGTGAACCCATTCCATGTCAGGAGATGGTTTGCAAAAGAGCAACTTTAGTACAGTTTCGATCCCTTATCACTACAACTTCTTTGAAAAGGATGTGGTGAGTCCTTTACAAAGAAGGCTCGACCCAATTTAGTAACAATCTAATAAAAATAAACCCTTTGCATTTGACGTAGTGACATCAGTAACCAGTACACTGGGGGGAAGTGACCCTTTACATTTTTTTGGATAGTGCCACAGGATCTCTAGACCATAAGCACAGTTGAAGACCTTCCTCTCGCGATTACGGTCACCTCTTCTCCCACTCTCCCCTCCACCCCCCCCCCCCGGGCTCGGGGTCAGGCTCCACTGCTGTCAAGCGCTCTGAGATGGGCTCGGTATAAGTGCAAGTTGTCGTCGTTGTGGAATTCACCCGAATGGACAGACAGGACCTCGGTTTAACCATTGGTCTGAAGGGCGTTAGCTCTGACAGGTCGACCTCAAACACTGCATCACAGTGTTGGCCTAGATTCTGACTTCAAAGCCCCCGACATAGGGCTGGAACGCACAGCTTGACTCAGTTGCCAGAATGCTACCAACTGAGCCAGACAGCATTTAATAGAGAGCATTCTTTTGTGAGCAAACTTGCAACGTAGCTTTCTTTCGAATCGCTGTGATTTTGGGTTACAAACCGTCCCAGTGGGTTTGTTTATTAGATTTAATGCTCTACAGACATACAAATTACTGGTTAGTGGAACATTGCTTAATGTTGGCATTATTGTCAGCTTGGCTCGTCTCTGAGCCAGAAGCTTGTAGGTTCGAATCCCACATCGGCACTTGATCTCACGTAGTCTAAGCTGACACTCCAATGCAGTGTTGGGGGGGAGAGGGGGGGGTTGCATTGTCGGAGGTGCTGTCCTTCCGAAGAGATTTTAACTGAGGTCCCGTCTTCCTGTTCAGGTGGATGTTAAACATCCCAAGACTCTATTCGAAAAGAGAAGGGAGTTTCTCTCTCTCTCCCGGAGTCCCGGCCAACAATCCCCCCAAATAAAATTGGTCATTTCGTTTCATGGCTGTCCGTAGGACGTTGCTGTGCGCAATTGTGCTGCCGTGTTGGCCTTCAAATACACAGTCACTTCACTTCACAGAAAATCCCGAGACATCCTGCCGACGTGATAAGGCGATATATTAAATGTAAGGATTGTTATGATTATTATTATTATTACCTACCAGTAACATAGACCCACAAACAACAAGAAGTCCAATGTACTAGAATTCCATTTTCGTTTGAAATGAAATAAGTTTCAAGGCAAGCAAGAGGACCCTTCCCCGCTACGGGGGTCTGTGCAGATTGTGTGGTCTGCCATGCCAACTGCTTGCCCGTTAACGGAGCCCAGAGGGAAATCACATTCATAGTAATAATCCTTGCATTTGATACAGCGCCTTATCGCGTCGCTGAGACACCTCAAAGCGCTTCACAGAATATACCGTAAAGTGAGTTAAAGTAGGCACTGTCCGGCATGAAACGCACTGTATAAATGTAAGTTGTTATTGTTGTTGTTCAATTGACTTTATGTTTTGCAGACGAAACATTGGTGCGCACATTCCACAGAATATAGCGGTGGCTTTCATGTCAAGCTCTGGAATCAATCAATTGCCTTTAGGGTGGGGTGTGCGTGTTGTGTGTATCTGTGTACATCTTCAGGTCTGGCTTTTGTTAAAAACTGGTCAGGATTTCAGTTGACTCACTGCTTCATTTCTTTTGTATGTGGTGTTTGTGTCCGTGTGTGTTTTGGTATTTTTTTTAAATGGAAAAAAAATTCCTAAGCATTTTGTGAATGTTTTATGATCCTCTGGAGAAAAAAATCCTGGAAATGTACCAGTCAGGAACAGGAGTGGGAGGGAGGGGGTGGGGAGGGAGGGGGTGATTTAAAAAGAGCCTTTTGTCAGTCAGTCAGTTGCAACTGCAGAGTCATACGGATATGACAGGAGTAACGTTTCGAACAGCACATTCTTAAGAGCAGTAACGTTAAAGGTAATCCCTTTCTTTGCCTGGATCGCATTGTGTAAGGGAGAGCAGTGTTAAGCGGGTTTGAGTTAAGCATCATTGAGTTTATACCTTTGTGGTTTAAACCACTGGACTGTATGTGTTGTGTGTGTGTGTGTGTGTGTGTTTGTGTGTGTGAGATAGAAAGAGAGCAATGCACATTATTTGCTGAATCAAAGTACTTTCATTGTTGAATGCAATGATCCATTTCATTTTGGGCTGTGTGTGTGAAAGTTGATTTCTTTGTAAGTATAGTATAGTATAGTATGTATGGGCTGCTTTTGAAACAGAGAGACTAGGCAAGAGGAAATTTTGATCAGATGTAATCATCGGGTATTGTATTTCAAAGCAGCTTTCCATTTAAAAAAAATGTACATTTAATTTCTCCCACCGTGAAGTGAATACACCACAATTCACTTTACAGTACATTCTGTGAAGCTCTTTGAGATGCCTCAAGGTGCTAGATCAAATGCAAGCATTATTGTTATTATTATTAATTATAATTCTGCACCACAGTTGTGGTTGGAATGATTTGAGACCAATTCGAGGGATACACTCCACAGCAACAATATCAACAACAGCATTTGTATAGCGCCCTTCAGTGTGGGGCAGCGTCCTGGAGGGCTTAACAGTGGTGGAACCCGACACTGAGCCAAAGAATGAGGGGGGAGGTGACTGTAGGCACCGTCGAAGAGGAAGGTCTTCAGGTCAGATCAGAAGATAGGGAAGGAAGAGGGATTGAGGGAGAGAGTTCCAAGGTTTGGGGGTGTAGTGGCTGAAAGCATGGCCGCTGATGGGGGAGTGGAGGGGATGAGGGATCAGGTTAGAAGCAGACAGAATCAGGTTGACAGATATAAGTGGTTTAAAACGTTTTGTTTTCAATGGGAAATCGCGAGCGAGGAAACAAGTAGCTAATGAGAAACCTTTAAAGGTTGTGTGTTTCCGCGTGTGGTGGTGAGGAGAACATGTGCAGTATTTTTTTAGGTATTTTTCCGCATTTTTGGGCTGTTTTATTTTCCTATCCCGTCTGCCCCTAATTAAATAAGTTGACTTTATTGCGCTGTATTTTCAGTCTAAGCAGGAGGATAATTTTACGACGTGACAACAATTCAACGACGTGACGAGGTGCTATTTGAGCCCCCATTTTGTCAGCCAGTTGTCTGACACATAGAAACTCATCACCGTGGGTTTCACATACACAAGTCACCTATGCATGGGAACTTCCGTGTCAGCAATGCAGTGTGTTGCCTCTCCTTGTCGAAACATACCTTATTAGGCGCAGGTTGGCAAGGTCCAAGACTCGGGGACCGTAGAGTGTGTGTTGGAAGTTAACCAGCAAAAACTGCATAGCTTGTCATTGAAAGCTCTGTCTGGTAAGCTTATCCAGCTACGACCACCCTACCTGTTAAGGTTTTGGTTTGCCAGGTTAATGGGAGTTGATTGATGAGAACTCTAAGGCTAGTGTCCTTATATTAGTTCTCGCGCACATCAATTTGCTTCAAACTAGCAGGATCATCAAAATGCAGTGGTAATGTTCAAGTTTCCGGTTTCCTGAATGCCTAACAAGATAGAGTTTTCTGTAGTTCATTCCAGTTGACAGCTCCGGAGATAATGGTGCAAGGCTTGAGAAATTGGCAAGGGACCTTGATCATGTGCGTTGGAGAGAGAGGTGAACAACTTGACCCGACAAGAACTTGAGTTTCCCACAGTGTGCTGTTGCTCTATTCGTTCCAAAGGGCTCACTTTTGAAAATGTTCACTCCTTTAGTGGATCACCCCATGGATACATACAAGAAGGAATAAGATTCATCATCAATGATGAGTTCACTCCTCCACCCCTCCTGATCCCAACCACCAGCTCGAGTGTGGATCCCTGACTGTCCAGCGCCTTGGGACCGTTATTGTGAGGTGAAAGGCGCTGTGTAGATGTAATTTGTGGTTGTTGTTAAATTAACACCGACACTGACTGACAATGGAACATTGGAATCGAGTCAGCCCTCTGTGGAGGTCTCGGTAGTTTAGTTCCTAAGCCAGGCGGGTCCACAGTACTCTAAAGGAGCTGCTAATGACAGACCAGCCAGCCTGGCTCATTGGTAGGACGCGGAGAGACAGACCGGCCACTTATGGCATGGATTCTTTCCACTTGGCTCCTGTCCTGCTCCTCTTAGTCACAGGGTTGTGGGTTCAAGCCGCACTTTGGGACTTTGAACTCCTTGTGGACGTTTACTGAAGTCTTATTCTGAAAACCCATATCGATCCACAGTGCTCAGCTAACTTGGGAATATGGTTGGTATTTTAGATCAAACATTTCATGGAAACCAACAGCATTCTCAGCATTCCGCGCAAGTTACCCTAGTGACTGGGATAATCAATTGTCATCTGGTTGAGAACCACTCCAATGTTGCCTTGCTAGTCATGAATCCTTCAAGGCCAGGAAACATCAGTGGAAAAGTAAAATGCACTCGTTAAACAAGCCCAGATGTGCAACAATATCCTCTCGGTCAATCGCATTGAGCATCTTACAACTCTCCTTAAGGTCAACTCGCAGACATTAATTTTGGAGGCTCGTTGTTCCTCAGAGCTTAACCCTCTAACTCTCAAGATCATACTTAGCAACACACTCAACACTCTTGCCTCTGAGTTGCTCTTCAGTCATCTCGCCTCTGGGTTCAAGCCCCACATTGGGGCTTTGAACCCACTTTGCCTAGGCTGACATTCCAGTGCGTTGTTGAGACTGTGCTGTGTTGTTGGAGTTGCTGATCTTCAGATGAGACATTAAACCAAGGCTTGATCGGCCTGTACGGGTGGAAGTTAAAGATCCCACGGCGCTATTTCTCACAGTGTCCTGGCCAACAATCCCCTTATCCCTCGCAGATAAAATTGGTTGTTCACTTCATGGATGTTTGTGGGACATTGTGGGACACAAAGGCATCCAGTCACTACACCGTGAAGTACTTTGCGACTACCTCCCAATGTGAAAGATGTGATATATATATAGAATCATAGAATCATAGAATTGTACAGCACAAAAAGAGGCCATTCGGCCCATCGAGTCTGTGTCGGCTCTTTGAATAGAGCAATTAATGTCAATCCCGCTCCTCAGCCCCTTCCCCATAACCTGCAAACCCGTCCTCCTCAAATACCTGTCCACCGCGTTTTTAAAAGTAGTTATCGAATTGGCCTCCACCGCCCTTTCAGGCAATGCGTTCCAAATTTGAACAACTCGCTGCGTGAAAAAATGTCTTCTCACCTCCCCTCGGCTTCTTTTAGATACTATTTTGAATCTGTGACCTCGAGTCACCGACACACCCACCAGTGGGAACAGTTTTTCCCTTTCTAACCTATCAAATCCCCTCATGATTTTGAAGATCTCTATCAGGTCCTCGTAACCTTCTCTGCTCCAATGAGAATTGTGGAGTCCTGTAGCTCAGTGGTTAGAGCACTCGCTTTGCGAGCGAGAGACCTGGGTTCATTTCCAGGTAGAGGGCGAAACCTTGGGCAAGTTTCCTTACTCCACACGGAGCCTAATAATAATCCCTCCAAAAAAAAAACAATAATAAATTGGTCATTTTCAATCTACGACTGTTTATGGGACATTGCTGTGCGCAATTGGCTGCCGCGTTCGCCCACAAATATACAGTCAATTCACTTTACAGTGTGTTCTGTGAAGCGCTTTGGGAAGTCCTCCCGACGTGAAAAGTGCAAGGATTATTATTATTATTAATAATCCCGGCCTCTCCAACCTTTCCCCATAATCAAGGTCCCTCATTCCTGATACCATCCTTGTAAATCTCCTCTGTACCTTTTCCAATGCCTTAACATCCTTCCTATAGTGCGGTGCCCAGAACTGGGCGCAGTATTCTAACTGAGGCCTAACCAGTGTTTTATATCGGTTAATCATAACCTCCTGACTCCTGTACTCTATGGCCCTATTTATAAAGCCTAGAATCCCATTGGCCCTTTTTACAGCTTTATCTCGCTGTCCTGCCACCTTCAAGGATTCATTTACCTGCACCCCCAGGTCTCTCTGTTCTTTTGCCCCCTTAAGATTGTATTACCAGTCTGTATTGCCCCTCATTCTTTCTACCAAAATGCATTTCTCCACATTGAACCTCATCTGCCACGTGTCGCCCATTTTACCATTCTGTCTATGTCTTCCTGCAGTTGGCTACTGTCCTTCTCACTGTTTCCCACCCTACCTAACTTTGTGTCGTCCGCAAACTTGGAAACGGTACTTGCTATACCCAAGTCCAGATCATTTATGTACATTAAGAAGAGCAGTGCTCCTAATACCGATCCCTGGGGGACACCACTGTACACTTCCCTCCAGTCAGAAAAGCAGCTGTTTACCACAACTCTCTGCTTTCTGTCTTCCAGCCAGTTCTGGATCCATGCTGACTTATCATTATTATTATTATTGTTATTATTATTATTATCAATCTTGTTGCTCTGGCAATGTGGTGATTCATGTCATACTGTGTGACGTAAAAGGTGTTGAGGATGTTTCACGAGGGAGCTTAAGGCCAAAATATCAGCACTGTGCGATTTGTGTTATTTTGTGCTAAATCCCAGGGAAAGCTTTGGCTTCCATGACCCATTATGACTAACATTGTCCTAGAAATCTCTGCCAAATGGTTCACTGAGATCCAAGTGGGTACAGATGGTGATTGGATTGGAACTTACAGACTAGAGGCCAAAGAAAGGGTAAATTCTTTAAATTCTCATTCAATTCCTATTCTCCTTCTACCCTGTGAACCTTACACAATACGTTAAATGTATAACAATAATAATAATAATAATAATAATAATCCTTGCTATAGCACCTAATCACAGAGGAATCCTGTAGCTCAGTGGTTAGAGCACTCTGGTTGCTAGTCGATTTGTGGATCGCTTTTCCGGGGGGGTAATAATTCCTTAAAAAAAGAATTTTGGTCCCTCAATCCACGACTTTTTTGTGGGCACAGCTGTGAGCAATTGGCTGCTGCATTTCGCCCACAAAATATACAGTTAATTCACTTTACAGTGTATTCTGTGAAGCACTTTGAGACGTCTCGAAGATGCGGTATGGCGCTGAATCAAATGCAAGGATTATTATTATCACCACATCCTCTAGACATCTTCTATTATCTCCTTTTCTGATGCTAGTTCCCTCGCTGAACTTAGCACCATAGAAAACGATAGAAATTTACAGCACAGAAGGAGGCCATTCGGCCCATCGTGTCTGTGCTGGTTGTTTTAAAGTGAAATCCTTTCGGTCCCATTTACCTGCCCTTTTCCCCGCACCCCTGGATTTATTTCCTCCATCCCCGTTCCCCCTGTTCTTTCACAGCAGCGTTATTAATTCTCCAGGAACTTGCAGGATCTTCTCCTCAACTATTTATCCAATTCCGTTGCTGTTATGGACTCGCCTTCAAAAATTATTTGTAACCAGTCGTTCAGTGTTCCACCAACCCTCTCTGCACGGAACAGAAAAGCCTTGATCCTGCGTTGAGTGTGTCGATCTCCCTGTCGCAGGCTGATTGTGAGGCACTGTCTCGCGAATGTTGGCCAGTGCAGGAAAAGAGATAAATATTTACAAGTTAAGTTTGGGTGAAAAGCCACAAATGGCGAGAGAACGCCGAGCAAAGATAATAATAATAACAATAATAATCCTTGCATTTGATATCGCGCCTTATCACGTTTTCGAGACTTCACAAAGGGCTTCACGGAACATACTGCGCAGTAAATTGACTGCATATTTTGTGGGCGAAAGACAGCAGCCAAATTGCACACAGCAGCTTCCCACAAACAGACGTGGACTGAGTAACCAAATTATTATTATTTTTTTTTAAAAAAATGTTTTGATGGGATTATTACCCCTGGAAAAGCGATCCACCAATCGACTAACAACCGGGTTCCTACTTACTGCTAGGTAACCTGGGGTGGGGGGTGGGGTGTGGAGTAAGGAAAATTGTCTAATGGTTTTCCCTGCCCGGGAATCGAACCCAGGTTCTCTAGCCCTCATGTCTTGGGGGTCCAGCCAGCTGCGAGAAGCACTTTCTCCTTCCCTGATTCTGGTAAAGAATCAGGGGCAGGGTTGGCAAGAGCCAAGGCTTGGGGGACCCAATGGGTTGGTGGTAACAGTAGAAGATAGAGAAACAAATGCATTCAAGGAGAAAAAAAGAGAGCGAAGAGAAAGGGAGTGGTTGGAGCAATCATTCGCGATCCTCTGCAAAGAGAGGGGAAGAAAAAAGCGTAGTGAGTTTATACAAACCATCAAATTAATTGCCGTAGTTATCAAATCCCATCTTTGGTATGAAATAGCAAAGTGACGATATTGAGTATGTTTAGCCTAGTCTAGTTTGCTGGCATCGCACAGTGTGTACGTAACAGTGACCAGTGTCAAATGCTGAAATATCTTTGGCATTCCTTCCAAGAAACCTTCCACAGACTTCGCTCCGATGAATTTAAAGCTACAGACCGAATCTTGTGAGAAAAGTTTCGATCTGTACCCAGTGTTTATTGCTGTCTCTCTTATTACCCCAGGAGGTCGAAGAGCGACTGTCCGTATCGCATGTTCGGGAAGAGTTAGAGCCGGGCGGTTCGAGCACTATGAACGGAACCACAGCGATCCCGACAGTGAGCAACTGCACGTTGACGCCAGAGAACCTGAACACAACAAGCAGCTCCCACACCTCGCCCTGGTTCTCCACCGTCTTCGCAGCAGTGGGGATCATCTCCAACCTCATCGCCTTCGTGGTCCTGATCAATGCTTACAGGAAAGCGCAGAGCAGGTCCAGGTCCTGCTTCCTGGTCTTGCTGTGCGGACTGGTGATGACGGACTTCACTGGGCTGGCAGTGACGGCGTCCATTGTGCTCACTTACCACCACACCCGGTTCAGTTGGGAGGTGGTCGACCCTCACTGTCACCTGTGCGAGTTTCTGGGCTACGCCATGGTTTTCTTTGGACTCAGCCCCCTGCTGCTGGGAGCCACCATGGCGGTGGAGCGATTCCTAGGCATCAACAGGCCCTTCCTGCGGACCACCAGTTCGTCGAAGCAGCGCGCCTGGCTTGCGGTCTTCATGATCTGGCTGTTCTCAATGATCGTCGGACTCTTGCCCATCTGGGGGTTGGGGCAGTACACACATCAATGGCCCAAGTCCTGGTGTTTCTTTAACATGACATCCGAGGGGGTGACATGGCCTTCTCTCTCTTGTTCTCCGGGGTTGGCCTTCTCTCCCTGGCCATGTCCGTGGTCCTCAACACCATCAGCGTGGTCACGCTGTTCAGGGTCTGCTTCAGCCGCGAGTCCCTGCAAAGGAGGCGAGACCATGAAGTGGAAATGATGGTGCAACTCCTGGGGATAATGATTATTGCCACCGTGTGCTGGGCTCCACTGCTGGTAAGTGTCACTCGCCTATCTCCCACACTTAACCACGCTTTGAGACGTCTAGCAGACGTGATGAGGCGCTATATCAAATGCAAGGATTATTATTATTATTATTAATATTATGTTCCTCCCTTAATGGATAAACTCCCCCCCCACCCCACCCAGGTCGGGTTTGAATCCCTGACTATCCATACATAGATACACGCGCAAGTGGTCGTTGCTGATTTAGCATCAGCATTTGTTACGGGGCGGGTTTTGGGGGGGAATAACTTTAATAACTAAATGCGAAACGAACATTTACTCAAGTACCAAAGTAGTAATAGATGCACTGTAACTCGTGCAGCAGCAGAACGCAACGAAGTAATGGAAAGACAACGGCAATTTCGAAAGGAAATGATGGCCCTTTTTTTGTTGCTTGTCAATTCCCACAGTTTCTCATCATCAAGGTTGCTTTGACAGACAAACCTAAAGACATCGACAAGGCGACCACTCTGATCATGTGTATCCGAATTGCCACGTGGAACCAGATCCTCGATCCCTGGGTCTATATTTTATTCCGAAGATCAGTCTTGAAGAGGTTCTATCCGAGTCTCAAATACAGGCCCTCGATTTCATCCTTGTACCCCGCCATCAACGCTTCATACAGAAGGCGATTCACACAGGCATCGGTCACACCCACGTTGGAGTAGAAATTCTGTTTGGGTCTGAAGTGCTATTTATATTTACATTAAAACTGCTGTGTGCAATCGGCTGCCGTGTTTTGCTCAAAAATACACGGTCAATTCATTTTCCAGTATATTTAGTGAAGCGCTTGGAGCCGTCTCGAAGATAATAATAATCCTTGCATTTGATATAGCGCCTTATCACGTCTTCTAGACGTCTCAAAGATGTGATAAGGCCCTATATCAAATGCAAGGGTTATTATTATTGTGATTATTATTATTATATAGCATTTCAGCGTGTCCAGAAGTTCTTAAATACATCAAAGCCTTTTTTATTTGCACTGTACTTTCTTTTGGGAACTCCCAAAAACTTCAAAGGTATGACTGAATGTTACAATTTATATTAAAAATAATAATGAGAGGAATTCGGTCACTATATCCACGACTGTTTCTGGGACACTCCTGTGCGCAATTGGTAGTCACGTTCCACCCACAAAATATACAGACAATTCACTTTACAGTATATTCTGTGAAGTGCTTTGAGACGTCTCAGCGACATGATAAGACGCTATATCGAACGCAAGGATTATTATTATTATTGTTATAATTTGTCAAATTCTGGACACTCTGAAATGCTACATAAATAAAGTAAATCTAGACCCAAATGGAATTGCTCCCCATTTTAGCGCTTTACTTCAGCCATCGAACTACCATAAGATCAGTCTCATTTGCTGTTGAGTTTCTGAATGTGTTGTATGTATTGTAAATAGATCTGTTTTATTGTAATACAGTATTAAAACTTTCGACAAACTGTGGAAAAAGCTGAGACTGACTTAATGGCCGGAGAAGTTCATTTTGAGTCACTGAATGTAGCTATTTACTTTGACCGCATTTTGCTTCTCTTTCCCCCAACCCAAGCCTTTAGCTTTGGCCTTTCCTTTCATTATGTCAGACTCCCATAGCAGATAATAGCTTTCCGCTTGATTACATTGGCCTTTGTTTGTTTTCCTACAGCTCGAGCAAGATACAGGGTGGAATGCATTCCGTGTTTCACAGCAAAATCCTGTGAAAGAGCTTTGAGACACCTCAATGGAGTGAAAAGAGGCCACTGCACATGCCATGCCAACAAATGGAAATGAGTGTTCTCGCCCCGAGTGGGTGTAGGTGTGTGGCGCTGCATTGGCGCTGTGATGGGAGGACGGGAATCAGGGTTCTGCTGTCTGGAAGGATGAGGATCTGATGGACCGAAGAGCTTTCTTCGTCCGAACAGATCTCTTAGGATATCTAATACTGTGAAAGAACTGGCTGTAGCTAGGAAGCGATAGGAGAGGCTGTAAGGAATACCTCTTGCTTCTGCGATCGCTGTAAATGACCAAGGTTGTCCGAGTGGAGTTAGACTGAAACTCCAGATTGAATAATAATAATAATAGTGATCCTTGCATTTGATACAGCTCATGATCATGTCGTTGAGCTTCGGAGGATAAACTGTAAAGTGGATTGAATGCGTATTTTGTGGGCGAAACGTGGCAGCCAGTTGCTCACAGCAGTGTCCCACAAACAGCCGCAGAATGAGTCACCAATTTTATTTGGCCAGGACACATGGAGAGAAACTTCTTTCTCTTTTCGAATTGTGCCAACCTTCTGACTCTTTGAGGCTAGAGAGAGCTACCACTGGTCCAGGCTGACATGTCAGTTGATGACACTTATTGGCTCAGAAACAGAGTCAATGTTGTAAAATGAACAAACAGCCCTATTTCTTCGTGTCCCCTCGTTAAACGGGCATCGCTGAGTCAACCATTTCAGCTTAGACAACTCGCGGTAATAATAATATCCTCTAGTTTCCCAGTCACTGCCATTCAGATGGAGCAACAATCTATATTTATCCTTGCATTTGATAGCGGACCTTATTGAGTCGTTGAGATGTCTCAAAACGCTTCACAGAACATACTGCCAAGTGGATTGACCGCGTATTTTGTAGCGAAACACGGCAGCCAATTGCCCACAGCAGGGGGACTCTTGAAAACAGTCGTGAAATGCCTCAACCATCAGATCTGGCAGGACATTCAGTATCTAACCACTCTCTGTGCGCGTGTAAAAAAAAAAGGCCTCCTAACTTCCCTATGTGCCAAATATCCTTATTGCTAACCATCTTAAATTGGTCACTGAATCTCCGACTCTGCTCTGGATATAGCAGGGTGATGTAAGGGATGGGCGGGTGTGGTTGATGGCTGACAAAGAAGGAGTAGATCAATAAAAACACACACACAATAATCCGAAAACAGTACAGCTCATGAGCAAATTGGGTTTCTGTCTCCATCCGGTTGCCAGATCAACACTTAACCCTTTAATAAACACCCTTGCATTTGATGTAGCGCCTTATCACGTCGTTGAGGCGTCGCAAAGCGCTTCACAGACTAGACTGTCAAGTGGATTGATTGCATATTTTGTGGGCGAATCCCGGCAGCCAATTGCGCACAGCAGCGTCCCCACAAACAGTCGCGGATGGAAGTGACCGATTTATTATTATTTTTATTTATTAATATTTTTTGAAGGGTTTACGACGAGCGGAAGAGCGATCTGCCAATCGACTAACAGCCGGTTGCTATTTACTGCTGGGTAAATGGGGGGGCGGGGGGGGGTGGTGCTGGAGTAAGGAAACTGTGTACCATATGTAAGGATTATTTATTTATCTGTGTGTCTGTCTGTGCACTATACAAATGTAATTTGATGTTATTGTTGTGGTTGTTGTTATTCCATACGAATGACCAGTCATTGTATTTCCCTGTGAGAGGGATGGATTTTTCGCTGTCGCTCGCCAGGTATCAGTGTCCGGCAAGCTTTCCCTCTCGCTAGTCCAGCTAGAACCACCCTACCCGTTAGTGCTTTGGCTTCGCAGAGTTACCAGGAGTTGAGTGGGAGGATCCTGTGGGAGGATTCTGCTTCCCAGTGACTGACTAACTGGTGACTGTGGCGTTGGAACTGAGTCAATGAGATCACACGATTTAATGGGCAGTTTACACCATAGAGCCATTTTGGAAAGGGTTTCTTAGAGGAATCCGGGAAGAGTAATTGTTTTCCAGATGTTTGTGCGTCTCCGTAATAAGAGGCGATTCATCAAAAAGACTTTTGTGTCAAATAAAGAGGATTCAGTGTCGTTTGCGAGCGTCATGCAGTAAATATTCGAGCTTGTATTTCTCCCCTGGACTGGTTAGAGGAAGGTCGGGGGGGAGTGGGCGGTGGGGGGGGAGGGGTGCCTGAGTGTAATTACCTTCACTTCAGCCGTTAAATAAAGCGTGTGAAGCTGCCAGGCCTCAGTCCAGTTATTATACACAACAACAACAACAACAACAAAGTGACATTTACAGAGCGCCTTTCACGTGGGAAGGACGTCCCAAGGCGCTGAGCCACAAACTGGCCCAAGGCTGAGCCACAGCAAACCCCTAAAGCTGCGGGTAATGAAAAGACCAGTTGCATTTCGCAACCCTCAGATGTTTGCTGCTTCGCGTACAGGATTGCGCACCCAGAAACGTCAGTCAATTCCTTGCCTGGCATTGAGACAATAATAACACAGACTAGTCTGAGTGAGTGGCCTGTTTCGATGCTGTAACATCCAATGTCATTTGAAGAATAATTGGGAACGATCCCTTGTGCTTGACACAGCGCCTTTCACGTCAGCAGGACGTCTTCACAAAAATCATTTCGCCCACGAAGCACACGGTCACGCCAAGTTACTTCGTATTCTGTGAAGCGCTTTGAGACGTCTTAACGGCGTGATGAGGCGCTAAATCAAATGCAAGGATTATTATTATTATTATTAACGGGACATTAGTGAAGCAAAATGACTGCGTTTATACGGGGGGAATGTTGGCCAGCTCACTGACGTTTAAGTCGCTGTACTGCATCCAAGAATTACGTAAGGATCGACCTCCCTTGGTGTGTCGAATACTATTGTGTCGATGCAGTGGATTGCCCACCTGGGTCCACACTAGGTTAGGAAGCGTTAAAATAAATACCTTGCACAGCCCGCTTTTATTTTACATCCCAAAAGCAAACGCTAGATTACTTGCGAGCGCGTTGCTCGTTACAGGTCAACCGCAAGCCAAATGCAACCACGCAGTGGGTGTTAGAAGGACGTTTAATGAGTAAAAACAATTTCACACGCTATGCAACATCAGCCGTGCAGAGAGGTCAGACTTTGTGTCAGATTAAAACCCTGCGTGGGTGAAAAAAAAATACCCTGCCCGCCCGGAATGACCCTGTGTCACAGACTACAAGTCCCTTCCTTCCCACCAGTGGATGCACCTCGCTTCTAAATCAGGTCTACTTGTGAAAACACATCATTTTTTTTTTTACAGGGAAAATACCTCCAAAAGCACCCAGCTCAGGTTAAAACACTGTCTGCTTCTCCCCTAGGCAGCCCGTTCCGTATGTTTACTGTTCCCGCAGGTTTGCTCTGAACTTATTGTCCAGTACAAGACAGACAGCTTCATTTCTCTGAAATTGGAAAAAGTCGCCAGTGAAGAGATACGGTTTCTAAACTCGCCCCTAAAAGGACAAACATCTGGAACCGAAATATTCTCCCCGATGAGTGCTTTCAAGACCGTCATGTCCTTGAGGTGATTTTGTGTGTGTGTGTGTGAGAGTGTAAGTGTACGTGGATCTCGTTCTATCTAGATCATCTAATGGTAATAGATCACCCCGTGACAATGTATGCGTTCGCCCACAAAACACACAGTCACTACTATTTACAGCAAATTCTGAGGAGCGCTTCGAGACTTCCTCCTGAAGTGAAAGGCGAAGTTTGTAAGGCAAGGATAATCACAGTAAAACTCGCATGAGTCTTATTATTATAAATAGTATAACGGCTTAGGCTGTACGTTCAGTTTCCTATCAAAACCCCTTAGATTTCTTTGCACCAGTCATATTAATCACCACCTTCTCCTCTTCGACCATGTCTTCCGACATCCTCCTACCCCTCCCCTTCCTGCCCTCCACCCCTCCTGATCCCAACCGCCTGCTCGGGTCCAAATCCTTGACTGTCCAGTGCCTTGGGGCGTCCTCCCGACGTGAAAGGCCCTGTGTAAATGTAATTTGCTGCTGTTGTTGTTGTAACACTGCTCCCCTATCCTGCGCAGTGTAGATTATTGATTAAATCGTATTTTCTACGAATGAGAGAGTTTGCCTGCAACTCAGGCTTCGCGTCAGTCAGGTTAAATGTTATTGTCCCGACTGATTACCACTTATGTGAGTTTTACTGTATCATTCTTTACCGTTATTCCTTTTTCAATTGCTGCTAAATCGTACAGTGATGGTAACAAGACACCTGCTTGTTTGAAATATAAGCTCTTGATTTTGCTTCAATGTACATAGTTTCCAGAGAAGTAACTAGTTAAATGAATAAGTACAACTTAAACTACATCCATAGGAAGTCGGTCAAAGCTGGTTGAATATCATTCGCACAGGGAGACTCACTTAGGTTAGAACCGACCGTTTTTGGCATCTCCTATTGCTCCCCAAACGTCAAAGACAAATTCATCTGGAAATGCGAAATCCCCGAGGACTGAGTCCAACGCTTCGGCAAATTCATCCGGGTTTTTCTTGTCTTTCCCGGTTTCCACCATTGTCGCGGCTAGACGGGAAAAAGGACCCCCAAAACAATTAAACATCCTCAACATTTGTGGTACGCAAGAGATGTAATGAACTCCTTTCGCATTTAGGACCCACAGGAACCTAGGAACAGGAGGAGGCCATTCAGCCCCTCGAGCCTGTGTTCCCCCATTCTATTAGCTCATGGCTGATCTGTACCTCAACTCCATTTTACCCGCCTTTGCTCCATATCCCTCGATTCCCTGACCTAGCAAAACCATTCACATTTACACAGAGCCTTTCAAGTCAGGAGAACATCTCAAAGTTTGCTGTCCTGGGCATGCGAGCTGGGGGTGGGAGCTGAGGGGGTGGGGGGGGGGGGGGGGGGGGGAGGGTGGGAGATGACCCAAAGTGGGGTCAAAGAGTTACGTCTTGAAATGAACCTTGAAAGAGGTGAGGGAGCAAATGCTTACAACATAAGAACACAAACAGCCAAACGGACGTGAGAGACCAATTCTATTTGGGGGATTGTTGGCTGGGACACTGGGAGAGAGAAATTCCCTTGTTTTTGATTAGTTCCATGGGATCAGTGTGAGTTCCAAGTCTTGACATGGGCCTTGAACCCATAACCCCCTGTCTCAAGAGCCAAGAGTCCTACCGACTGAGTCGGGAAAGCTGATCATATCCCGTCTCCTTCTCCCACCATCTCCCTCCCCTCTATTGCATCTATCTGGACTAGACATTTGGAGGTTGAGAGGGGAATCTTGTCCCCCCCTTCCCCCCCCCCCCCCAACTCACAATGGAGAGAACGTGAAGCACTTTGAAAGTCTCGAGGACACGGATTGAGTGCCCACATTTTTTTTGAAGGGACTATTATCACTGAATAACCATTTGTTTGTGGGGAGGCCCTATTTAAGCCAAGGGACGTGAGCAAAGTTATTTGCCAGTGACAATTTTGGCAATTTTGATAATCCTCGCACTTTGATACAGAGTCTTATCACATCATCGACCCATCTTCATTGCGAATTGTAGGCATCAGTACGTTTTGTAAGTAAATGTCTGGGATCTTTCTGAGCAGACAATGTGGTTTCTCCTGGTGTCCTGGTAAACAATCCCCCAAATAAAATTGATCGTTCAATTCACGGCTGTTTATGGACCGGGTTTGCCTGCAAAATCCACAGTCACTACACTTTACCGTATATCCCGTGTTGGTTATTCAATGATAATGGTCCCTTCAAAAAAAAATGCGGTCACTCAATCCGTGACTGTTTGTGGGAGACTGCTGCTGAGTTTTGCCCACAAAATATACAGTCAATTCACCTTACAGTATATTCTGTGAAGCGCTTTGAGACATCTCGAAGATGTGATAAGGCGCTATATCAAATGCAAGGGTTATTATTATTATTATCATTATTATTATTATTATCATCCTTCTGCGTATACATGACTCACCTAACTCAGCGTCCCTGATGCCCATGTAGTTTTCCAACAGATCATCTATTTTCTTCGTTGCTCGTTCCTCGAACTCTGTTGGCTGTAGGAAGGGCAAAGTAAAGCCTTTACTTTACAAAGGCAGATCTATCTCTCCATTGAAACCACAACCCGCGAGGGAATCAGACCGAGAGTGCCGTCGGCGTGACGTGTCCTTTCCTTGCCGGAACCACAGAAATTTGCAGCACGGAAAAAGAAGGCCATCGTGTCGGTGCCGGCTCTTTTAAGGAGCAATCCTTCCATTTTACCTGCCTTTTCCCCCAGACCCCTGTAGTTTAGCCCCTGCTGGATCTACCTGGTTCCCTTTTGAAGTATATAATTGCAACACCTTGGACCACTCGGCCATTCTGACATGACAGCACCACGAACAACAACAACTTGCATTTCTATAGCGCTCCCACTTCCCCCCTCCCCACCCCCCCAACCCCACCACACGTAGGGTAACGTCCTGGAGCACTTGAGGGAAGCGTCTCGGAGCACAGAGCCTCGGGGTTAAAGTTTGCGACTTTTCGCAACTCTCTCGTCTTCAGATCGCACCCGAAAATTTCCCTCTTCGACCGGGCCAAAGGTCACCTCCCCTTTTCTCCCGGGTTTGGGGTCGAACCGCGCCACTGTTAAGCGCACAAAGGCCGCAACTGTAAATGCGGATTGATGTTCTCTTGCACTGTTGGGTTCGTTTCTTACGCGCGATTGGTTTCGAAACAAAGCTCGCATCGTTTGGTGTCACCTGGTCACGAGGGTGGCAGTCAACCCTACTCCACCTCCAGCCAATCTGGAGGCAAATATCTCTGATGGTTGTTAACTGGGCGACAATAATAATAATAGTAATAATAATACTAACAATCCTTGCATTTGATATAGCGTCTTATTACGTCTTCGAGACGTCTCAAAGCGCTTCTTTTTAGGGCAACGCGCGGCAGCCAATTGCACACAGCAGCGTCCCGCAAACAGCCGTGGATCGAAGCGACCGTTTTTTTTTCTTAAGGAATTATTAAGGCTTACACCGCACTAACCCGCGTGAAGGGCGCTACGTAAATGCAAGTTGATGTCGTCGTTTTGGTTGATGTGCACAAGAAACACGAGACACCTGCATTTGCTTTGTGAATGAAGACCATGGCTTCCGTGTATATCAAAATAAACTCACGCAGTATTACTTACAGCCTCCTCCACGGTCGCAGGCCCTTTTGCCCTTAAACGCAGTGTTTCTCTTCCACTTCCGACTTTCGCTTCGCCTGTGGACTTGCCAGACTTGGTCCGTCGAGCGATCATATCTGTAAAACATTTACAACGTTTAAAGTCCCACCATTTCTACGAACGGTGAGGTTACTTTACTCTGGACCTCACGTCAGTGCCTGAAATAAAACTGATTGGATCCAAACGTATCTCGGGGAGGTCAGGGCCGGCAAAATGAATGCTGCCGGGGATTGAAATGGTTTATCAGGAGATGCGCGCAGCAAAGCCAGGCAGCCTGAAAGGGTGTCCCAAGGTGTTCGAAGGAAGTCGAAGGGAGAAGGAGACTTCTTCCGAGTTGTGAAGGTAGTGGGTTCAAGCCCCAGACAGTCCAGGCTGACGCTCCAATGCAGAGGTACCGGCCTTCGGATGAGACTTTAAATGGTCGCGTCTGCCTGTTCAGGTGGACGTTAAAGATGGCCTTGGCTCTTGCTAACCTGCACCTAATTCCTTGCGGAATTATCAGCAGGATGTGTCCCTCCAGGGAGAGAGAGAGAGAGAGCGAGAGAGAGAGAGAGAGACAGAGAGTGCGCAATCCATTCCAACAATCTGGAATTTCCACATGGAGGTGGGACGCCTGGAATTCTCAGTTTGGTTTGGAGACTCTTCAGCAACGGTGAGGGATTTCGGCATGTGTCAGACACACAGCTGAGCAAAAAAAAAACCCGATAAGATTGTATTTCAGAAGGAAAGAGACAGATATGGGCAGGACAAGAATGCAGCCTGCACAGATTAGCTAAGGTCTCTGACAGCGTAACCCCAAACACTGTTTATACACACTGGTTCCCGTCAGTTATTGGTGTCATTAATCTTGTGAGGTTAGGATGCAGCCAAGAGAAAAACCTTAATCCGCAGAATCTTTGGGGCCCTGCTGGGAACTATATAAACACGTCAAGAGAGCGGAGACCAGAATTGTATGACAGGTGGGAGTGATCAGAGCAATGTTAAGTATGGAGTAATAAGGGGGTGTGTTTATAAGGCAAACCTGGCTGCTAATTTGTGCAAAGCAATATCCCACAAACAGCCATGAAGTAATAATGATAATAACAATAATAATCCTTGTATTTAATGCACTGCCTTATCACGTCTTCGAGACGTCTCCAAGCCCTTCAGAGGATATACTGTAAAGTGATCTGACTGTCTATTTTGTGGACGAAACACATAAAGAACATAAGAATTGCTGGACAAAAAAAAGACCAAGGTCCATCCAGTCAAACACTCTGCCAGCGCACTGCTTTGGAATGTCAGCCGAGACTGTGTGGAGCTCCGAGTCCCATGGGTGGGTTTGAACCCACATCCGTCCTGACTCAGACGCAAGAGTGTTGCCAGAATGAGCCAGGCTCGTTGCGGCTGGTGGAATTTCTGACTTTCAAGGGTGAAATTTTGCAGCATTTGCGAAAGCGTTCGACTCTGGTACCTATCGCAGCAGCCGAGTGATGGAACTAATCATACCTACACGGTTTATCATACCTATTGTTAAGCAGGGACTGGAGGGACTCAGGCAGAGCCGGAGCTAATTGTTGTACCCGTGGTAGATTTTAAACAAAATTTTAATCGTGTGATTGAAGCGATATCCTTGCTGCGGCGTGTGCCACTGCAGACTTGGTGGGCTGAATGGACTCCTCCTCTGCCCTGATGACTTCAATGTATCTGTGTTCCAAACAGGACTTGTGAAATCTACCCGAACCGGTTCAAACGACGGCATTAGGAACTGTATAATACGGTCTCGGTGCAGCCTTTGCGTATGTTTGCACGATGGAACGAGAACGCCAATTTGATGGAGATTTTGACGGAAGAGTTGGGTCCGATTTTGAAAGGTTTTTTTGTTTCGACGAAACGTCGACCAGGCGTTCAGCGAAGCTGCTCACAGATGCCCCGACCGAGACAAACCAAAGCAGGGAAGCAACTTCACTGGCCGCGGTGAATTAAACAATTACGTAGATGCCGTAAATTGTATTGTCAGATAGTCTAAGGGAATCTCGTGTCAGCCTGGCGCAGTCGGTAGTCTGCTCGCCTCTGAGTCCGAAGCTTGTGGGTTCAAACCCCGTCCTGGGACTTGAAACTCATATAGTCAAGGCTGACGCTCCAATGCAGTGCTGGGGGGGGGGGTCGGGGGAATGCTGCATTGACGGAGGTGCCGTCCTTGGGATGAGCTGTTGAACCAAGATTCCGTCTGCCTGTTCAGGCCGATGTTAAAGATCCCACGGCACTATTCGGGAAGAGAAGTCAGTGTCTCCCGGTGGCCTGGCCGACAACCCTCCAGATAACATTGGTCACTCGCTACATGGCTGTTTGTGGGACATTAGGATAAGCTTTGAGCCATTGAGGAACTAGTGATCTTTTAACTCAAGGCCCTGGGGTTTGAACTCAAGGCTCATCGTTCTATCACCTGAGACACAGCCAACCAAAATAGGATCGCAAACTTTGCCAGAAAAAAGGTCAGAACGCTGTGGAGCCTAAATATAGCGACACGTAAATTAAACGAAGAAATGAAGTGATTCATTTTTTTTTTTGAGTCGAGCCAACACGGTTTCTATTTAAAGGCAGTGTCTCACGAGCCGGGCAGTCGACAGACCCGATTCAACAAAGCATCGGAAAGAGACAGACACTGGTGCCCGCGTCACGCAAAAGCAGAGAAGAATAGCCAACACATTTCTGTGTCTAACAGCCCGACTCTGCCTGGGTCAAATGCCTGGGTTAGTGGTCACAGTGGACTGGAGTGACTTCAGAAACTCTTTCCACCTATCTCATTTCGCCAGCAACAAATTAGCAATGTTCAATACCCGCTTGATGTGACAATTACCATATCGAATGCATTATATAGAGGTCTCAGGTTTCGCTCCTGAAAAGACTGTCAGGAGAGAAGTTGCAGCTGGCTCCAGTTTGACTCTGGTTCATGGAGCGTTTTTCACAGAGTCCTGAATTTGGCCCCAATTCTCTTAAACGCAGCCTTGATTTTGATCTGTCAAGAAAAACTGGCTTCTAAGTTTCCAAATTAAGACTGGATTCGGTGAGTTGCCAAATTCTGGATGCTCTTAAAACGCTATGTGAACAGAGTAAAATCTGGACCCAGATGGACTACCTCCCCTGTACTGCCACCTAGTGCGAAACGGACTTTCTAAACTCAGTGACTTCACGTAAAAAAGGGATGCTATACAAATGTAATCTTGTTGTTGTTCACGATCGACGCAGATTGTAACTGCATCTGGTAACCTCACCCCTCTCCCCTGCCTCCTTGACCCGCTTTGCTTTCTCCAGAGACGTTGCCTGACCCGCTGAGCGTTCCCAGGGATCTGCGTTTTTGTTTTACGGATTTCCAGCCTCCTGCGGTATTTCGCGTTTTAGTTTAAAAGGCCTGTTCTTCTCAGAGCAGCTTCTCTGTCGAGCCGTAACGCTTCATCAATAAGTAAAAAGCCGAGCCAATGAATAATGGAAATTGCCTGAGTTTCGCACTGAAGCTGTCCTTCAGACCAGACTTTGTTTCTGTCCCGATGCACAAACTGTAACGAGTTCTGCACCATGTCCGACGCAACTGTGAGGTTCCCTGCAGAACCCTGAAACAACAATTTTGTTGTTTCAAGTCATTGCAATTAATCAACAAGTCATTGCAATTAATCGAACCCCTCGCCGAATCTTCCCTTCTGCTATTTTTATCAACGGGATTAAAAATGTAGTAAGGTAAGCATTTGTTTTCCAAGGTATCGGGTTAGAATGGCAAAGGCATCGGAGTATCTTTAAATACATCTGAAAAACGCCTTCGCTATTGGGGACGTTGTACAATTGCTGAAAGGCTGTGAGACGATGTCTTCAGCAAACCCTTGCTGTAAGCTGTAAAGCTGTAAGCTTTCTGAATGATTAAAGAAAAACTGTTTCAGGTGAAAGCAGCGTTCCTAGAAAAAGAACAGCAACAATAACGTCGCATTTATATAGCGCCTTTCACGTCGGAAGGACGTCCGAAGGCACTGGACAGTAAAGGGTTTGCGCCCGAGCTGGGAGTTGGAATCAAGAAGGGTGGAGGGTAAGGGTGGGAGAGTGGCCAAAGGCCGATTGACCCGCCAAGTGTTCAATGACTCACCGAATGCTTTCCTCGGTTCCACTAATCCGAGTGCAAAGGGCTGACCTTTGGGCAAATCTTTCAACATCTTGGCAACTTCGTAGTGACGACATCCCACCATACTCCGATTGTTTATTGCTTCTATGTGATCGCCGACGCAAACCATCTTGATCCTGTCAATGGTGCTGCCTTCCTTTATCCTCTGGGGGAAATGAAACATCCTTGTTTAGGAAAATAAAATAAAACGTTTCCAACACTCAACTCGCCGTCCCAACACCAACGGGCCATTGCAGAAATAACTGGTGTGGGTCGGAGATCGGGCACTTCATGCTGAGAAATGGAGACATTTCAACTGAGTTTGGGTGAAGTTTCCGGGCTAGAGCGTTCAACAAAGCAGCGCAAGCACAGCACTGCTGCGTTGGAGTGTTAGTGTCAGTAACAAAATGTCCCTTCTCATTTTGTTTCCGCCTGAGTTGCTCATGCGAACGACAGCACCCGCTATCCGTCCCACTGACACTTAAGAACATGGACAAGAGCTGGACGAGAAAAGGACCAAGGTCCATCTAGGGCACCCAGAGCTACCTATGTCCTCTATCCCATAATGTTATTGATACTGTACCTTGATGAAAGCGTAACCCGTGCCATTGTCGGTGATGGTCAGTCCGAGAGCATCTTCTGATTTCGTCACCTCCACTTCTTTCAATTGTCCCCTTACGTGCGCAAAGATAAAGTCTTCCAGTCCGATCTGGCCTCCCAGCAATTTCTGCATGTCCACTTTGTGGGTGTTTAACGTACAGAAGAGGATCTGGCGACACAACGAGAACCATATTAAAGACACACACTGAGGTGACCAAAGCGACTTCAAGGTTTCCGTCTGCTCTTTTGCCCACAAAATACACAGTCAATTCAGTTTACGGTTATATTCTGGGAAGCGCTTTGAGACATCTCAACAACGTGATAAGGCACGAGATCAATTGCAAGGATTATTAGAATCATTCTTTAATCTACCTACGTTTACCTAGTCACTACTCATTAGAATAAAATCCCACGAAGCGCTTTGAGATGTCTAAGGCGCTGTGTCAAGCACAGGATCACTGTCATAAATCAGAGAGCGACCCTCAAATCTGGCTGCCTAGAAGTACACAGTCACTGCACTTGACAGCAATTACCTGTGAAGCACTTTGAGACCTTCCGATGATACTTTGCCTGATATGAAAGAGCGCGGATTGCAATGACAATCAGCACAAATGATAGGCCCTGCCTGGATGTTTCCTACTTTGGCACTACGCACGTCAACATATCGTAAAATATTCAACACATCTTTGTGCGGATAAGAAAATATCGGAGGCTTCGTGAAGGATTTCGCCCACAAAAATATGCAGTCACCCCACTTTGCAGTATATTCTGCGAAGTGCTTTGAGACGTCTCAATGACTTGATTATGCGATCTATCAAATGTAAGGATTATTATTGTTATTATTAAGCATTTATAAACAGACCGACGCTGCTGAACAGTATTTTGAGATAACAGCTAAAGCAAACTGAGAGAATAAACCTTTTGGGTCTGAAACTTTTCAGTCTGTCTGGATAAAATACGGCTGCTCAAGAGTTTGTATGCTATACAAGTTTGACATAAGCCATACTTAAATGTACGGTACGACTTATCTGCGGTTTTACTGAACCAAAAAAGCAGCCGCCGCCTGAAGTCACGTTCCTCACCCACCTCTACCGGCGAGATCTCGAAAACCTCCGCGATCTTGGTGTAAAGTTCTTTGACGTTCGTGAAGCCCTCGATTCTGCCTGTGGGGCTGCCGTGAGCCAGCTGCGTGTGGAATATCAGCCTGGGCCTGATGCGGGGAGTGGGGAGAGCGGGAGGGTGATGAGCCCCAGACTCCCCGGTGCTCTGGCCTTGCCCCTGTCCTGGTCCTGGTCCTTGTCCTTTCACAGACGGACTCATTGCCTTCTCCTCAGCAACCCCGTTCTCCATCAGCCCGCTCTCGTCCGCTCTTGTCGCCTTTGTACATCGTCTCCCGGATCCACGCAGCATCTCGCTCTGTGCTGTCGGGTTACCAGACGTTGAATTAATGATGGCTTCGCCACACTTTGGTGGGGACGTACAGGGTAACCCGAGCCTGGGCTGGTCCTGCGAGCAATAAACTTTATACGTCCTTCGCCAAGTCATCCAGTTAGTGTAAGAGGATATACCACCGGATCCTTTGATTAGTATGTCAGCACCAACACAGGTCGCCAAGAGATAAACCCAGAACATCCCAACCTTTGAGACTGCGCCTCATTGCAGAACTGACTGACACATCGATCCAGCGGTCTAGCACCTCCATATTGAAGGTGTTAATCAGAACGGTTTAGCGCGGAGACTCAGCCTTGTTATCGCAATACGAGGGGAAAGTCAGCCCTCGGAACAACATGACGTTGTCACTGTACAGCAGGCGTTGGTGTCTTGAACCGTCCCTGCTTTGTCGGGCGTGCCGAGCTTCGGAAGAGATGTCAAACTGAGGTCCCATCTGTCTGTTCAGGCGGATACTAAAGATCCCACGGCGCTATTCGAAAAGAGAAGGGAGTTTCTCCCGGTGACCTGGACAACAATTCCCTCCCCCCCCCCCCACAGTAAAAATTGGTTATTCACTTGGTGGCACATCACTAAGTGCAAGATTGTAGTGTTCGCCTACAAAATACACAGTCACCACACTCGGCAATAAATCCTGTGAAGCTCTTTAAGATGTCCTCCCGACAGAAGCGTTTATGACGTTATTCGTGTTAGGTTATCGTATCTTATTGCAGTAAAACGATAGCCGTGATCTGTCTCCAGTACAATACCAGCCTCGGGGTCACATTACACACATGAAACACTGTCTCTAATTTGGAAGCAGTGGCCTCGAGTGACTTCAAATAATTCTGGCGAACATTGTTCTCACTTCGAACTAATTTACCCGAATTAGCAATTAAACCGAAATACCCTCCGGGCACACAATGTGGAAAAGAGGGAAGATTACGTTAGATTATTTTCTGACAATCAGCAAGTGAATAACTCGGTCACTCGGACACCGAGCACATCGTCTCGAAAGTGCAGAGGACGTCTCACAATGCGTCACCGGCGTTTGTTCGTTCGCCGTAAAGTGCGGTGACTGTGTGTTTCGCAGTCGGACGGGGCAGCCCTATTTGCGCGCTGCAATGTCCCGCAAGCAGCGGTGAGGCGGACGGTCAGTTTTATCTGGAGGATTGCGGGCTAGGACAGTGAGAGATAAACTCCCCTCTCCGTTCAAGCGGAGACACGGAATATTTTAACTTCCACCTGAAACGGGCACGGAGGGGACTTCGGTTTCGCGTCTCATGCGTAAGGACGGTACCTCTTGACAACGCAGTGCCCCCCCAAACCCAACCCCCCCCCCCCCCCCCGCACCACCACCACCCCTCCAACACTGCACAGGAGCGCTTGATCTCAAAGTCCGGAGGCGGTGGGGGAGAGGGGGAAGGGGGCTGGGCTTGAACTCGTCAACCTTCTGGCTCACGGGCGAGAGTGCTGGTGATTTAACCCGAGACTTTTGTGCAGGAAACGCCGCTAATTGATCTTGCGTGAGATAAATTCACTTGCCACCGGTCCCACGGAAAAACGAGTGCCGCTCTTTCTCGCGCCTCGCGAGGCGATTCGTTGGATACCGACCACGAGAGCCACAAAACCGAGGGATGCTTTGTCACCCTCCCACCTGCACCCCTTCCTCTCGTTCACGACGGCTTCCACGAACAAAAAAAAAAAAAAAAAAACAGGGTTCGACCTGCAGAAAGCCCCAAAAACATTTCACAGAAACTTTGGTGTTTTTCGCAAGCGAGCTGCAAGAGATGAAGGAACCAGCGTGGCGAATCAGAGAGACACACACTGGCAACCACAGTGCCGTCAGTCAACAGATAAAAACAGTCCCCCAACACCCCCCCCACACACCCCCCACACACCCCCGAGAACGTTTGTCACTGTGAGAGCCGCAGGAAGGAAGCAAAGGTCCATTGGAGTTAACTCGCCCCGGTTTGTACACACGTCCCTCCCTCCCATCCCCATCGCCCCGGTCTTTGAACCGTGAGCGCTTCACAAATGCTCTCGGAAACCAGAGAGGCGGCGAAGAAGGAAGTCAAACTTTGCTTCTCAGAGCTGCTCGCCTTGATCAGAGCGACCTGTTCCACCTTCAGAATCGTGAGGGGTTAAAGCGGCCACCGAGGAACCGAACCGTTTGCTTGGGTCCCATTCTTTTTCGGAGGTTTTTTTTTATCTGTCGTTGCGCGAGGGCGGCTCTGCCGAGAGGCGGGAGGCGGGGGCGGTGGTGGGGTAATGGAAGGTCAGTACAGCAACTTCCGATTCGAGTGCGAAGGGCGGACGTCGAGGGGGGAATGGCCGGGGGCCACGGTAGGGGGTCTGCCAACCAGCCGAGGACGTAAGGAACCCGTCGAGCGCTTCGCCAAGGAGAAACCGCGGCCTGCGAAGCCCGCTTCGAAAACCTGCGCCAACAAGAAAAGGCAGAGATTCGCCAGGAATGACCCAGTCGGTGCGGTGACTGCGGAGAACCTTGGCTGTCACGGCAAGGCCTGTCCTGGGCTGAGCAGCAACCACCGCCGGGGCCCTGCTCTCGACGCCCAGCTCTTTAGCCCGCAGACCCACCGCGCTTCCGAGCAGCTTTGGTATGAGGATCACGTGTACGAGAACGTGGAGACGGCCCGGCTGTGGTTGAGCCAGCGATGGCTGGGGCGAGGGCGAGGGCGAGACGAGGAGACCATCACCTACACGTCACCGTCTGAGCTCTTCATCAGCGAGGAGAGAAGGACGACACTGAGCAGGAGCCAAGTGTGGATTCCCCCGCCCTCCCTGCCTGCAAAGTTTAAGAGGTAAACCTCACTCTGATTATTACTACTTCTATTATTATTATTATTATTATTATTACTATTATTATTGTCACTGGAGCTCACGGAACATTAGCCTGTGTCGCCCGCCAGAAGCTTTACAGTAATAATAATCCTTGCATTTGATACAGCGCCCGACCACCGTCTTCGAGACGTCTCAAAGCGCTTCACAGAACATACTGTAAAGTGTAGCGACTGTGTGTTTTGTGGGCCAAACGCGGCAGCCAATTGCGCACGACAGCGTCCCCACAAACAGCCATGGATTGAGTGACCGCATTAGTATTATTATTACTTTTTCGCACTGCCTACAGCGTAGCGTATTTTGTACGATGTACTAACACAATCCCAGCTTTCGGGAACGGCTGCATCATCGCGTCAGCAGAACGTCCCGAAAGGGCTTCACAGGATTTACCGTAACATGCAGCGGCGGTGCATCTCACTTCAACAACGCCAACAACGTGCACTTATGTAGCGCTCCTCGCGCACAGGGCGGCGTCCCAGAGCGCTTCGTGGCTGCACGTGGCACATGACCGCATTTTTAACCTGGGGGCATTGTTGGTCAGGAACCTTTCGGAAGAGAGAAACTTCCTTCTCTCTTTGAGTGGGATCTTCAATGTCCATCTGGGTTTGGAACGTGCCATCAGAGTAGAAGCACAGCAGGTGGAGGCCATTCAGCCCCCTCGAGCCTGTTCCGCCGTTGTATCAGATCATGGCTGATTTGTACCTCAAGTCCAGTTACCCTCCCTCACCCCATATCCCTGACCCTAACAAATATCTATCGACCTTCCGTCTTGTAAATGTGGATGGATCCAACATCCACAGCCTTTTGGGGGAGAGAGTCCCAGATTTCCACTACCCATTGGGTGAAAAAAAAAGGAAACAAATGGATGGTGAAAGCTTGACTGCTTAAAGAGCCTGAGTGCGGTTAACTATTTAAGAATGACTCGCTCTGCCTCACATGGACGGTGTCATGGGAGGAGGACAGGGCAGGTCAGGGATCTGGGAGGACGAGATCAGAGAAGCTAAAGGACCATCTCGTGAACTCGGTGAAACTACGTTTTAATTTTGGGGCCCGAATATTTCCATCAGCATCGCAGCTTATTTTTATTTCTTATCACCAGTGGTTTGGCCCTTCTTCTTACTCAACGTTTTTACCCAACGCAGAACAGGAAGAGGTGCGTTTACAACATAATACTACAGTGATAACGCCAGACCAGGGGTTGGAGTGGAAAATTAATCACGTGATCATTTTTCTGGTAACAAGAAGAGTTTTTTTTAATTTTCAAACGACAACATATTTCTAGGGGAAGAGATTGTGTTATCGAAAGTAGTTTGGACCCTTTAGGACTTTTCTCCATTGGTAAAAACAAGGGGACCGAATGGGAACCGTTCAAAATAGGCCTCTGAGCGTGAATGCGAGGGAACATTAACAATAATTATTGCTATTATTAACGCCTTGCATTTATATAGCGCCCTTCACACAGGGTAGTGTCCCAGAGTGCTTTAATAGTTATTAATAACCCTTACATTTGATGCAACAACAACAACAACAGCAACATGGAATTGATATAGAACCCTCCACGCCGGAGGGCGTCTCAGAGCGCTTTCGAGACAAGTAAAAGCGCTTCAGGGGATTTGCTGTAAAGTGTAGAGACTGTGTGTTTTGTAAGCGGAAGCGGCAGCCAATTTGTGCACAGCGACCTCCACGAAGGGAATGAACAATTTCGTCTGGGGGGGATTGTTGGACAGACACACCGGGCGAGTGAAACTGAACGCCCTTCTCTATTCGAATAAGAACTTTAACATCAGCCCGCACAGGCACAGGGGGTGAGCGGGGTGGGGGGGGGGAACCGCGATTTAATGTCTGATCTGAAGGACGGCACCTCCGAGATCTCATCTCTAGTTATTAGATCTAGTCACTCACTCGGTGTTGACCGCTCACCAAAAGAACAAAACAAAACAGCGACTGTGGTCCTCTTGACATTCAGATTTTCACACGGGTCAAAAGAAATCAAAGTGACCACAGGCTCTGATCGCCTTCCGGCCCTCAGTTACCCCTCATCGAGTAGCTGTGGTCACGTTTCCACACTAGACGCTTGATTTAGAAACCACTATTTTAAAGATTCTCGAGCTGACCTTCAAAATGACTCCGCGCTTTTGCTCCACCCGACCTCTGTGATCTCCTGCTGCCCTATTTCCCCCCGCGCTCTGCTGACCCTGGCCTGCTCCACATTCCCAGATCCACGTCTCCATTGCCTTTCCTTCCCAGCGAGTGAGAGCTTCCATCCGCTTTGAGTTTCTAGACAGCTCCCGCTCAATGGAGCCCTCTCCCTTAAACCTCCTCCACCTCTGTTTAATGGCTCACTCGAACGAGGGGAGAAAGAAAGAGAGAGATGGGAAGAGGGTCAATAAAAGGAAAAAGGTGGTCTGGAATAGAAGGGCCGATTGGCCTCTTTCAGTGCGAAATAAATGTCTACGCTGTTATGTTGCTGCGCCGTTCATCAAAAAAAGAACATTTGGGGATTTTACAAGACACAAAAAAAGAATAATACTTCTCAGTTTCAGTCACCAGCTGTGGGATGGTTATATTGCACAATTCGTGTTTTAAACACGCTCTTACGCATGTGGTTGTCGTATGTTGCAGCTGTGCGCCATATACACAGGAAGCAGATCATATCTTGAGCTACGGTTTGCGCGGATTAAAGAATGAAATAGAAATCGAGTGGGTTACTGTAAGGCAGGGATTGTTGAGCAATTTGTGTGACGGCAGACTCACCTCAACGGGCAGGCGTTTAGCTCCAGGTTTCTTGTTTGTTCGGGACAGACACGGTGAGCTGGACGGCCTTCTTCTGCGCCGTAAATTTCTACGGTTTCTACGGTTCCACAGGCGCGCTCCAGGCTCGGCTCAGATCGGGTCACCGAATCAATAAAAGAAACGAAACGAGCGTTTTTGTGGGACGCTGCTGAGTGCGCAATTGGCTGCTGCATTTCGCCCTCAAAACACCCAGTCAATTCACTTTACGATATATTCTGTGAAGCGCTTTGAGACGTCGTCCCTGCGTTGTAGTGTAAAGATGGTGGATGCTTTGTGAGGAACGTGACAAAAAAAAACAGTACTGTCATTCTCTCTTTGATAAAATGTTCAATATAATGTTTTTTTGACACCTAAATGTTGTCCATAGCCTTTTCCTGGGTGGTGGGGGGGGGGGTTGGTGGGGATGGGGCGGGGTGGTGGGGCAATGAGGGAGTGGAGGGGTGGTGGGGTGGGGTGGGAGGGGAGGGTTGGGGGGTGTCTTCGTGTTGCTATTTCACGCACGAGTGTGTTTCTCTTTCTTTTGAGTTCACCAGTAAATATGCGCATATCCAATCTTACTGAAGTTTGCAAAATGACACAATTTCTGACGATACCAAGGTCCCATCTTTGCCTGTCCCGGTGGACGTTAAAGATTCCGTGGTAGTGTTTAACAAAGAGCGAGGTGTTGCTCTCTCTCTCTCTCTCTCTACCGGTGTCCAGCCGACAATTCCCTCAAACAAAATTGGTCGCTCACTCTATGGCCGTTTGTGGGACGTTGCTGTGTGCAAATTGCCTGTCCAGTTCTCCTACAAATTACCTAGTCACTACACTTTACAGTGTACCCTGTGAAGCGCTTTGGTGAGTCCTCCTGACATGATAAGGCACTGCATCAAAATGCATATTATTATTATATTGGTTTCCCCGGAACTCCTCACGTAAATTGAGGGGCTATCCAAGATTCCTGATGCTCGTAAGTATCCAATGACTACCCAAACTATAGGCACCATCTTAATTTACCTAAGCAAATACCGAGTGCGCCATTTGGGGTGAAAGAGCATAACTTACTCTGAATTCTCATCCACAGAGCGATGCTTGTGATACAGGGTGCAATCTGCCGACTGCCCTATAAGGGGAGCCATAAGAGTGGCCATTGAGTGGGGAGCCCCCAAAAAATGGTTCATTGATGATAGTGCAGAATGGTTGGTCTATTAAGGAACCAAGTACTTTCCCTGCACAGAGTCAACAAAACGGCAGCGTAAATTCACGTGCCATTATCATATTCAAAGCGGCAGTGATAGGGCGCGAACCCACAAGCTTCTGATTCAGAGTATCACCGATTGCATCAGGCTGGCACACGTGGTAAGAATTGCCTCCTTTCCTTCCCTTTTGGACCTCGAGATCCCGCATTTGGGCACAGAAACCATTGTCATAGTTGTTCAAGGTCTTTGAGACATGATAAGGTGCTATATCAAATTCAAGGATTATTATTATAAGGTCCATCTCAAGACCTACCTCTTTGAAACTGCTTTTTGGTCATCTTTCCTCCCACAACGCCACTCCCTCCCACCCTGCTCAGCTCCCACCCCCACCCCCAGCTCAGGTTCCCAGACGGTAGTGTGAAGAGCTTTGAGATGACCTCCCGATGTGAAAGGGTAAATGGTAAATTTTGTGTTGTGTTGTTTTAGTCAATGAGCTCCAGGTGTCACACGTTAATTCCACAAATGCATCACAAGTTCTCACGAGGCTGACTACCACTTTCTGTGCCCAAATGCGGGATCTCAAGGTCCAAAAGGGAAGGAAAGGAGGCAATTGTGGAGTCCTGTCGCTCAGTGGTTAGAGCAATCGCTTTGCAAGCGAGAGACCTGAGTTCAATTCCAAGCAGAGGGCGAAACCTCGGGCAAGTTTCCTTACTCCACACAGAGCCTAATAATAATCCCTTCAAAACCAAAAACAATAATAAATTGGTCATTTTCAATCCATGACTGTCTGTGGGACATTGCTGTGCGCAATTGGCTGCCGCGTTCGCCCACAAATATACAGTCAATTCACTTTACAGTGTGTTCTGTGAAGCGCTTTGGGACGTCCTCCCGACGTGAAAAGCGCTATATCAAATGCAAGGATTATTATTATTATTATTATAATTCTTACCACGTGTGTCAGCCTGATGCAATCGGTGATACTCTGAATCAGAAGCTTGTGGGTTCAAGCCCTATGTTGGGACTTTGAGCTCAGCATCCAGGCTGACGCTGCACCTGGGGGAGGGTGGGGGGAACGCCACCTTGTCAATCTGTTGGGTTCTGGGCCATGAGCGGCTTATTCCTTCCTTTAATTAACGACCCGAGAACAGAGGAAGCAAAGGCACTCAGCAACTCGGGCTTCGAAAATTCTTTGCTTGATAAGAAATGCAAAGTTTGTCAGTTCAATTATCATGAACACAACAGGACAGGTCAACAGCGCAGACAAATGTCCGTATCCAAGTAAACAAATCAATAATTGCTTATCAACTGACTCCATCAAAGAAGCAAAGATTTGTGTGATTAAATTATATTCTTCGATGGAGTCAGTTGATAAAAGTCTCGCCCTTCAGTCTCCCATCAGTCGAAACATCTCTTGCTTCAGACCAGAAATTTCTTGCTTGGGTAATTGATCACAACCTCAAAGTTGAATCTTTATTGGTGGACAGCCGAGCGGTGCACTTTACTTTGCGGTTGTTATAAGTTGTTTTTCTTCTCCTCCCATTACCTTTCAATCGATTTCAGACGTTCTGAAATTTCTGCAGTTTTCCTTCCTCCTGAAATTGCTGGAGTTAACGAAAGTTGATGGAACAGTCTGAGTCTGACGGACTTTAACCCCGGAGACACCACATTTGCTTCGCCACTTTATATCGTCACAAGAAAGATGGCTCTTGTGTGGACAGCACCTGATGTGCTATGTCCCAGACTGAACAAAGTATAGTTAGTGCAGCGATACATCTTTTAAAATCGGTTTTCCACAGGCAGGATAAGAATATACAATCTTTCCTTTCTCCCGTTCAGGAAGCAATTATCTCAAATCGGATATAATACATAATAATCCTTGCACTTGATATAGTGCCTTATCACGTCTTCGAGACGTCTCAAAGCGCTTTGCAGAATATATTGTGTTTTACTGGATTTTGAGACATTTTAACTGAGGTCCCATTTGCTTTGTTCGGGTACAAGTTAAAGATCCCGTGACACTTTTCAAAGAGAGAAGGGAGTTTCTCCCAGTCTTCCAAGCGATAAAAATGGGTCACTCAAAGCTATTGGCCGGACCTTACTGTGGGAAAGCTGCCCATTGTGTTCGCCAACAAAACACAGTCACTCCACTATCTACTAAATCTAGTCAGGCGCTTTTAGAGACATCCTCTTGGCACGAAAGGAGAGGGTAGAACTATTGTGCCATGTTAATTTTAGTTAGGATCCCGTATATCGCAAGAGGAAGTATCAGCGGTTTAATGTTTGAAAACGTGTGAAAGTATTAGCCAACAAAACCCACACAGCAAATTGCTTCATTGCCTACAAAATACACTCATTAAAAAAAATACCAATTACTTTATAGCAGCTTTATAGTACAGTACACTTTACAACAAATCCTGTGAGATGCCATCCCAGGGCTATATCGAAGGCAAGGATTATTATTATTGTTGTTGGTAGAAATAATTATTGTAATAATAATAATAATTGCATTTCATAGAGTGCTTTAACACGCCTTTGAGACGTCTCAAAGCACTTCACAGAATAATAATAATAATAATAATCCTTGCATTTGATATAGCGCTTTTCACGTCGTATATAGAATATATATATAGAATATATATATATAGTATATAGAATATACTATAAAGCGAATTGACTGCATCTTTTGTGGGCGAAATACTGTGGTTGGAAATTGTGAAATATTTGAAGGCAATATGATAAATTATGCCCCCAACAGAATAATTTTGACTTCCAGATAAAACTAATTCAAATGTTAGTTTTAAAATATATACGGTAGATAAAGAGCGCATTGGGGAGAGGATAAAATGCTCGGGAGCTTCCTACGCTAAATGTCATTGGTTTGGCTTCAACTTTCTTATTATTTTCCTCACAATTCATCAGCTTTTATGATTTCGCTGTTGCTTCATTTCCTTCCTGAACTTCAGACTTCACAGTCTGTCGACAGTTTGTTTTTACTGTTCATGTTAAGTGAAATGTAAAATTCCAAATGAAAGACAGTTGGACTCTCTAACCTCGGGGGCATGTTTCTTTGTGGGTGCGTGTGTTTGCGTGTGGGCGCAAAGTATTTTACACGGAACGCAGAACAAGCTGTAGGAAATTTACTCCTCAGGGGATGCATGCCAACACTCTGAGCATCTCGGAGAGCACAAATTCTGGCCAATTCGTAAATTCGGTCTTAATCTTAAAGTCTTTTTTTTCTCAAGCAGCTTTTAAGAACCGCAAATGGTTCCTGTGTGACAAGTGGCGCAGGTGTCAAACCTGTCCCAGCCCAATTGGCAGCACTTTCGCCTTTGAATGAGAAGGTTTGTGGGTTCAACCTCCCCGTTTAAGGCCTTTGAATTCACAGTCTACTCGGCTGACACTCGCATTCGAGCTCAGCTCATTAAACGCCTGAGTCAGCCTGGCTGAGAGTCAGATGGTTATGGGTTCAATGCGGAGGGATTGAGTAAGGGAGTTTGATAAGCCTTGCATTTGATATTGCACCTTTCACGTCAGGAGAATGACTCAAAGCACTTCGTAGGATCTACTGTAGGATTTACAACCACAGCAACGAGGATGGAGTTCCAGAGGGTGGGGGCAGAAAAGCTGAAAGGTGGGGTGGGCAGGCGGGGGGAACACGGAGCAGATCAGTCCAACAAATTTGGTCACTCACTCAAACCACGACTGTTTGTGAGGACGCTGCTGTGCGCAATTGGCTGCTGCGTTTCGCCCACAAAATACACAGTCAATCCACTTTACAATATATCCTGTGAAGCGCTTTGAGACGTGTCGAAGACGTGATAAGGAGCTATATCAAATGCAAGGATTATTATTATGATTATTAAACCCCATTTACCCAGGCTGCACGCTTGATTGCATTTGCTTGCTATCGATTTGTGTGTGAACTACGTCTCAGAGCCTCCGAGCAGAAAGAGGAAGCCACAGCAGTTTCCAGAGAACGGTCTCCAAACCTCAAGCAGGAAACTAAGGCTGATGTCGCTGTCCTGTCACCTGTGTGCTTGACAATCAGATAATAATTAGCGAACCTCAAAAATCCGTACTTTGGAGCAAGGCCTGGAGAACATTAGCAATTTGTTGAAAGAATCCTGACGTGGGACTTGAATCCACAACCTTTAGCGGGATACATGCATTGTGTTATCTTATCTGACCTGGAGATTTACATAGTGGTAATAATATTAATAACAAATCCTTGACTGTCCAGGGCTTTGAGACGTCCTCCCGACCTGAAAGGTGCTGTACAAATTTAATTTGTTGCTGTTGATTACTTTGTCCGTGCATCATTCATTCTGTCTGTATTCCTGTCCTGCACCTTATCCGTGACACTACTCGAATAGAGAGAATAGGTGTCCTGACCAACAATCCTCCGGATGAAACTCTTCATTCACTTCCCGGCTGTTTGTGGGATGTTATGTTACCGGGTTCAAAACTGGCTGCCACGTTCATCTACAAAACACACAGTGGCTGTACTTTACAGTATAATCCTGTATTACGCTTTGAGTTGTTTTGATGAGGATGCTATATTAAATGCAAGGATTATTTTTACCCTCTCCACCCATTTCCCAGTCTCTCTTCTCCATATACTGAATATCTCCAGAGAAAATAGGGAGTTTCAGCCTAGATTATGTGCGTTCAAAGAACAACCCTGGACGTGGGACTTGAACCCACAACTTTCTAACTCAGAGACAGGGGTGGTATCGACTGAGGCAAGCTGACACCTGCAATGCAAAGCAAGACCACAAACCAGCCGCCTTCCAACCCGGCACGACCTTAGAATAAAACACAAGCTGGTTACAGGCCCAGAATCTCTGCCCATCACCCCACTGTGAGCACAAGATGCCAAAGGCCACCTTGTTTAAAAGCAATGTTTTTAATCCATTGGACGAGCACGGAAACTCCAGCCCTTTTAAAGTCCCACACAAAAAAAATGGTAGTCTGCCTCCTTCAAGGGAACACATCTGCAGGCTGGGTCGAGCAGGTTACCTTTCGAAGGGCAAGTGGGAAGCGAGTTTAGAAAGGAGCAAAGCCTTATCGCTTCTGAACATTGCTCTCTAACGCGATTCGTTTGAGTGCTGAGCGGGTCGTTCTTCTTGTGGTTGCACAGACAAAATCAAACATCCGTTGCAAAGAGGCTTTGGCATCCTATGTTTACACGTCTATGTAGACTCACAGACGTGCTATTTATATGCACCTTAGGTGCATCCTCATTGGAGAGAGAGAGAGAGAGAGAGAGTTCGGAGACCGTGTTTCTATGACTGTTCTGTAAGACAAGTGTACAAGGATAGATGACCGTTACTATGGATGGGGTAATAGGCAGAGGAGTGGTGTGTGGCTCTCTGCTGCTTGCATCAGGACTTCCTGACACATGAGAGTCGGGTCAGCCTCAACGACAAAACCACTACTGCCTTTTTTTCTCACTCAGGGAAAGGTTTGCAGCCAAGATGAACGAGACCAACTCCAATCCTGAGTGGTGCAGCGGCTACTCGACTGAATGCAAGTCGGACCCGTTCAACTCGGAGGGATCTACTGATAACACAGGTTTGGAGAACCCGACTTATGTTAACCTGAGTAAGTCAAGTCACCCTGTTAGGTTGGTTCCAACCCCTAAGGTCCCGTCGTTGCTCTCTGATACAGAACTTTTCTCTCTCTCTCTCTCTCTCTCTCATCAAACCATTCCCTGTGTTTAAGAGGACGCAAGGCAAACTATTGTGAGTTCCACCATTTTGTGAAAATGCGCATTTGGTTTGAATGGAATTTGCACACTCTCTCTCTCTTCCCCCCCACTCCCCCCATCTCCACTCCCTCTCTCCCCCGCTCTATTCCTCCTCCCACTCCCTCTTCTCTCCCGCCCTCTATCATCTCCTCTCACCCCCGTATCTCTCCCCTCTCCCCTCTCACTCCCACCTCTCTCTCTCTGTTATAAAATCCTGCAGGGTGATGCTGAGCCTGCGTCAATGAGATGGTTTGCTGCCCCCAAGATATGTGGGTTGGCAGCATTGATGGCCGCTTGAATATGAGGGTAGCGTTAGTGATAGAGAATCAACTCTCGCTCACCTCCCTGCAGGAACCTGATTGCTGTAAATATACATTTCCCATGAAAACGCCCTGCTTTCTTTTGTGATACATTACACAGCGTTTCATCAGAATGTAGATACGTGCATATAAAATCTTAAAAATAGCAGGAAACTGGTTGAAATGGTTTGTGCCTTTAAATGCAATGCCACTTTAATAATAATAATCCTTGGATTTGATATAGCAACCTATCACGCCGTTGAGACGTCTCAAAGCGCTTCACACGATTTACTGTAAAGTGGAGTGACTACGTATTTTGTGGGCGAAACCTTTTGCGTTGCTGGTTTCAAATTAATGTAACTTTAATTAATGTAATATTCTGAGTTAAATGCGCATCTACATTTATTATTTATTTCCAAATCGCCCTCTTTGATTACGGTGATAATTTAGATACCGTGAAGCACTTTGAGGTGCCTTGACAACATTATAAGCTGTTAAATCAAACGCAAGGATTATTATTACTATAATAATATCTTCATTATTTCTGAAAGATTGCCAGCGCAGATTAGCTGCCGTATTTGCCTAGGCAAGGTTCACTTCATTTCCAAGTATAATCTGCAAAGCACTTTGAGATCTTTTGCTCAACGGGAAAATGCAATATAAAAGCAATCTGTGTTCCTTGTGTTATAATAATACTTACATTCGACATAGTGCCTTGTCATGTCATTGAGACGTCTCAAAGCGCTTCACAGAATATACTGTAAAGTGAATTGACTGTATATTTTGTGGGAGAAACACGCCTGAACTCAAGTATAAAATGTCAGCGATTCTGCAACCATTCAGAATTGGGTGTTTAGAATAAATCTATATATACATATACTATATATATATATAGAAAGCTTAAACGGTTCAGGAAGAACTTTTTTGTTTTGGTCTCTTAAGAGTATCCAAACCAGACTGAGAGTTTCACATTGCCTTGGTCTTCATTGAACAGGAAGACTTAAAATGGCTTTCCATCAAATTCAGAAAAAAGTCACGGCGTTGAACATTTATTCACAATTGGCGCACCATTTACACATGGAAACCCTCCCTGGGTCTGGAGTGCGCACTCCTTCCCTAGAGGAACTTGCCCTGCTTCCCTGATACTGGAGATTGGAGAAGTCTAGCTTTGGCTCTTACTGACCTGCAATAGTGGTTGACTCGCAGTCACTGCACTTTCCAGTATATCCTGTGAAACACTTTGGGACATCTCCCCCATGTGATAAGACGCTCTATCAAATGCAAGGATTAATATTACGATTATTAACAGGCGCTTAAAGTGCTGGGCTTTTATTGAGATGGCCGTTTTGAGCCCAGCACTATACAGCTTGGGTATAACATCTGGGGATTGAAACTTAACTGATTTAGTAACAAAACCCAGCTAAGTGAGGGCTTTTCAGCCTTTATACTCAGGGTGGACATGAACGAGATAAAGAATGGAGAGGTAGAGTGGATGAGGTTGAGAAGGTTGACCCAGAACAATTCCTGAAGAATGAAATCAAATGGTCTGAGGGATCTTCCATGGAATTACATGGACTAAAACAGGTTAAATGAATGAAATCACATTTTGAGACGTCCTCCTGACTTGCTGTGCCGAACGCAATGATTTTTTTTTTTAATTAGTTGAGAATGAATGAAAGAACTTTGTTGTGATAAGGGCATCTTGTCCTTTAGTCTCCCAGTCGCAGACCATCCAGGAAGGTTAGGGGAAAGCTGGAATTCTCGCCCCCAAAAGGCTGTGGATACTGTATACATTCACATTTTCAAGACTGAGGTGGATAGATTTCTATTAGGTCAGGACATCGAGGGATATCGGGCAAAGGTGGTAATTGGAGTTGAGGTACAGATCAGCCAAGGTTTAATAGAATGGCAGAACAGGCTCGGGGGGGCTGAATGGCCTACTCCTGTTCCTACGTACCTAAGATGCTGTGAGATATTGTGAGGTGGCTCCTCACTTAGAACAAGGCACATTGGAATTGTAAAGTTTCCGTGAAGGTTTAACCTTCTGTGGCTCTGTTGGTTTCATCAGATAAACACAAGCAGCAGGCTTTTTGCAGCAAGGCTCAGTATTTTACAATAAACAAGCAAGAGCACATCGGCATTCAGTTTGAGGGTTCAATCGCAGCCTGATCCAGAATAAACATAACACAACTGGGGCCAACATCAGGAGTGAGCAAAGGAACCTCAAGAAAGTTACTCCCAATCTGGACGCAATTGAAAGTGGAACCGATCGAAATTGGGACTTCTGCGTCAGCCACTAAATGTTCGGCAGAAAACATGTCGTGCATTAATTTGAAAAACATTTTTTTTTTAAGAAAACTTTTCTGTTGGCAGCAAAAGTTACAAGCTTTGAAAACACTCATCGATCTCTTAAATCAGATAACATCTCCACGCACTGCCAGAGCGGAAGATGGAAAATAATAATCTGTATTATCTGATTAAGCAAGATAACTAAGATAACTGAAAGTATAAACATTATCTCGGCCCTCCTCTTTGAATGAGACATTAAACCCAGCTCCCTGTCTGTGCCTGTTTGGGAGACCATTAAAAATCCCACGGCGCTATTTAAAAAGAGAAGGTAGTTTCTTCCCAGTATCCTGGTCAACAACTCCCCAGATTAAAAAAAAAAATTGTTCATTGACTTCACGGCTGTTCGTGGGATGTCTTTTGTTTGCAAATTGGCTGCCGTGTTGGCCTACAAAACACAGTCACTCCACAATGCAGAAACTTTGCGACATTCTCAAAGTCACAAGCTCTCTGTTAACTAGTGTTGGTGGTGTTTACACTTCATTTGAATCTCTATCCCTCCTCTTCCCCTCTTCTTTCCAACAACAACATGCATTTATACAGCGCCCTTCACGTGGGGCAGCATCTTGGAGCCCTTATGCCCCTCTGTTCCCTTCTCCCTCATGTATGCATCACGTCACTTCTTAAATAGGCTGATGCTTTCTTCTTCAACCAGTTTCTTCTTCTATTCCTAATGCCGCTGGTTAAGACACGTCTAGATCAGAGAGAGAGAGAGAGAGAGAGAGAGAAAAAAGGTGCAGCAGGGCTTTGGGAAGTGCTGTGAACCCTACACAGAGAGGTCAATGGGCTGCGGATTGATGTTGAAAAGAGCTGATGTGGTTGGCATGAAGTAAGAACCTGTTTCAGGAAAAAACTGCACAATCTCACCATGTGATCAAACAGCAAACACAGCAACCGTTGCATAAACCCAAAAGCCGTGTGCTAGAACTCCCTTCTCCTTTCCACTGGATCTAAAAGCAAGTGAAATGTCTGGCTCAGAATCCCTTATCCCTTCGAGCTTTTGCCTGTAAGAGCGTTGGGTCTTCAAAGCTAAGAACAGCAGAAAAAAAACACAGCTTCCATTATTTAGACTGAAATTAGGAATGTTGAACAGTCTCACATAGTCTCAAATGGCTTGCCCGCTCTTATAAGGAAGGGACTCAGAATTATTCCTCATCAAGCCAATAGGCAACCTTAGGCCTAAACTGAAAGGTAAATTGAACAACAGCAAATGTGATTTGAACAGAAATCTGGGAAGAATGGGCTGTAGGCTCCTCCAGTTAGAAGCTTGGGCAGTAATGCTATTGACTATTCACCTCCTGGCTACTTGTTGGGACATTCGGCTGTTGCAGTGGCCTCCAAATGCACAGCCACTAACCACCCGCTGGGCTAGGTTTTGAGAGGTTTTGCCCCAATGAGGCATCACACACCAACGATTCTTAGAATTTAATATTGAGCGATTGTGGAGAAACATTGGGGAAAATGGATGAGAAAGATAAAGAACCGTCACAGAGTAATAAAATGGTGGAGCGTGGTGGTTGGGTTGATGAAAGGTCGCCATTTAGGGGACAATTCATTCACAAAAAGCAACAGGTGGTTTCAATACAATCCAAAACAATTGTACATTTATCTCGGGTCAAGTCAGGAGGACGCCTTGACCCCTCAAGGTGCTTGGCGGTCTTTGGCTTGACATTGGAGCTGGGGGGGGGGGGGTGCGAGGGTATAGATAGGAAAGATGACCCAAGTGAGGGAGGGGGCAAGTCGGAGGGACTGGGATGGGATGGAGGGATTTGGGAGCTATGATGGAGTTTCTTGTGCTTTTCAGGAGAAGTGCGTCCAAGTACGGTGCACACCAGATGCCCACACGGTGAAAATCAATGGCCAGCGAGGGTCCAGGCAGACAGAGAGACCATCAAGGGAGGGGTCCCTGACAATTCCAAACCACCCCCTCTCCCCAAGAAGAAAATCATCCGCACAAACTCAGCCCCCGGGGGAGGGTTGCTGAACTCAAAGCTGTCGAAGAGTCTTCCCACCTCTCCCGGCATTCAGATTAGTAACCCGCTCTATGGCATCTACAAAGGGAAGCCTGTGTACTATGGTAACAGCAGCGCAAGTGTTCCCACCAGTCCCATGAGCACTAACGAGTTGTTCAACCTTCCGGGCCCTAATAAAGAAGGGAAAAGGATGGTAAAATCCCAAAGCCTGGATGAAGTCACGAGTTACTATCATTTCAGCGAGCCTCAAGTCTCTATTGAGACGTTAAACTTTGACATAACCGCGCTGGAGCTGAGCCTCTTCTTCCCCAACTTCGCCACGAGGAGCGAGGTGTTCAGAACGCTCGCCCTGCGCTGTGCTGTGTCGCTGGACTACATTTGCGCCAAGTATCAGAAGTTCTTCCTGAAAGACCAGACAGAGGTGACCTTCGAAGAGAAGGACTGGCCTGACTTCAGCCTTCAGTCCACCAAGGCCAGCTGTTCCTCTAGCGACGCTGCTTACTACATTGTCCAGCACACTGTGGAGCCACGGAATCTATACGCTATGAAGGTAAGCAGTGCCTCTCTACACAACATCTTAACACTTGTATGGAAACAAGAACAACAACTAGGATTTATACAGCAACCCCTAATGTAGGGTAGCGCCCCAGAGCACAATGCCGAGCCGGTGGGGAAGTGACCGCAGGCACGGTCGAAGAGGACAGGGATGGAGGTGGCAAGGCAGAGGGTTAGAGGTAGAGAGTTCTGGGGCATATAGTTGCACGTAGCAAAAAATTTGGCAGCTTATGCAGCTTCAGAAGTGATAGATCTTGCTTGCACAACCTCAAAGACTTCCTTGAGGAGGTGACACCCCATATCACGTTGAGTAGCCAGATTTCCGAGAAGCCTTTGACTGTTTCACGGTGACGTCAAAGAAGAGCTTTGAGACCTTTTCCTACGTGAAAGGTGTTATGCAAGTACAGTACTGAGGCCTGCTTGTGTAGCTTAGCAATAAAGATGGCATTTGATCTTTAAAAACAGCCCCCCAAAAAAACTTTGTAATACCAGAAGATTGAGAAATATTTCCCTGAAGGATATTGTGAGGCAACTAACCGGTTTCTTCATCCATTTCTGAATATTTCTTAATCCATTCTGATTGGAAATAAGAGTTTATTATTTAATAATTAAGACAATACTTGCATTTGGTGAAGTGCCTTCTACATCAGGAGGACAGATGTCTTAAAGCACTTCACAGGATTTTACTGATTTGACTGCCAATGAGCGAGACCGGTTGGTCTGCAAATAGCAGTGCCATAGAAAGCCATGGGGGTCACTTATCTATTATCTAATGCAGCATTACTTGGGGAGGGAAAGGGGGGGGGGGTAACTTGAATGTGGCGGTTGTAAATTTCCAATAAATTAAACTGTCCATAACTACTCTCCATAATCATGTTCAATCCTCTGTCCTCATTGCAAACAGTGTCTATCTACACTAACAAATGTGGCAAAGGAAGAAAAACAAATGAAACGAGTAGCCCTTTATTTTGTGAAGCGCAGAAGATACGAACTGATTTCCTGGAATGGAACAGGAAGCTTCAATGTGGGCAGCAAAAAAAAAAAAAAAAAGTGCAACCCAATGGTCTGAAAGTTGCAGAACTTCGTAAACTTAAAGGCAGTGCCCATCTTGCCCAATGAAGGACAGTGTTAATAATAATCATCCTTGCATTTGATATAGGGCTTCTCACGTCAGGAGGACGTCCCAAAGCGCTTCACAGAACACACTGTAAAGTGAATTGACTGTATATTTGTGGGCGAACGCGGCAGCCGATTGCGCACAGCAATGTCCCACAAACAGTCGTAGATTGAAAATGACCAATTTATTATTGTTTTTTGTTTTGGAGGGATTATTATTAGGCTCTGTGTGGAGTAAGGAAACTTGCCCAAGGTTTCGCCCTCTGCCTGGAATTGAACTCGGGTCTCTCGCTTGCAAAGCGAGTGCTCTAACCACTGAGCGACAGGACTCCACACTTGGGCTCACATTCATTGCTTAATTCTGGGTATATCTGAACACAACTCATCTTAAACCCATGTTTCGAAGTCACGCATCGATCAGTAGAGATTCATCCACCGCCGTTAAGCATTCCCGAGACGCTACCTCGCATGAAGCGCGCTGCACAAATGCCGGGGAAAATTCTCGTTAGCGATTAAATTCAAAAAACGAGGTTTATTATTTTTAAATGGGATTCAAGAGTTTGCTCTTTAAAAGAACCAGCACAGACACAAAGGGCTGAATGGCCTGTTTCTGTACCGTAAATTTCTATAATAATACTTGCATTTGATATAGCACCTTATCACGTCTTCGAGATGTCTCAAAGCGCTTCACAGAATACACCGTCAAGTGGATTGACCGTATAGTGTGGGCGAAACACACAGCGTTGTTCTAAATCAGTTCAAACTTGCAGCGTGAATTCTTGATTCAAGTCGGTATTGCATTTCTTTTCCATGATCGAATCCAGATCTGCAAAGCCCAGAGCCTGGAACACGGACAGATGGAATCCACCCTCTCTGTACAGAGAAGCATCCCGGTCCACTTCAACATCCAACAGGTCTGCGGTCACTTTGTGGCATCCACCCCGCTAAGCCTATTGCCTCCCAAAGGGGCGCCCTCGATTCCCGGCGACCAAGAAGACAGAAACAGCCACGGTGGAGAAACCGATGAGTCGGGAAGCCCTGAAGGCAACTCAAAGGAAGTCAACCAAATGGTTACCATCATGGGGGAGATTCCCTTTCAGACCATGGCGGATTTCGTGATCAAGTCCATCGATCTTCATCAGTCCCAGCCAGATGTGTACGAGCGTGAAGTGAGTCTACTTCTTCTGCAGCTGTGCGCAGGGCTGGAACACCTCAAAGTTCACCACACGACCCATTGCGATCTTCGCCCGGAAAACCTGCTCTTGGTCGAGCCGACCGCGGGCTGCCGCAAGGCAGGGCCGAGAGGGGAAGGGCTGGCGGAGAAGCTTCGGGTGCCCAGGCTGACCCTCAGCAATTTCTCCAGTGCCAAGCAAAGGAGCACCACCGTAAACCGCAAGCCTCACCCGGACCGTGCCCGCCTAGCGCCCGAGATCGCATCCACCTCCCAGTATAAGAAGGTCGACGAGTTCCAAGTGGGCATCCTGATCTACGAAGCCCTGCACCTGCCGAATCCCTTCGAGAACATTTCCAGGGAAAACGAGGACCAGGAGTACGATTCCAAAAACCTGCCTCAGATCCCGTGCTTGTCCCCTTACTCAGAGGGTCTCCAGCATCTTGCCCACTTGCTGCTACGTGCCGACCCCACTCAGAGAATACACATTCGTCAAGCAAAGAGCATCCTACAGGCCCTGATTTGGGGTCCAAGGAAAGAGGTCTTCAGTCTGAACACTGGGGCCAAGGACATCAGTGAGTTGCTGGGGAACTGGTTGGATGCGAAGCGATTTCTGCTGATGCTGAAGTTAGGGGAAAGGTTCCTGGAGGACGATGGGTCTATTGAGCTTGAAGACTGGCTTTGCTCTCAGTACTTTGCATTTGCTACTCCCGATTCAGTGTTTCAAGCAATGGAAGGGTTATTGATTTTCAGCAGGAAACACACTGAATGAGGAATACCAGCTATCCATAGGCTGCAATCATCCAGAACTCTGCAGCCCGTGTCCTCTCCCCTCACCAGGCTCCGTGGCGCTATCACCCGACCCATCCTTGCCCGACTCCACTGGCTTCCCGTCACAGAGGTTACACTTCAAGATCCTGGTCTTGTACCCCCTACCAAGACCCATCTCAAATCCCTCCTCTTCGACCGTGCTTTCGATCTCACTGCTGCCCCCCACCGCCCCACATCCCCAACCTCTACCCTCCCCAATCCCGATCCCCAGCTTGGATCCAAAACTCAGACTGTCCAACGCCTTGGGACGTCCTCCTGACGTGAAAGGCGCTGTACAAATGTAATTTAGTTGTTTTTGGATCAGAGAGGGACATGACTCTGATCTACTGCAGCTTCACTGCACAACATCAGCTTCTGTTCCGGCCTGAACTATTATCACAGTACGACATTATAAAACAACAAAGACTGTTATAATTATATAGCGACTTTCACGTGGGGTAATGTCTCGGAGTGCTGAACATTGGAGGAGTTTGACCCCGAGCTGGGGTGAGAAAGGGGAAGTCACCGTAGTCATGGTCGAATGCATACTTTACCCCAATCTTGCCAAACTGCACCTTTCTGTAATTAGGTAAATAAGGTGCAATTCTCTGGGGGTGGGGGGGGGGGGGGGGAGGGGTGATACCTCCTTGCTTATACATGGCATGTACATGGGCAACTTGGGGAGTTGTTTTGGACACTGCTGAGCATGGCAATGGGTTTCCACGTGTCTCAGCACTCCCATCTGACCGAGAAATGAATCGGAGTGTAAGAGAGAGGGGTGGGGAAAAGAATCGGAAAGGGCAGTTTTCTCAGAATCGAGATATAATAAATTGAAATGAAAAATAAAAGTGCCTGAAGGTGGATTTATTATGCGATTCCAAACAATGATAATCCTCGCATTTAATATAGTGCCTTATCAAGCTGTTGAGACATCTCGAAAGCGATTCAGAGAAGATACTGTAAAGCGAATGGCCCGTCTCTTTTGTGGGTGAAAATGTGAGGATCGTCGATAATAAATATTTCGATAAAGAGGTATTGCATCAAGTGCAAGAGTAGCACTGCATTAAGTGTTTTATTTAAATGTTAATAGAGATGATCTAAATAGTCTCAAGTCACATCCTTCCTGTCCAAATTAAGCAAACAACCACATGCAAGACTTTTTTTTGATACTTTTGCTATGCAAAACCACTAGCCACGCACCAATGGTTGCTGCAGCGGACATGCAAATGACTTTCATACCACTTAAATACCAAGTGGTATCTCGTACCCTTTAATGTCTCGCTCACCGCTCCTCTTCTCAACTTCTGTTGGATATTTCCCTCTCGATTTCTCATGTCAATTTCACATGATCGTACACTGATGACTGAATGTTCCGCATGTCTCTGTCCGTCAGCTAATTTCCATCCCCCTGGCCATTCTGCACAAACAGCTTGAGCGGTTTACAAAACATGCCTCAGTCATCATCGTGTATAGTGAGCAGTCGTAAGATCCGTGCAAGATCCCGACTTAATTAAATCCAGCTTTTTTTTTTAAAAACTCCACCTCCCCCAATCGCAGAGACCTTCGGTCTCTCTTGGGACCCAGTAATAAGAGTCGATTTCCGTAGGAACGAGGGAGACAGAACTAAGATATCAAATTACATTTGCCTGGAGAGCACACGTTTAAAGAGTCTTAAAATGAAATAATGTGTTGTTACTCCCTGGTATAGGCATTCAGTACAGAAATTCTACCTGGGGTCTAGACTTACTCTATTTAGGGAGTGATTGAGTATCAAATTGTTGAATTCACTCTTAGCTTTGAAGCCGGTAGTTCTCTAAAATAACTTACAGATAACCAGCTTCAGAATTAAAGGTTGAATTTAAGAATTTGCCAAATTTTAGATGCTACGAATTTCTTAAAAGAAACCAGGGGGGGGGGTGTTGTTTAGTTTAGAGCCAGTTTGTTTAAGCGGTAACTTTGTTGATTCGAGCAGAACGACTTAAACAACAACAATCTGGTGAATATTGATGTGAATAATAAACAAGGTCAAGTGGCAGTTTCTGAAAAAAGTTTCAGCCCTCTTCACAAGATTACTGATACGTAGTCCGTGGTGTAGAACATTTTGAAAATGCACAATGAGAGAAGATTTCATTGGAACAAAAAGCACAGATGGTTTCACTGCTCTATGCACTTCATGTGATGCATTCGCTCACAGTACCGTTCAGGCTTAAGTCTCAAAACGATTGCAGGTTTATATTTGTAAAGCTCCTTTCATGTCAGGAGCACTTCACAAGGCACTACATCCACAGCTTGGCACTAAATTAAATACAATTTTCATTTTCTAACAACTGCATTAAGATTTTTTAGCACAAATCCACAAAAATATCCAAACAGAAGAAAATAGCACTTACTACGTAAAATAAACTAGATGCAAAGCGTGCAGAGCAGAATAACCTGAGAGACTGCAAAACTCACCACCATCTGGGAACAGGTCAGGTTAGCTTAAGATATAATCAATGCCAACCCAAAGGAAATTATGGCGGTGGGGGTAATGCAGGGTTTAATCTTTGACGCTTCAAAATCTGTAACCTATTAAAATCTTAGGATTAGTCGCTCTAACCTGAAAAGGTTAGCAATCCTTTATGTAGTTGTAGGGCAGAATGAAATTAAACCTCAATAGATTTTTTGTTATTTCATGAAATAACTATCTACAGAAGGACTAATTACATAAAGCAGCCATCTGTTCAATCGGGAGGCAATGGACCCGAAAGGATCCAAGAGAAAAGTTTGTGACGATGATTTCAGTTGCTAGTTCCAGATGTCTTCCAAGTTAACTTCCTCCAAAGGTTTAGCCAGTCACAAAGAAACTACTCTTCGCTTCACTGCCTTCAAAATCTTCTCTAAAGTGGTATAATTAGATGATTTTCCTATCCCCTCCCCCGCATTTCAACATGTTTAGTATCCAGCACAGAATGTTATTGCACCATGGAAATATTCTGACCTTGTGCCTAAACACTGTTCAGTTATCTGATCAGCTATGCATCTTCACGGTCTTCAATTATGGAGAGTTAAAGATATACTCTATTAACTGATTAGGATCCCGAGTTCAACCAAGAACATTCAGTCAATGCCAGTTACAGTGAAATAATGTGCCACTCAGTAGAAGAGAAAGTGCAGAAAAGCTATCAACACATTGCTGAGACAAACACAAGGAAGGCTGGAACAGCAAGAGCAGTGATTCAACGAAGCATTTTTGTGCATCTAGTCACATACTTTAGGAGCGTGCCTCCAATATTGGAGCAGTATGGTCTTGAATGGGCTTTACAACTGAGAATTTTATCTGATTTAGAGATGCACTCCAACAATATTGATAGATTGGGGGGGGATAACAAAAGGCAAGCGGTAGCACTTTTAAGAAACATTTGAAGTAATTTTGGAAGAATTGGGGGTTTAAAGCTCAGTATCTTTCAAAAGGTTATTGTTTAAACCACTGATGTACAATGAAGAGATTTTGTAAAGGATCAGGTGGTTATAAGTAGGTAAAGCATTCAAAATCACAGAATGAATGGTACGACAGAAATAGGCCCAACTATCCTGTGATGTTTTTACTCCACGCAAATTATGGTATTCCAGTCTCCTAAGCTACAACAGCTATTGAAACAGCCCAAAATTGAAAGTCTCAACTGATTTCCCAGCAGGACATGAGAGCAAGCCTAAATCTTCCCTGTATCTTAAAAAACAGAAAGCATTAAAGAAAAAAAAAAGCACTGTGGGGAAAAAAGTCATTAGATGTTTACAATCACCAAGTCGTGGAATTAAATGCCAAGAGTTTATCGTTGCATGTTCTGGGAAAAGTCAAGACATTTAATTTAGTTCAAGAGAACTACTCCAACGGTAAAAATAAATTTTATTTAAAATTAATGTAACAAAGGGAACTTGAAACTAAAAAATTAGGAGTGATATGCAGTTAATTTCTTGGTGAGCAATTTATTTGCTATAATCATAACATGCAGATATTTCAAGATACACAGTACAAGTGAAAATTCAAACAGACCATCACCAGATAGCCTGAAAGCTCTCATGCTACTCCAAACTGGGGCACATTATCACCACACCTTAAAACCCACAGAGGCTGACAAACATCCACCAATCCACCTTCACAGATGACAGAGACAAAAAAACAAAAAGTAGCCGAACACCAAAGCACTAGATGAAAGTACACGTTTATTCTTCATCAGATGCCTCTTTCAATTGTGTACGCCATGAAGAAAGCATCTGGTCTCTTTGGGACGAGGGGATGTCCAGGTCTCACAATCTCAAAGCCAAGAAAGCTAAAGGTGCGAAGCAGTGAAGCTGCAAAAAAAAAAAAAAAAAAAGGGGAAAAAAGACATCAAGTTACTTCATTTAACCTCTTCACGGCCCTCGGAGACATGTACAGCGCACTACACTTAATTGCATGTCAGATGATTGCATACTCTGCTTCATTGCATAGCAATTTCCAGAAACCGAAAATTCGCTACTTGTTTGTATGGTATTGCACTCCATTTGGTTGCAGATCTGATAATTGCATAATTTGCCTTATTGCCTTGGAATTATGGAGACTAAGAAGAGATATACCATTCTTACTTTAGCTCACTCCTTTAATGGTCTTGAAGTAATATATACTGAGTTATGGTTTATGTCCTGAAGTAATATATACTGTTCATTTGTGAAATGGTTATGAACTATAAATAGTCAATAGAACTTCAGGTAATTGCATACTCCGCATAATTGCATGACAGCTATCTGGAACCGACTCCAGGCGATCATACAGATTGCACTGTTGAGTTGGATTTTAGCAAACTACATGAACAGTATGGACCCACCCGCCCACCATTGGCCACCTCAGCCCCAACCTCTGGAATTCCATTCTCCAGTCACTCCGCCACACCCCCTCCTTAGCCTCCTTCAAGTCCTGCCTCAAGACCCTCCTCTTCGACCATGCCATCAGCCACCCCCCCTCCCAACCCCAGCTCAGGTCTGAAATGCTGTACTCTGTCCAGCGCCTTGGGACGTCCGCTCGACATGAAAGGCACTATTCAAATGTAATCTTGTTGTTGTTGAATAGGACTCAGCAGGAGCAGAAAAAAAATCAGACTAAACAATGCATTAGGATTTAAATAGCTGACGTTCTAGGCAGCTGTCAATAAACCTTTAACCACCAATGCAATTTACAGCAGTAATCATAAAGTCAATGTAGAATATTTATACTGTCAAAACAATGTCCAAGATTTGTTGCGTGCTGGTTTATTAGCCTGAGGCACAAATTATTCGAAAGATCAGTGTCCTCTCCTAACTGTGTGATACTCTTCTCTACACCGAGGAAAAGGGCAGGGATGAGGCAGGCTGGTCCCAGGCTTTTCCAGCTGTCCACTAGAAAACTGCATACATGCAGCCCAGCCTACCAAAGTAGATTTTGCTTCAGTGCAAAGTACACAAAATGGTGTGCTCCAAAACATGTTCAACTGTGGAGATTTTTTTTAAAAAAACCTTGATTGGTTGGCTTGTTTAGGAATATGTACAGTGGGCTGCTTGTAGGAACTTAAGAGCCTTCAATGAGATGCCAAATGTAGAATAAGGCTAGTGGGGATAGTTTTGTTTGTAGAGCTTGAACCAGCAGTTTTAATGTTAATAGTGCATTTAACCTTGCCGTACTACCATTGAAATGAGCATTGCTGCCAAAACCATTCAAGTCAAGGTTTCTCACTGGTGGGGCTGACCAGTTCCAAGCTCATTGCTTTGCAGTCAAATAGTTCTTAAGGAACTTCCCCAAACTTCAGGTAACAGCAGAACATTTATAAAGTGTACATACTTTCTTCTGTAACTATCGGTACTGTGGCATCTGCCCACAAGTCAAGGATACTGGAGAGCTGCTTCTGATTAAGCAAAGCAGCTCTGCATTATAAATACTCTACACCATTAAGATTAGTTATTAGTTCATTTATAGAATGCTATAATTGGCAGTATTAAAGAAGTAGTTTCTTTAAGCATCACTGAGTTGATTGACCCCTGAACTACAGTCAAAGCAGTTAGCACACAATCCCACACACTACCTATACTTTAGTCCAATTAGTTGTTATACTGACAGTATTCAATGGAACGTTTTGGTTTTGCTCAACATAAACCTGTACAGCAACCCCAAATTAAACATTCAGCGAAAGAATTGTTAAAGCAAGATTTGAATTTCACTCAAGTCACAACAATGTGCAAGTTCCACTCAGAATTCTTTAAATATGTCAGATATTACCAGTTTCAGATTGTTTGAAATACAGTTTTCCATCACTCACCTCGATCATCCCTGTTCTTGTGGAAGCAAATGAAGACATGTTCAGCCTGAAGATGTTCTTCTGCAAACTCCAGCAGGATGGTGAAACTGGAAAGATGTATGTCAAAACAGGAGTGAGAAAGAAAGCTAAGTCACCATCCTTCCCCTTGGCCATGCAGTTCAATTTAATGACGACATCCAATTTAGTGATTCATATATCAATATCAAACCTCAACCCACTTGCCTAATTCACTAGAAACAGAATATTTTGAAGCAAGTATGTATTGGCTACATTAGTCATTCATAATCCTAGCAAATATGAGTATTTCTAGCTATTTTAGTTCTATCTAAAATCAAATTTCTGTGGAAACAAAGTCATCATTGAGGTCCACATTATAAATTGGCTAGTGAAAGCAGTTACAATTGAGCCGCAAGCATAAATTAACACAGCTTCTTAAACAAACAGAAGCAGGGTTCCTGGTAAAGTTCAAGTCACATCTGTCCAACTAAAGGGTTCCTTTTTATTCCACCCACAATTTCCGCTTTTAGCATTCAGGATACTCCACACACATACCTTTCTTTGCTTCCTTCAGGCAAGGCCCCAACTGGGAGCTCAATATAAAGATTGTTGCTGTTCAGTACTGCTCTCCAGTGAACAATTCTTGCATCAGTAAGCTTGGACTGGATGTGAAGGATTTTAGTTCTGCTGTTTGCACTCAAATCTTCTGTTACACTCAGTCGAATATCCTGTAGGACGAGGAATAATGCAAATTGATACAACACCTATAATGTCTTGAGGCTCTTCACAGGCACTTACTGACAATATTGTGCATTGTAGGCAAACATGGCAACTAATTTTGACAAGCAAGTTTCTAACACTGCCAATTTATTGAGAGAAATGTTGGCTAGACACCTGGAGAAATTCCTCTTTCAAAATATTATCAAGGGATCTTTCAGGCAGGACTATAGATTAGTATCTCACCCAAAGATCAACACCTCCAGCATTGCAGCCTGATTGCTAGCTCTAAGTTCTGACATGGAGCTTGAACTCAGAGGCAAGTGTTTTACCAATCAAGCTTAGCTGATAGTTTACCGGGCAAATTCCAGTCTATTAATCTGCATCAAGGCCAAGTTGTTTAGTCATAAACCAGTTTGTTAATAAAACAGGAATCCATATCCACATTAAGGACATCTGCAGGCCTTTCGAACAATTCTGCTCCAACAAGGCCATGACTAAAGACACACAATTGATACAAAATGCTGAATACTCACCGAATACAATAAGCTGGCTGCAAGATTGTGATCCCTTTGACCATTCCCTCGCCCACCTGGGATCTTCAAGGGTGGGTGAGGGACATCAGGAGCACCACTGAGGCCCTGGACCAGGGTTACTACTGCAATTGGAGGACAGCCTGGGACTGAAAGGGTTAAAAAAAATTAACTTGTTTACATTGGGTGCAGGGGAATAAAAACATTGACTGTTGGAGCTGGATACATAACCTAGAAATTACCCTCTCACAATTAAGTGACACAGGATTCTGCAACAACCTTTCAATCAACATTGTAGTGAGAAATGCTTCAATATTATGGAAATTTGATATGCAAATATCTATACAGAATGCAAAGACAAAATGCCTAAATTTGGCTGTTTTCCACAATGCATTGGTTCTCCACTGATACTATGAGAAGTGAACTAATTGGCAAACAAGTTCCATGTGTAGCTTGGTTGTATCTGTTCAATATGATCAACATTTGTCTGAAAATTTCCTCCATGTTATGGTGCCAGCGTGTGGCTTGATTTTTTTGATTCAGTTTGAGCTGAAACTTCTATATTATCAACCGAGTTGGCAGTAAAGACTTGTATTCCCATTGGGAGGTCACTTGCTGCAGCCCAAATACAACACAAGTCCATCTAATACATGATATGGGGGGAGGGGAAAAGAGACATAACACTCACATCTAGATGGAAAAGCAGTCATTATTATACTACAGATTGAATAACTATGGTTAACTGTTTAAGTACAAACAATTTTCTACACAAACACTGCAATTTTACAAGATGCTATCTTCATACAATGACTATAAAAACATATTCATTTCAGAATTCAGCCCTAAAGCTGGAACTCTTTCAAAGCAATGTTTTCCCCTAAAACCTGTTAAATAACCAACCATCCGTGCTTAAACAAAGGCAAGCAAAAACTGCCAAAGGTTAACCAGCTTTGTACATTTGCTGTCATGCTAGTTGTCCATTTCCACTGACACCGAAGAATCGTGATACTCATCCTCCAAGCCCTAACAGAAGGCCAGATTGAAGGGCCCACTGAAGCCATCCTTTTAAAAGTTGGGCAACACGGCAGAATGGGAAGGGCTCGTTCTGAATGATTTGAAGAGCATTTCCTAAGGTGCAAGTTTGCAAAAACGAACGCTGAACGTTAAGGCCACCCGCAAAAACCGAGATCAAAACAAACCTCCGAATTAGCAAAGCCATGGGTCTGATGGGAGCTCAGATGCTCGGCATCGCTATTGTTCACAGTGGATCGCGGAAGGGTTGGCTGTTCCTGGTTGCAAACAAGCCCCACCCTGACTGCTGAACCGCACAGCCCAGGCAGCACGTCACACGGCCCCACCACGTCACCTCGGCAGATCACAGCCTCCAGGGGGTTTCATAACAATCGCGGGCATCAACTAACACCAACCACCTTTTCTTCTCCTCTCTACCCCCCCCCCCACTCATACACACAACACCCCCCCACACTACACCACACCCCCCCCACACATACACACAACACCCCCTCACACTACACCACACCCCCCTACACATACACACACACACTACACCCCCCACATACACACAACACCCCCCCCACACTACACCACACCCCCCCTACACACACACACAACACGCCCCCCACACCCCCCCACATAACCACCAACATCCATTCTCACCAGTTCGCTGTTTGTTGATCCACTTCCCCGAGCAGTCCAAGTAAAAACAAAGTCTCATTTACACACCGGTGCATTAACGTCCCCTTCCCACCGCTTTTCTTTTTTTTTAAAAAAATATAAAACAAATTCCCACTGCGACTCATCCACGGTGGTTTTCTCATTTTTATTTCTTTTGGGAGTTTTTTTTAAAAAAAACGGTGCAAATCCTCCAACGTGCTTTATATAAAACATGTTTCAACTAAAAGCTAAATGTTAGATAGCGGGTTGTGGGGGGGAAGAAACGAAGAGAACTATTTCACACGTTTTTTTTTAAAAAACAAAATAAAATCCCCAGTGCTCCTCATCCCCGAAGATTTAATCCCAGTCTTTTTTGTATTTTTTTGTGTGTGTGTGGAGGAGAAAAAAAGAGAAAAAAAACACGGTGCAAACACGGATGTTTGTTTTTTTAAAAAAATGCTATCTGTAGCTGTGTGTGTGTGTGTGGGTGCGTGGGGGGGGGGGGGGGGGTGGGGGGGAGAAATGGGTGAAGAAAGAAAAACTTTATTGAAAAAAAATCAATCAAATAAAAAAAAACTTGGACGGCGGCCATTTGGGGCCTTTTAAAAACAGGGGAGGGAGGGAGGGCTTTTCCTCCTCCTTCCCCCCTCCTCCTCCTCTTCTCCCCCACTCAGCCCTTTTATTTTAAAATAAAATTCCCTCACTCCCTCCCCCCCCCCCTTCCCTGCCACACACACACACACACACTCTCTCCTTTGGAAGGCGCCCTTGGGGGAGATATTTTTTTTTCCCCTCTCCCTCCGCTCCCTCCGTTTGGAAGGCGGGAGGGGGGCCATTTTAAACGGGGAGGGCGGAGGCGGAGGGGGGGGGGGGGAAGAGGGGAGAGAGAGACATCCTTCCTTCCCTCACCCCCCCCCACTGCTCTTCTCCTACACTCCTTTATCACGGGATTCCCTCCTTCTCTTCGGAAAAGGCAGCGATCTTGGATTACGAGGGGGACGGGGATTTATTTTATCCCTTCTTCCTCCTCCTCCTCATCGCCATTCCCTTCACCCCCCCCCCCCCCGTTATGAAGACAACCTGCGGCCTATGTGTACACACACACACACACACACACGGTGCGAGCTTGCGCGCAAAAAAAAAGACGTCCTCCTCTCCTCCATTGCCTCCCTCCCTTCCCTTCCCTCCCCGCTTACCTTTCGGCTCTAGCACTGCGACTAAACGTGACGGCTGGCATCGTATCTCCTTCCTTTCTCTCGGGCGAAACAGTGACTATTCAAAATGCGCTGGAGGAGGGAGGTTTCGACCATCCGGCCTTAGGGCTCCACGACGGGACAACCAGGTGAAGCGAGCGAGCGAGTGAGAGAGCGAGGGAGGGAGGGAGGGAAGAAGAAGAAGAAGAGGAGGAGGAGGAGGAGAGGGAGGGAGGGGAGAGAGAGAAAAAAAAAGGGGGAGGAGGGGTTGTTGTCTCTGCTCTCGCCGCCGCGTCAAGTCAGCTGCTCGCGCGCGCGCGCGTGTGTGTGTGTGTGTGGGTGTGTGAGGTGAGGGGGGAGGAGGACGACGACGGGGAGGAGGCGCGGCCGTTCGCGCGCGCTCTGTGACGTCGCGCGAGGGGGGCGGGACGGGGCGCGTGGCGGTTATTCAAACGGGGCGGCCCAACCGTCACTTCGCTCGCGACACCCCACCCCCACACTTCCCGGCCCCGCCCCCCCCACCACTACCCCCACGTGACTAGATTTCGAAGGGTTGTTCTCACGCCCAATCGGGCGGAACCGCCCTCGTCCCGCCCGCCCGCCCGCTCCACCACCACCAACTGCCCCCCGCACGTGACCAGAATTGGGCGGTTTTCACGCCCAATGGGGCGTGTTTTTTTCTCTGTAAACGGGTGGCGCCTAAAAATTTTTTTTGGGGGGGGGAGGGGGTCATTTTATTTCGTTTTAAAACCACCCACAGACGTGTTCTTGGTGGTTGTTTTCCTTGGAGGAGCTCTTTAATAATTAGTAATAGTGTCATTTGATACGACGCCTCAGAGCGCTCGTCGGGGCGGGGGGGGGGAGGGGGGGAGGGGTGGGGGGTCACGTTATATTTGGGGTGTGTACGTATATGTACGGTGTCTGTTATTATAATGATAATAATAATAATCCTCGCGTTTGGTTTCGATTGCGGCCGCGTCGCCGCGTCGAGCCGTCTCGAAAGCGCTTCACGGAAATATGCTGTCAAGTGTAGTGACTGTAGTAGGTCTTGTGGTTGAAAGTCACAAACGGTCGCGGGTGGATCGAGTGACCTGTCTTATTTGTTGTTATAATTTTTTTTGGGGTGGCGTGGGGGGGGGGGGGTCGGGGTGAGGTAGTAACCGCTATGGGAGAACAGAAACGCCGGCAGGGATATCGCTCTGCCCTTAATTAGCCTCTGGGCGCACAGTCACTACACCTCACGGTGGACCTCTGAAGGGCATCAAAACGCCGGGTTCCTCGATGCCGTCCGAGGACTCGATTGCCGAATGGCGACCCCCGGCCGGTGGGACGGCCTTTTAAGCGCTCGGGCGTCTGTCCCGACGCGATGGGATATAACCAGCAATAATAACCTGCCGTTGTCAAGCGGCAATTCACGCGGTTCGACTCGGGGAGTGTTTAACAGCGTCCAGGGCTCGGGGAGAAAAGGGAGATGACCGTCAGCCGTCATCCTTGGATCGTTACGTAGCGCCCTCCGAGCGGGGTAGCGTCTCGGAACGCTGTATCGACTGTAATCGTTATGATTATCGCTCATCTTGCAGGTGCAGATAACAATAATAATAATAATAATAATAATCCTCGCGTTTGATATAGCGCTTTTCCCGTCGGGAGGACGTCCCAAAGCGCTTCACAGAACACACTGTAAAGTGAATTGACTGTGTATTTGTGGGCGAACGCGGCGGCCGATGGCGCACAGCAACGTCCCACAGACAGTCAGTCGTGGATTGAAAATGACCGATTTATTATTGTTTTGGGTTTTTGGAGGGTTTATTATTAGGGCTCTGTGTGTGGAGTAAGGAAACTTGCCCGAGGTTTCGCCCTCTGCCGGGGATTGAACTCGGGTCCCTCGCTTGCAAAGCGAGTGCTCTAACCACTGAGCTACAGGACTCCAGAGAAGCTGCCACGTTTGCCCACATCGCAGCGTTGAGTTAATTTCAACGCATTCACGTTTTAATGTGCTTTCCCCACCCCCACTCTCGCCCTAGTCCTTGTTACTCAAATGGCTACCGGCTACAACGGAGGGATTGAGGGAGAGTGTTCCAGAGTTATGCGTTAAGTACTGATGCGTGAGCGCAATAAAAAGGATCGGTTATTCATTTCATCATTCAAGGGACCTTGTAATTTTCTCCACCCGCAAGACGGCGGCACAGCACGCCAGGATTTTCTTCGGTGACGGTTTATTTCCCAAACCTTCCTTCGCAATCTTGCTCTGTCAAAGCGATTGCGAAATAATTCGCGGTAAGCGGTGGGGGGGGGAAAGAGTTACAGTCATAGCGTGAATGGAGATAGTGTCATGTAACATCCGGTACTCAGTCCACAGTGGGTGTTAACAACTTCGGGCGCTTGAAGGATTTTCGTTCGGTGCCCGACCTGATGTGACTGAGAACGGCCATCTCTCAGGGATGGACGTTTTCAGGACGACGGGAGAGGTTGATGAGCAGCACTTGGCGCGAGCGTAAGATCCCTCCAAAACCAAAAACAATAATAAATCGGTCACTTTCAAATCTACGACTGTCTGTGGGACATTGCTGTGCGCAATTGGCTGCCGCGTCCGCCCACAAATATACAGTCAATTCACTTTACAGTGTGTTCTGTGAAGCGCTTTGGGACGTCCTCCCGACGTGAAAAGCGCTGTATCAAATGCAAGGATTATTATTATTATTATTAGGATGTAGGCTGGCAGTTCGATAACAGGTTTCAACTTCCCACCGCCACTCAGACAAGGGAAAGGTTATCTAATTTTAACCTAAATTGACAGTGATGGTTGTTCATTAGCTGAAACCTATTTTTGGAAGGGGGAAGAGAAATGCTCTCTTTCTCTGACGTTTCCAAAAAACTGTGTCTCGCGGACTAATTTGGATGATCTGGAAGACCCGTAAGGAGCACAGCAGACCCCATCTACACACGCGAATAAAATCCATAATCATGTTTACCCAGCAATACACAATCTCTCTTACTCTCCCCTTTTCCCTCAGAGAAAGGAAAGCGAACGACAGAGTCAGGCGAACAGCAGAGGAAGGGAAAGCGAGACAAAGAGAGAGAGAAGACGACATAATTAAGCGCAAGGATTATTATTGTCGTAACTCCACGGAGCACAAATGGCGAGTCTTTAAGCTCGCCACCAACTGTACTGACTGACAACGTAGACTGATAATGGGAAAATTCCACGTTGAGCGTTCATTATCAGTTGCTGTGCTCAGTGGGAAGACGGATTATCGATGCCCCCACCCCCAACTGTTTAGGAGCAATCAAGGTCACTTCCATTTTGACGCTGCCGGCGCAGATGAGTTTCTACCGCTGTTGAATTTAAAAATAATTACATTGATATAGTCCTTTCACCCAAGCAACGTTTGTAATGCTCAGGTGTAAAATAAACAATTTGCATTTTATAAGGAAGCAATCCCCAGTGCTGAACCTTACAAACACACACACACACATCTATAAGGCTGGATCCAAGAAGCACATTACAGGAAGAATCTAGATAAAGAGGACCTGCCATGCGTGTCAAATGATAGTTTACCCAGAAATGAGACTGAAGTGGACGGATTCGCAGGATCGTACGGTTAACAGATAAATTAATTGAAATGAAAAAAAATGATATTTTGAAAACGGCTTTCGATCGCGTCGCGAAATCAATCTTCAAAGTATCAAGTTGCCGGGAGACGATGTTCTTTGAAGTAATACCCGGATGTGAGTTAGTGTTATTTGCGATAAATAAAAATAAATAAACTGCTTTCACCCACGTCTCCCATGTTTCCGTTATGAGCTTCCAAAATAATGTTGGCATGCATCGACCCAGCGCAACACACGTTGCAGTGAAATTCGATTTACAATGCATAATTTGTATGGCGTCTGTCACATCGGGAGAGACGACAACATGTGGCACAACTGGAAGGAGCAGAAAAATCAGTGAAGCGAGCACATAACCAATCTGGGGGGGAAAGAGGGAGTGATGATATCAATAAAACAGTGTAACCTGCCCCTTTTACTACAACAACATCTTTATAGAGCACCCTTCCACGTACATTAACATAATGTCTCAAAGAGCTTTGCAGTGCCTGGGATGGGTGCCAAGCAGGAGGGATACCATTCCCACCTCCACAACATCGCCCGGCTCCGCCACTGTCTCACCGCAGGCTGCCGAAACCTTCATACGTGCTTTCATGACATCGAGGCTCGACTATGCAAACTCCCTGCTTGTCAGCCTCCCCGACTCCTCCCTCCGTAGGCTGCAGATCGTCCAGAACTCATGTCCTCTCCCGCACCAGTCTCCGTGACCCTATCACCCCCCCATCCTCGCCCGACTCCACTGGCTTCCCATCACACAGAGGATACGGTTCAAGATCCTGGTCTTCACCTTCAAAGCCCTCCATGGTCTCGCTCCCCCCGACATCTGCGACCTTCTAACCACCTACCATCCTGCTCGCTCCCTCCGCTCAGCGGGCTCCAGGCTGCTTCACGTCCCCCACCTCGCTCACCCCACCATTGGCGGGCGGGCCTTCTGCCACTCTGCCCCCACCCTCTGGAAGTTCGTCCCGCAGTCCCTCCGCCTCACCTCCTCCCCTCGCCACCTACAAGACCCATCTCAAGACCCTCCTCTTCGATCGTGCTTTTGATCTCCCTGTTCACCCCCCCTGCCCTCCACCCTCCCGGGTCCCGACCCCCAGCTCGCGTCCGAAATTCTGTCTGTCCAGGGCTTGGGACGTCTTCCCGACGTGAAAAGCGCTTTACAAAAATGTAATGTTGTTGTTGTTGTTGAAAGAGGAGGTGACAATAGGGCACAGCTGAGGATGTAGGTTTTGTAGCGGGGTTTGAAGGCAGATTGAGCGGAGGCGAGATTGAGGGCTCAAGGGAAGCTCACATAAACTCACACACAAAGTTAATAGAACAGGCTATATTGAGACCATCATATAGCCTGAATTACCAATGCACTATGTACAGTAAACTCCTGATAACTCAACCCTGGCTTAACTGGTCACTACCACTTAAGTCATCTTCGTGTATTTATACATATAACTTATTTGGTGGGCGAAACGCGGCAGCCAATCGAGCACAGCAGCGTCCCACAAACAGCCGTGGATTGAGTGACCAAATTATTTTGGGGTTTTTTTTTCCTTGAGGGATTATTATCAGGCGTGTGGAGTAAGGAAACTTGGCCAAGGTTTCGCCCTGCTGGGAATTGGACCCAGGTCTCTCGCTTGCGAGGCGAGTGCTGTAACCACTGTATTGACCCACAACAATCTGTTGTCAACATAATATAATATAATATAATATAATATAATATAATATAATATAATATAATATAATATAATATAATATAATATAATAGCCACAGAATATTCTGCTGGCAATAAACTAGAGGAGAAGGTTCCTTTTGACCTGTAACCCATGATGTGAGCTGTAACAGTGGAGGACATAATGGCTCTCATTTCTCACTGCGATACTCTGCTGTAGACACACATCCTGGTGATCGCCTGACATGTGCACCACAGCCACGTGTGTGTATGTGAGGACTTGCAGAAGATGGTGGTACCCATCTCATGGTATCTTTAGACAAAGAGAAAAACTCTCTTTTTGCTGCTTTTACATTACAGGACCACCAGGACTGAAAAGCAGAGAACCTGACACTCGAGCAGTGCCGCTTTTAATTTCAGAAAGCAAAGAGGTTTCTGTTTTTTCGTTCCCCCGGCACCTTTCAAACTTGTTTTCCTGCTCGCTCAATAGAAAAACAACAGTAAGCAGAGGCTGGAGATAATAATAATCCTTTCATTTCGATACAGCGCCTTATCGCGTCGTTGAGACGTCTCAAAGCGCTTCACAGAATATACTGTGAAGTGAATTGACTGAATATTTTGTGGGCGAAACGCGGCAGCCAATTGCGCACAGATGCACGCAAACGGCAGGGGACGTGTAGCTATCTCGAGAGTAATTTTTATGACTGTTCTTCAGCCACAAAGCGGCGATGGGTTAAATCGACCCGACGTTTGAGATTTGGTTGCTGTCGGGTTCTGTCTATGATCTCGTACGTATGTCAATCAATGTCTGGAGTCATCAAGAAAATTGGGTCAACGTCTTTGACCAGCAGATGGGGCCCTATTGCCTGATTTACAATTATCGGAGGGTTTGAGTAGGTTATTCAGCGATTTTTTATAATGCTCAAAGCTCACCTCGTTGCTTCATCTATACCTCTGTAGCCTCCTGCTCTCTGCCCACTCTCTCCTCTCTGCTCACTTGTGTTCTTGCCCGCTCACAGCTTACGGTCAAGGAGCAAAACAGTGTTTGCACAAGGATTGCACGTTTCAATCTCAGCTCCCATTCAGCTGGCCTACCTTTTTATTTCCCAGCGCAGTCACCGTATGCATGCTAATTGCTGAATTATAATTAGTTGTAATTTAGTGTCCCAGATTGTCACCGATTCACCCTATTTGAAATGGTATTGAAGTCCCAGGGAGTAGAATTGCCACTCTTAGCTCTTTGCGGCGATGGTAATAATAGTAATGGTCCTCGCATTTGCTGGAGCCTGTTATCGCTCCGTTGAAACACCTCAAAGATACGCAGTGACAAAGATATCACTGCAAAGTGCAGTGACTGTATTTGGAGGTGAACGCAGCAGCTAATTTGTGCACAGCAATGAAGTGAATGACTGATTTATATCTGGGGGGAGGGGGAATTGTTGGCCAGGGCACCAGAACAAACTCTCTTTATATATTTTTTTGGTGTCTGACACACGCGGAATCCCATCACCACTTTAACAATATTCCTTTTCTTTTCCGATAGTGCCACGGGACCTTTACTATCCTCCTGAACAGGCAGACGGGGCCTTGGAAATGATCATTTCTGTCCGTGTAATGATAATGACCCAGGCAGATGGGGAAATTGGTACAGAATGAGAAAGTATTTCTATTATATAAAACAAGTACAATCAGTCATTGCTAATCTTCAGTGTAAACTGTGCTGTGAGTGACAATACCAGTGACTTGGCAGAGGGGAAAATCACGTTTTGCCCAGATGTTATATTGTCATTCTGTCTCATGACATTTTGTACAGCGAGCTTCAAATAGCTGCCCAGTTGCGAGGGGAGCCACTGAGAGGAAAGACCAGTGAAGGCCTCCAGAGAAGGTTTAAGTGTAGAGGAAAATTAAGGAAGAAAGAGCGAAGTTTGGTGAATCTCTTTAGGAGCAGATTTACTAGGCGGGCCGAACGAGAGGACGGACTGGTTTAGGTTCGCAATGGATGAACCTCATCTTCTCTGCCTCGCGCCTGGGGGAACGTGGTGGCTAAGAAATCTCATAAAGCACAGCGATTTATAATAAGGTCTCGTTGCAAGTTGCTCCAAGACTTGAAAGCGACGGGCGAGTTACTGAGAGCTGTGCCCACTTAAACCTCAGCCTATTCCAACAGCCGAGTCAGTCAGCTAGTCAGTCAGTCAGTCAGTCAGTCAGTTAGTCCCTGAGTTGCTGTCATTAGTTGCTGTGAGGGTTTGATGGTATCTGACATGATTGGCTGATATTTTGATTCTTACCGGAACTGGCACCTGTTGCTTCGCATCAATCCCAGTCTGAGACGGAGCCAAGGAGAGGGACAGTCAAGAGTCCTCTGCGCTGCATAAAACAAGGAGCTTTTTTAAACACGCGACGAGTTTACCTCAGCCCGCAGGCAAGACGTGAGTCCCTTTTGAGGATGTGTTTCTTTTGCTTTGGGGAGCTTTTGACTCGCGAGTCATTGCTCTCGATACCCATTTTCGTTGCCTCTGGAGTGTGTAGCTATTTCTGGAAAGCGTTGCAATCTGAAACTAGAGAGTGTGCAGATCCAGCTAAGCAATCCTGCCCCGAGACAACCGAGGGGCGACCGTGGTGAAAGAAAACAGAATCGTGCGTTTCCACGTGTTTGGTCCTGTTTTAATGTGCAGAGTAATTATTTGGAATTGTGTGAGTGAACGGGATGGGAGGTGGGAAGGAACCTTAGCGCACTTATTCATTTGCTAGGACAAGGCGTCTCAAGTCAGCGGGGCCAGGAATTGTCTTTTTTTTTTGAGTTTTCTTATCAGTTTTTAAAACTGTAAAGTGTCAATGCTGTCTTTTTTTCTTAGAAAAAGTCTCTACGGATGAGGGAACACTTTAAATGTTGTTCGTGAATGCTAGAGAGTCTCATCAATAGATAGTGTCATCCAACCAGATTCCCAAATAGATTGGTTTCAAGGTAAATGTGAGTCTTCGGCCAACCTTCTGCCCTCCCTGCCCACCACCCTCCCTGATCTCGACCCCCAGCTCGGGTCCAAATCCCTGACTGTCCAGGGCTTTGGGATGTCTTCCCGACGTGAAAGGCGCTATACAAATGTAATTTGTATTGTATTGTATACTTGTCCTGTGGAAGGTCCAAGGTCATTCACTAGAGGTGATAAGGTAAGAGGAAAAGCAGTGCTTTGAACATATATATAACAATAACAACAACAAATTACATATGTATAGCGTCTTTCACATCAGGAGGACACCCCAAGGCGCTGGAATATTGATATATTAATAAAATAAATGAGTTAAACATTTAAAATTTGGGCTTATGAATTGTTATTGTCATTATATATTGCTGTGCACTGAGTTATAATGAAAAGGTTAAAGAAGCTGATGGGTTTTTGGGATGACGAAAATTACTCCACTGAAAGACGTACTAAAATATGTGTGAATGGGGAGCGGGGAAATTAAGGACAGGTCTGGTGTCCCAGAGCCGCAGTATAGTTGGATGAGAACTTCTGTCTACGTTTCGCCCACAAAGTGTACAGTCAATTCACTTTACAGTGTATCCTGTGAACCTCTTTGAGACGTCTCGAAGACGCGATAAGGCGCTGTGTCAAATGCAACGATTATTGTTATTAATACTGTCCCACCAAAAATAAGTGCCTGATTGTGGTACGGCTGTCAGCAGGAGTAAAACTCATTGAGCATTTTCCAGGGAGAGAGGACAGACAGAGAGAAAGAGAGAAAGAGAGAGAGAGAGAAAGAAAGAATCCCTTTAACGTTAAACACAATCAGATTTCAAATTATTGTTATGCGTCAGTAAATTATTAGCGATTTCTTAGAAAATATTTGAAATGCATTCTTTGATTTTGTTCTGCCGCAGTTGTTCCTGACGCGTATTCACTGACGTACGCTCCCGAGGATTCAGCTGTTAACATGGGTTGCGTTGTAACTGATATAATATCGCTAGCTCTGCCTTGTGTGTGTGTGTGTGTGTGCGCGCGTGTGCGCGTGTGTGTGCGTGTGTGTCGGGGCAAATGCAATAATGACAGCAGATCACACGGGGAAAGAATCCACGGTAATAACAAGCGAAAAGGGGAAAAGAAATGGAAGAAATACGACAAGCGGAATGGCAAGTGTTAGCGAACACGACAATGACCAATAAAGAGCCAACAGCGTCGTTTGGCACCGAAACCATTCCAGTAACCATTAATGACCAGTAACTTCCTGGTAACAATTCACTGCAATGACTCGGTGATGAGTTACCAGGAGTGGCGAGTTAGGCATACGTAAGGCGAAACCTTGGGCAAGTTTCCTTACTCCACACAGAGCATAATAATAATCCCTCCAAAAAAACAAAACAATAATAAATTGGTCATTTTCAATCTACGACTGTTTGTGGGACATTGCTGTGCGCAATTGGCTGCCGCGTTCGCCCACAAATATACAGTCAATTCACTTTACAGTGTGTTCTGTGAAGCGCTTTGGGACGTCCTCCCGACGTGAAAAGCGCTATATCAAATGCAAGGATTATTATTATTATTATTATAAATACATGTGGCCGGGATGTTGACAGAGTGATGACTGAGGAGTCGGAGTGACAACTTGAGACAAGTTAAGGGTGGGGTTATCAGAAGTTTACTGTAGGGAGGGAGGTACAGTATTAAGCTGCGGTACAGTATTAAGCTGCGGAACACGCTTCCAGTTTGACCCGCCTAATGAATCTGTTCATACTAAGGCATTCGAGGGTTTCCAAACATGTAACGCAATAATTGCTGGGCGAGACTTAATACAGGAGGCTCTTGTTACAGACTGCCTGTGAGTCAAGTGCATCAAAATGTCTGGAGATTTGTTTTTAACCACAACAAACAGATGTGAAAGCAGAACCCAGTGACAGGTTTGTGGCAACCATGATTTGTGAGTGGCTAAAACAACAACAACAAGTTACATTTGCGTAGCGCCTTTCACGTCAGGAGGACGTACAACAACAACAACTCAGCTGTGAACGCAGGTTAAAACTCAATGCCAATTGATGCTTGGGCGTGTAATTACGATTCACTCACACAGCACTGATGCGTTGGGCCAATGGTCGTGCGCCTCAGATTCTTTATTTGGCTATGAGAGCACAAAGTGATGTCCACAAGTGGGGGAAAGAGATGTCACAGACTTTTTGCGAACCTGACAACTTCAACTCTGTGTATTTGGTCAACAATTTATAGGGTAGCTCATCACGACCTATAAATGGAGTCCTGTAGCTTAGCAGTGAGAGCACTCGCCTCGCGAGCGGGAGGACCTGGGCTTCTATTCCTGGCAGGGCGAAACGTTGGGCAAGATTCCTTACGCCACACGCCTCTATTTACCCAGCTGTAAGTAGGAACCCGGTTGTTAGACGATTGGCGGATGGCTTTTCCGGGGATAATAATTCCTTTAAAGCAGGAATTCCACATGTCTCGAAGACGCGATAAGGCGCTATGTCACACTCTAGGATTATTATGATTATCATTATTATTATTATTATTATAAATGCACGTGGGCCTCTCTGATTGCTCGGCAAGTTGTCCAGGGAGGAGCTGATGTGTTACATACATCAGGAAGGCCCCAGGTTCTGCCCTCGGTCTCGAGTGGAGTAACATAATCTCTTCCGAGGCAGCAATAAAGAGTTATAATCGGCGTCAGCGACTGAAGAGAGCAGAAACTCAGCCCAGGGTTTGCGTTTGCGATTGCTAACCTGCGGGTGGGATAGATGTCGGGGAAGATATTTTCGGGTTTGGCTACATTGCCTCCTGTGTATGAAAAGTCCCGTGCCATTCATTCACTGTCAAAGGCTCCCACAGTAAATAATGGGCAAGTGGATACGGCACAGCTTGGAAAGAGGCGATTCCAATACTGCCAGGAAAAATAACTTGCGTTTACACAGCGCCCCTCACACCGGGAGCGTCCCAGAGTGGCGGAGTGCAGTGCTGAGCCGGGTGGCAGGGCGTCGCGGGGGGTGGGGGGAGAGGGTGGGAGGTGACCGTAGGCACGGTCGACGAGGAAGGGTCTTCAGTCACGACTTATATGACTTATTCTGCCTTACAGCCTTTCAGCTCCCCTCTCGACTCTCTTCCCCCTCCTCGCTCCCTCCCTTTCCTCCCCTCACCCTGACCATTTCTCCGCTCCTCGCTCCCTCCCTTCCCTCCCCTCACCCTGACCATTTCCCCCTCCTCGCTCCCTCCCTTCCCTCCCCTCACCCTGACCATTTCCCCCTCCTCGCTCCCTCCCTTCCCTCCCCTCACCCTGACCATTTCCCCCTTCCTCGCTCCCTCCCTTCCCTCCCCTCACCCTGACCATTTCCCCCCTCCTCGCTCCCTCCCTTCCCTCCCTTCACCCTGACCATTTCCCCCCTGCTCGGGTCATGACCCAACTGTGCAGCGCCTTGGGACGTCCTCCTGACTTGAAAGGCGCTTTATAAATGGAATCTTGTTGTTGTTGTTACAGTCAACTCTCAGCCACTCCGCTCAAAGAGGAAGCAGCCTGTATTTACAATAGGCGACTCTAGCTTCAAGAAAACACGCGTAACTTTTGCCCGACTTACAGTCAGCCTCTGGATGTGCACAGTGTTGACCGTTTGCGGGGCTGCAGGAGGCAAATCAACACGCTGCGGAGCTTGAGATATCAATCCTAATCCGTACGTTTGATACAGACTCCCTTCGCCGAGGTGGGGATTTCTCAAAATGCTTCCGCAGGACAAGTCCGCGACGGCTTTTTTTTTGTAGGTGACTGCACGTTACTCCACATTAAATCAGGTGGAGGTTAAAGGTCCCGTGACACTATTCATAAGGAGAGGAGCGTATCTCTTGGTGTCCTGCCCAACAATCCACCCCACCCCACCCCACCCGCCAGATAAAATTGGTGACTCACTGCGTAGTTGTTTGCGGGACATTGCTGCCAATTTGCCCACAAAGCAACACAGTCACTTCGCTTTACATTATATCCTGTGAAGCGCTTCGAGCCCTCCCTTCCTGACGTGAAAGGCGCTGTACCAATTGCAAGGATGATTATCATCACGATTATTAGTACGACAGCACCTTAGTCCAATTTTATATCATTTGAAACTTCTGGCTGTAAAAAAAAATTTGTGGCGATGGCTGAACAGATCGCCAGGTCGTTCTGTGTGTGTGTGTGTGTGAGCATGTGTGTGTGTGTTTGTATGAGTGTGTGTGTGTGAGCGTGTGTTTGTGTGAGCGCGTGTTTGTGTGAGCGCGTGTTTGTGTGAGCGTGTGCTTGTGCGAGCGTGTGCTTGCGTGAGCGCGTGTGTGCAAGCGTGTGTGTGTGAGCGTGTAAGTGTGTGTGTGAGTGAGTGCGCGCGTGTGAGTAAGTGTGTGTGTGTGTGTGTGTGTGTGTGTGTGTGTGCGCGCGCGCGCGTGTTGGGGTGGATTGATGATAACTATTATCGATCGGCCAGATTTCTAGCAGGAGCTTAAACTTACATTCCCCACCAGACCTCAGAACACTTAGAACATTCTCCCGGTCTGCCGAGTTACCTTGGCAACTCTAATATGAGCCTCGTCCTCTGTGGTTTTATCCTAAATACCCTCGGAATCCAAATTTGGAGAATCTATTATTTGAGATTTGGAACACGAGTGCTCTGGGATTCGAGGTTTTAAAAGATTTTCTGTTCCCTATTCCCCAGCACTGTCATATCACGATCACCGTTCCCGCTGCAACAGAGCACACGTAACCTCTCTCACGTTTTCAGTGCATCTGTTTTCTAAGAACGTACCAATTTTCTAGGCGAGAGAAGACCAAGGTCCATCGAGTTCGCCATCCGCCATCCTGGCAGCCGCTTGACATGTCGTGTCCCAAACCTATATGCTGTTGTGTCCCGCGATATTATTTCCTAACAGAAATTTGTTCTTGAAACAAACGACACCTTCTGCTTCCGCCGTCTGGCTAAGGTTTCTGTTTATTTTGGGGAGGAAAGACATTGTTTGGCTCTAAGGCGCAGTCAGTGCTGTTTTGCCTCATGATTAAATGTCACAGAGAAGTATATATTTCATAAACCTCCCCCCCCCCCACCCATTGGTTTTCATTCCCGGGCAGGGCCAAACCTTGGGCAAGTTAATAATAATTATTATGATGATAATAATAATCATAATAATAATAATGTGATCACTCAATCCATGACTGCTTATGGGACATTGCTGTGCGCAATTGGCTGTCGCCTTTCGCCCATAAAACACACAGTCACGACACTTTGCAGGATACCCTGTGAAGCTCTTTGAGACGTCTCGAAGACGTGATGAGGCGCTGTATCAAACGCAAGACTTATTATTATCATATTCCACCCCCCGACTTCCCAACAGGGGGAAAAAAATGTTTGGGAGCCATGATATTCCGGTACAGCTCCTGCCCTCCACTGTAGTTATTTAAGTGGAAGTCAATCGGGAAAAATGCCGAGCTCTGCACGTGCAGGGAATTAAACCCCAATAACACTGAGGATTTTCAATTGAAAATGCTCTGTGTGAGCGCCGTGGCCTGGGCGATCCTCGTAGTGCAGCTTGAGTACCCAAGATGTACTTTATAGAATCATAGAATTATAATAATAACAACATAAGAAGAATTATACAGCTCAGAGGGAGGCCATTTTTGGTCCATCTTGCCTGTGCCTACTCTTTGAAAGAGCTATCCAGATTAATCCCGCTCCCCGGCTCTCTTCCCGTACGTAGCCTTGCAAATTTGTCCTCCCCAAATGCCCATCCACTTCTGTCTTGGGTGTTGTTATCGAATCGGCTTCCACCACCCTTCCAGTCGGCGCAACTCGCTGTGCGAAAAAAATTCTCCTCCTCTCCCCTTCTGGTTCTTTTGACAACCATCTTAATTCTTAATCTTAAAGTCATTAACTGTGCGCAATTGGCTGCCGCGTTTCGCCCACGAAATACACAGTCACTGCACTTTACAGTACGTCCTGCGAAGCGCTTTGAGGTGTCTCGACGACGTGATGAGGCACAATATTAACTGCAAGGATTATTATTATTATTATTATTATTAACCCAAAGTGACAGCACTAACTCTGTACAACAGACACCATGAAATACTCAGCATCGACACATTAGGAACATAGGAAAACAGAACCAAAAAGGAAGCTATTATTAATTATCATGATCATTATTGTAGTTTTTGTGCGTTCGCTCTGCCTTGAGCCGCCTTAAGAAATTGTGAGGTGAGAATTTGTGTTCACTCAATGACAAGTGCAACGACTGCAGGATTCCACCAAATACCTGATCCTTTTCTCATCCAGTTTTCCCACAGTTCTGACGAAGGACCCACAACGTTGACTCGCTTTCCTTTCTCCATAGATGCTGCCTGACCCGCTGAGTGCTCCCCAGCCACTTCTGTTTTTGTTTTGCAACGTGAATCCCGACTGTGAATAAAACAGTAAATGCGCGCTGCGGACGCGAGGCAAAGTAATGTGACACAAAAGAAACGCGGTCGGGGATAGATCGTGGTCGAGTGTGTGCCACGGAGGGTTAAGGTGCTCTTTCCGTCCTTCAGAGGGTTCCGACATGGAGGAAGATATCTTCAAATCAGTCGAGGAAGATCTCGCCGAAGCAATACAAGAATTACCTCCGCAAGCAGAGCCATCGCGACGTCAAGGTGAGCTTGGGTCAGCAAATTGCAGAAATAATGTGTTGGAATGAATGAAAAAAAAACACTTTGATCGAGATTGGAAAGGTTGACTCGGCACCAACTGTTTCATCCAGCTCCTCGCGTGAGGGTTTCGTTCAAGGGCAAGCTATGTGGTTTTAGCAGGTTAGATTCCAAGCGGTTCGCCCAACGTACTCCAGGGAAAGAGAGTGCGCATTCCCTTCCGATAGCCACCTTGGGAATTTCCACGTGTAGGTGGGTTGAGACGCATGGAATTGTCAGTTTGGTTTGGAGCCCCCTTAAGCACGGTGAGGGGTTTCCGCGCGTGTGTCAAGACACTCGGCTGACCCCCCCCCCCCCAAAAAATAAAGGTTAGAAGGGACTGGATTTTTCGGGGAATATTTATACATCATTACAAGACGGCACTTTCAATCTAGGGTGGTTGCGAGACGGTTGGTTGATTTAATGAGGAAATCCCAGTGTTAGAGGAATGGTCTCGCTTGATTAAGTTGATCGCCTTGTCCACAATCACCTGTGACCGTACAAGTAGAGGCCGAGTTTTCACGACGGGGTTTACAGAGGCGCACGGGAATGAGTTATGGGGAAACCGCGAGGATTATCTAACGGGTCGTCCTTTCACTGCAGATGTTCAGATTTTGAAGAAGAGTAAAAAGATCAGCGAGAAATCAGACGTAAGTGACCACGACTGTTGTGTTCAAGAACAAACTCGGTTTAAAGCGTAGATTGGTTTGCACCAACGGCAGCATCAATACAGTAAACTCATAACTCAACCCTGGCTTAACTAGTCACTATCACTTAAGTCATCATGCTGTCAATATTTATGTACTTATCCATATGCCATGCATTCAACCACCCACCCCCTGATCCCAACCCTCTGCTCAGGTCCAAATCCCTGACTGTCCAGCGCCTTGGGACGTCCTCCCGACGTGAAAGGCGCTGTACAAATGGAATTTGTTGTCGTTGTTCTTGTTGTTGTCGCCTGTTTTGCAGGACACAGAGAAGGAAAAGGACGAGTTGCAAATAGAAGAAATAAGGACAGAAAACTCAAGACGCAGAAGCGACAGACAGAAGGCACCGCAGAAAACAATCACCGAAACAGCAAAGGATACGAAACAGAGCAGTAAAAAGACAGGAGAAGGTGTTGTGTATAAGGACTGTAACCTGCTACCGTGTTAAGCTAAAGACTAAAAATTCTCATACAAAACTACTGGTACTTAGTAATAATCCTTGCATTTGGGATAGCGCCTTATCACGTATCGAAGCACATCACGGGGTATACGGTAAAGCGAATTGATTGTGTATTATGTGGGCGAAACGCGACAGGCAAATGCGCCCAACGACGTCCCACAAACAGTCATGGTTTGAGAGACCAAAATTCTTCTTCTTATTTTTCTACTTGACAAGAGTTGCGCTGAGTCCCAGCACGTCATGTTTTAAAATCGAATCGAATGTTGTATTTTTAATCGTCATCGAATCGATCCGAGAATACAGGACGGAACGGGAAGGCAACGAGAGTCACGGCAAGCTGACGTTTTCCCTCTCTGTTTCCCCAGTGAAGCTGCCAAGATTGGGCGTCGAAAAGATCGAAGCGAAAGTTGCCGGAGAAGAAGATCCCTTGGCGGGGATCACCTTAAACAGGTGTCTTATAGTGGCCACAGTGATTGTGCTTCTGACCATGGGAGTGCAGGTGATCGCAGGTAAGAGCTCCCACCGGACTGTACCTTTGATAGGTTTTACGGTCCTCATTGAAACAGACGTCTCACCCGCTTTCAGTTGAACAAGGGACATCTGCTCTCACAGGACAATCCCATTGAGAGGTTAATATTCTGAAATGCAACTGTTGCTCGGGTTTCATTACACCCAACCCTCGGTGTAGCAAGCACTCACCAAGTACTTTTCCGCTAGTAAGTTTATCTGAGTCTTGATTACAATCCAAACCTCCTCCAATAAGCACATATCTGCCCTGTGTGTCCTTTCCCAGTGTCCTTTTATACTGCGTCGTTGTCTCTTAAAGTGGGATCTCTCCTCACTCTCGATTCCTTTTGTAAAATTTGCAAAAGATTGAAGCACAAATGGCTACAGGATGAGATACAGAATCACCTTAAACAGGTCTCTTATAGTCCCCTTCATTGATTGTTGTTCTTTACAAATAAAAACACGTGCAATCGAGTGACGAGAGACAGATTTTACAGTGCATATAACGAAATAATAATAAAAAGAAGAGTCCTTGCTTTTGATATAGCGCCTTTGAGATGTCTCAAAGCTATATCAAATGCAAGAATCATTATTGTTAGTAGTATTATCCCTTTTTCAGAGACAACGACACTCAGTTAAGAACCGATGGTGACTGGTGAGAACAGTGCCATGATTTCTCACAAAGACTATTCTTGCAGGTGTTTTTGAACTAGACGACGAGGCTGATTCCATGTTGTCCTACTCTGACAACGGGCTTCCAGATGATGACGATTTGACCCTGGTAAGAAACGGGGAACCTTTAAAACAAGAACGTAGAACATACCAGTCAGGTCTTTTACCGAGTGTTTGATATAGAGTCTTATCACATCGAATCATCCTGAGGCACCTCACAGAGTTTTCTGTGAAGCTGTGCGTGTTTTTGCTCAGACAAACGTAGCAGCCAATTTGTGCACAGCAGTGTCCCGTAAACAGCTATGGAGTGAGTGACCAATTTTTTTTGTGGGGGGGTGGGGGGATTGTCGGCCAGGACACCGGGAGAGAGACAGTGCCGTGGGATCGTTAACATCCACCCGAACAGGCAGGCGGGACCTCTACCTGTTTTTACGACTCACCCGAAGGACGGCACCTCCGACAATGCAACACACCCCCAACGCTGCGTTGGGGCGTCAGCTTAGACGGTGCGATTCCAAGTCCCGACGTAGGGGTTTGAACCCACAACCTTCTGACTCGGAGGCGAGAAAGGGAGCCCTAGCACTGAGCCAGGCTGACACGCATGACAGCACGCCAAGCACAGGCGTCTAGTTTCATCAGTTGGTGTCCAGGAGACTAGAAGGGAGAGTGCCCGGGGGGAGTCTGTTGAGAACGCCATTGAGGATGAAGGGACAACTAACGAAGCTGGAGGAAAGATCACAGCACAGGTGGTGCTTATAAGTAGCACCTTTCACATCGGGAGGACGTCTCAAACTGCTTCACCCACAGGAGGAGTGGTGGTGGGGGAGGCTGGGGGTTTGGGCAGGGAACCACGACAACAAAATTCAACCTTAATTGGGAAACCTGTCCCTTATGGGGTATTGTTGTAAAAAAAAGTCTTCTAATTTCAGGGGGATTTTGAGAATTTTTAAAAAGTATATGTATATATATATATAATCACACTCTGAAGACACGTATATGGTCTTAAAGCTAAAACCATGAGAAATTTGGTGCCTCGTTACTTTCTCATCCAATATTATTCCTATAATATTGTAGCAGATATGATTGAATATTGAGACTTACGATTCAGTGCGGCACACACACGCACACGCACATACACACACATGTGCACACACATGCGCGCGCACAATGGCCAGGGATGGGGGGTTAGAGAGAACATCTAACACTGCACGTTAATTACATTTGTGCAGCGCCTTTCAGATCAGGAGGACATCCCAAAGCGCTGGACAATCAAGGAATCTGGGGGTTAGGATCAGGATGGGGGTGGAGGGCAGGGAGGGTGGGTGGGGGTAGGAAGGTGAACGAAGGCGCGGTCAAAGAGGAGGGTCTGCGGGAAAGCTGGGGCCAGAAAGGCTGAACGCGAAAAAAAATAATATTTCAGCTCCTGCGATGGCAAAGACGGATGACCTTGTTTCCTTGCCCTAGGACGTAAGGACTGCGTTCGAGGATCGGGGACACATTTCAGGACCCGAGAAAGTTGCGGAGCACGAGAAAAAGGTTCCCTTCGCTGCCCCGGCCCGAACGGACGCCAGAAAACGCCACGAGAGACCGAAGGACGAGGCAGCCCAGAGGAAGCCCTCTCCGCAAGCTAAGGACATAAAGGTTCCGAGGGGCGGTTTCAAGCCAAAAGACGGCAGCAACTCAGCCTCAAAGACCGGACCGGGGAAAGAACACAAACACAAACCCAAACCCAAACCCGAGAAGAGAGACGATAAACACTTCAAAAAAGAACACAAGTCGGAAAAGCACAGAGGGCTGAAGGAGCCGCACTTCAAAGAAGGGGAGGACAAGAAATTTTACAAGGGCAAAGAAGAGGCCCGTGATAAGGGGGGTAAATTTAATCACAGCTCTCCCAGGAAGTATGACAAAAATGCCAAACAAGATACGTACAGAAAACACCAAGGCCAAGCCAGAGACTTTGAAAAGCACAAGCCGTACGGGAGGAACAAGCCACGGGGCGACGACGTCAGCCGAAAGCACGATTACAAAGGGCACAAAGAATACGACGGCCATAGCAAGCAGCAGCTCGGGCCGGTCAGGGCTGACGAGCGCGACGGTGTCGAGAGCGGCCACAAGAAACCCGGCGCGCCGAAGCCCGGGGGCAAAAATAGGTTCACGGAGAGCAAAAGACACGACTAGGTTCCGAGTCCCACTCACGCGCACGCAGTCACGTCGCGGGTCGCGGGTCGCGAGTCGCGGTCGGCGAAAGACAAACAAAAAAACAAAACAAAACAGTGTTTTCATTTCTCTTTCCCCCCACCCTCCGCCCTTCCCTCTCTCCTTCCCTCCCCCCCCCCAACCCCTTCCCCCCCTCCTCCCCCCCCCGCTGCGGGTGAAAAAAACGCAAAGAGGGGGAGGAAAAAAATGTTGCTTTATATCGGTGAATTGTAATGTTTTTAAATAAAAAAAAGTCCGTCTGCCGTTGCACCGAATTAAAACGATAAGCCCTCCTTCCAATAGGAGATCCAATCACGAGTCTGGAAATCAACCGGTTTTCTATAAAGAACCCAACAACAACAACAACAACTTGCATTTAGCGCGCGCCTCTCCTCGCGCACGGCAGAGCCCCAGAGCACCGTTGCCTCCGATCCCAACTGCGTCCAAATGCTGGGGCCGGTAGCTATTTTGAGTAACAAGACTGCAGGACACGGCTCAGCAATTTCTCCACTAGGAATAGGGCGAGAGGGTGGGAAAGGCACGTTAAAACGTGAAGGCGTTGAAATCAAGTCAACGCTGCTACGTTGGCAAACGTGGCAGATTATCTGCACCTACAAGACGAACGATGAATTATAGTTACATTTGATATAGAGCTCTGAGATGAGATGGAGGGCGCTGTATAAGTGCAAGTTGTTGCTGTATAGCGCCTTTCATGTGGGCGTTGCACTGTAGGGTCAAGCCCTTGTGTCCTGTGAGTCCAAGTCCGCACGTGGGGGTCGAACCCACAATCTTCTGACATGGAGGAGAGAGTGCTACCTACTGAGCCGAGCTGACACCAGTTCTTTTCAGCGCGCGTGTGGTGTGAGTGTGTGTGTGTGGGTGAGTGCGCTTGAGTGTGAGTGCATGTGTGAGTGCGCCCGCGAATGTATGGGTGCGTGCGTGCGTGTGTGTGTGAGTGTATGTGTGAATGAGTGTGCGTGAGTGCGTGTGAGAGCGAGAGGGAAGAGGGGTTGGTGCTTTGACGGCTTTTTCTCAATGTTTTCTCTTTATATCGCACATCGTGCGTGTAGTATTGCAGTCTGGAGAAAATAGCTCGCTTTTGTGCGCAAGCGCGGGCGTACGATGCCTTGTATTTTCGGACGTCTGTCACATTGAAACCGCAGCATCATCAGAATCCGAGCGGGCCTGAATGGTGCGAATCCTGAACCCGAAACAGATGAGGATTAACTCCACTCGGATGGAATTGGAGTCGGGTCAAGATCTGGAGCGCAATCCTAACTAATCAACTAACTGGCTATCTAACCACTCCCGGTGCAAGGAGGTGCGTCAAAAGTTTCTCAAGGTTTATTTTTAGGTCGTGCACTGCAATCAGCCGGGTTCTGTCCGTGCGTTGATATAAAATACCTTTCGACTCTAACACGCCTCTCACGTCTGTGGTGAACCTATCGCTTTTCACACTGTCAAATGGAGGCACCAGGAACGATGAGGCAAGTTGCGGAACCCAGAGGGTGTGTCGGGTTTAACTGCTGGAGTCTCACCAGCTAAGACTGCACGGTTTGGCTTTGAGGGCACTGTCTGGCCATCTTTCCGTTGCTTGTCCGGCGAGGACCACCCCTCCCCGTGAGGGCTTTGCCTTGCAAGCCAGATTCCTATTTACATCACTTGACTTGAAGCCCTGAAGTAGCGTCAATCCAAATTGACCGCATTTTATCAGAGAGCCCTAACCATTTTCTTACACCGGCGCAGGTCTGTATGTCCGCGCGATGTGCAGAAAATAAGGTTAAATACCTGCAGTTTAATTCGGAAACAAATTACAGGTGTTTGTGTATATTAAACTCATGGCATTTTCATCAGCAATTATTGGGTTTCGAAGCTTTTGTGCGCGGGATTTATGGCGACATTAACAAAAAATGTTCCTTTTTTGCCTGTTAAGTACTTAGTTACATAAACTGCATTCTCTAACTCAGTTCGAATGAATCCAAAGAAACACTGACAATGTTAAGTGAAGTTTTATTGACACTCTACCACTGGAAAATAATGTAAAGTACAAATCGTAGATGCAATAAAAGTCAATTTGTATCATTGCGCTTACTTACAAAGAATAATAATTACGTTAAAAAAAAAGACATTTACAGTGTCGCCTACTTTAAACAATTAATTCTTCCCTCTCCTTGTTTAAGTGGAGTCCTGTAGCTCAGTGGTTAGAGCACTCGCTTTGCAAGTGAGAGACCTGGGTTCAATTCCCGGCAGAGGGTGAAACCTTGGGCAAGTTTCCTTACTCCACACAGAGCCTAATAATAATCCCTCCAAAAACAAAACTATAATAAATTGGTCATTTTCAATCTACGACTGTTTGTGGGACATCGCTGTGCGCAATTGGCCGCCGCGTTCGCCCACAAATATACAGTCAATTCACTTTACAGTATATTCTGTGAAGCGCTTTGAGACGTCGAGAAGACGTGAAAAGCGCAATATCAAATGCAAGGATATTATTATTATTATTATTAAGTGCCTCAAGCTCGGAGTGAGGGGGGGAGGGGGTGGAGTTGGGGGGTGTGGAGGTGTTGGCAAGGGTGGTGGGGGGGGGGGGGAGAAAAAAAAAAACCACACACACACGCGCGCACGAGAGATTTGAGACGCGTTGACCAAAGGAATGGCCGTTTTTTTTGGACGCCCGGCAGAGAGAGCTATCGAGGGCGAAGAAATATCTGCGTCATCTGCACTTGCAGTCCTCGGCCACCATGTTCTTGTATATCGTGATCTCACTGCTGTGGTCGCTCACGACAGCCAGCAGCAGCTCAGAATATTCCACAGGGACGCAGCAGGGCTCCCGCTTGGTGGGCAGTCCTTGCTCTTGCATCTTGATGAGGAGGACCACGTGGTTGGAGACGTTCCCGATCAAGGGAACCCTGCAGGGCCCCACGCAGTTGTGGATGTTGTACAACTTGGGGATCAGAATCCAGTCGTAAGACAAGCGCTCGAAGTCGATGCTCAGCTCCTCCAGTTTGCACACCGACCGGTTCCCGGCACTCCTGTTCTGGCGGAAAAGCTTCTGCTTCTTGTCCCAGAAGGTCTTCACCGTCTGCAGCGTCTTCAGCAGCAGGAAGGTGTGGTAGGTCTTCTGCTTGCGGTTCCTCTCCCTTTGGCCGGGCTTGGGAGCGTCGCCGACCCGGGTCGGGACCTGGGGGACCTGGGGGAGAGGGAACGGGTAGTTGCACTGATTCAAAAGGTATCTCAGCTTCTTCAAGACCTTCTCCTTCTGAAACACGGGAATCGCCAGGACTTGTGCGATCACGCCCTGCATCTTGGTGAGGAAGAGCCGCTGGATCTTCTCCTCCTGCTTCCTGCTCTCGCCACTGTTCTCCCCCGATGTGTCCTCGAGAAACACCTCGGCGTTCTCCGGCAACAGGAACACTAGAGGCTCCTCTAACTCCACCAGCAGCTCCAGCGCATAAATGTTGGAGATGTTCAGGGACTGGTGAGGAAGACTCTCGATGGTTTCCTTGTCCAGGTGGAATATAGACTTGGAGCGCCAGTCAGTGGAGTAATCCAGCACCATGTTCAGGAAGCTGTTGAGATGCCGCAGGAAGTCACGCGGGGATACACGGCCCGAGGGCCCTGGGTGATGGAGCAGGTCTGACACGTCCCAATCGCTCTCCGTTCTGGAGGCTCGTCTGAAAATAAAATAAAGAGACCGGATTGGAGCTGGCGGTGGATTTATGCACATTCAAATCCATGAGATTGGCGAAGAGGATCTCGCCTGTGTTACTCGATATAGAAAGTATCACTGAATTCTAACCATGACTCAGTAATTCTTTCATTAGCACTAGATAATATTATTATTATTATAATAAATAGTAGCCGATTTCAAATGGATTTCGGTAGCAAATTGCTCTTGTGACTTGAGCTGCTTTCACAGCAAGTCACACGTAAGTCAGGATGGACCCCAGTGTTTGGAGCGATGAGCGACAATGAGGTAAGACTCAGACGGGACCTTATAGAGGTGAATAGGATTCGAACTGGGACTGAGAGAGTAAACCCAGTACCGCGCTTTCAGATGTGCCAAGACAAGACACAGGTTCAGGAACGTCAAAGGGAATTCATAATAGACTCCAACTCTACCTGGAGGGTATTGGAATGGGACACCAGGAAGGAGGTGGTTCGATACAATAGAATATACTCCAGTACAAATAACATTTCTAGAGTGCCTTTCACGTCTGGAGGATGTCCTAAAGGGCTTAAGCGAGTGATTCAACCCAGGACACTGGGACTCCTTTAAGAAACAGCTTGTGACGTGTGGGTATAAAATAATAATCCTTGCATTTGATACAGCGCCTTATAACATCATTGAGACGTCTCAAAGCGCTTCACAGGACGAGATCAAATGAGCCAAAGTGTCTTCTTCACCCTGAGCCTCTCTGGCGATGCTATGGAGACTTACTTGTCCAGGGACAGTTGAGTGGTCGCGTCTTGTAGAGTATTGCAGGAGGGCTGCAGGGTGGGTTTCCTTTTCCGGGTGAGCAGATACAGAGCCGGAGTCATCCTGGTGAAGCGCTTCTCATCCAGGCCGAAAAGCAGTTGCTGGAGCCTCTCCTTCACGGGCCGGGTACCTGACGAACAATCACAGCCAGCGAACAGGGGACGTTTCACTTACACTAAACCCCAGATGCCCACCACGAACAGTCATTACTCACAGCGATTACAGAGGAGCGATGCCCCCCCCCCCCCCACCCCACCGCATGAACCAATTTGAACCCAAACCAAAGACACACACACACAGCGATTACAAACTGTCTGCCTGACCTGACGCGGACTGAGTGCTGTCCATCATCCCAAAGGTACCTAGAGTTACGTAGAGTGATACAGACCGGAAACAGCCCATTCGGCTCAACTAGTCGATACTCCACACGCTATACAAAAGTTTTGATAGCTAATTTTTACCCGTCTGCGTGAGCGTGATTTTCTAGGGGTTCCGAACCACACGCGGACTCGCGGTTTTATGAGTTAACAGCCCGTTTCAAACACAACACAATTAAATGTTGGTGACAATCCGAGTCCGACAGTCGTAATCGGAAAGGGGCGAACGGAAGCGAAGGCAGTGATTTCTTCACACTTCGAGCTGTTAATGCATTGGAGGCGACTGCCATCTAGTGGGACGAGCCCTGACTTGCTTCGGTGGTCAAAAAGAGAATGAACGTCACAGGGGTTGGTTTGGACGGGGGGATAAAAAAAGCCCCTTAGGCCCATCTGATCTCACCCCCTCCAGCACACCCTCCCTACCCAGGTCACATCACAGCATCGAGTTGTACTTTTTTAAACGAGTTCCCCCTGTCCTGGCCCTCACCCAAACCCCCCACCACCGGCAAACTGTTCCAGCCATCAATTACCATCTGGGAAAAGAAATACTTCCTGGCGTCTGTCCTGAAATAGTCATTTTGCGACTCGAAACCCGAGTCCTCTTGTTCTACTGTCTCTTGGCGAATCCCAATGATGGCAGAGGGTGTAGGAAAGGGAGGGGGAGAGGTGTGGAAGGGGAGTGGTGGGGGGGGCGGAGGGGTGCGGAACAAACAATGAGTTGTGGTTTAAGCTGAACAGACCAGGAAGATCGCAGGCTCTAGACACGGTCTGTGTTGAGTTGGCTGGTCTCAGATGGAAGAGGAGGCATATGGATAATAATAATAATAATAACAACCAAAACAACATGGATCCACTCCATTTTAGCATCAAATCTGATCCCTCTCCCCAAGACACTCACTATGAGACCTCAGCACAAGCCATCTGCTCACGTGCGTTCACAATTAGCTTAAGTACAGCCCCATAATACACACGAGTTCACTCGCAGATCACAAAACAGACCGATGTTTATCTGAGGGATTGTTGGCCAGGACACCAGGAGAAACTCCTTTCTCTCTTTTCGAATAGCGCTACAGGATCTTTAACGTCCGTCTGAACAGACCTCAGATTCTGGGACATCTGCTGTTTTGTCTGGAGAATATTTTCAAAAGTACAGTTAGGGTCAAGTTCACTCCTAAGCGAACAAAAGTAAATGATTGCATTTCAGAATGCTGATAACCACTCACCAGGTGTCTTGCTTTCAAAACATGCCCCCACCCCCATTCCCCGCTCCCCCCCCGCCCCCAAAAAGTATTAGATAAGATTATTTTCTGTTATAATAATCCTTGCATTTGATACAGCGCCTCATCACATCTTCGAGACGTCTCAAAGCGCTTCACAGAATATACTGTAAAGTGAATTGACTGTATATTTTGTGGGCGAAATGCGGCAGCCAATAATTGAGGGTGTGGAACGAGTGACCAAATTATTATTATTATTATTATTATTTTTGGAGGGATTATTACCCCCGGAAAAGCGATCCGCCGATCGACTAACAACCGGGTTCCCACTTTCTGCAAGGTAAACACAGGCGTGTGGAGTAAGGAAACTTGCCCAAGGTTTCGCTCTGCCGGGAATTGAACCCAGGTCCTCTCGTTGCGAGGCAAACACACTAACCACTGAGCTACAGGACTCCACTGTTATACTAAGAGTTAGCAGGGCATCCCAAAGCGCTTTGCAGGATTTACTGCAAAGGGAAGTGACTGTGTGTTTTGTGTGAGCAAATTACTCACCGTTGGAGAGAGAGCTGATTTTTAAAGACACCTCAAAGCAGAGTTGCCCATCGGAGTGTTTTCCAGGAATTCCTTGAACGTTAAGGATGACGTATTTCGTCTGCTCATAAAAGCACACGGTCTGGACAGAAGATCTCAGCGTTAGTTATAATAATAATAATCCTTGCATTTGATATAGCGCCTTATCACGTCGTCGAGACGCCTCTAAGACGTCAGGGTATTTTGTGGGCGAAACGCGGCAGCCAATTACGCACAGCAATTATTTTCTGCCAGTTAGGATTTGCAGAAAGCAGTCATGGAATTCCTCAAGTTTAAATTTTAAATATAAGTTTTAAATAGAAAATTTAAATTGTAAAAGTTTAAATATTTGCTCATGTAACCCCCGGCTTCCTTATAAACAGCCCTCGTTTTGAAGCCAGTTTTTTTGTAAATACATTGAATTTACCCGTGGAGTAAATCCAGGTCTTGGGTGGTTCAGTATGACAGTGAAACTCAAGTGATATTTTGAGTCACTCCTCATTTCTCATCACACTTGCAGGAAATGCAGAAAGATTCACTGCACCTTGAACAAAAGGGCATTGAAATTTGGATCAAATGTAAACGGACAGAATGAAATTAAAAAGTAAAATCCAAGGGGGAGAACTGCACTGTGAAAGCAAGCTAATCTGGCAGCCTAGATAGAAGCTAAAAATAACACGCAGCCAACTCTTTCACGATGTTAAAGTGGAGCAGAGACTAAGTGCAATTAATTTAAATGGCCCAAAGGATAATAACTGTTGCATTCGACATCGGGCCTTATCATGTTGTTGAGTCGGCCGAAAGCACTTCGCAGAATATATTGTAATGTGGATTGGCTGTGTATTTTGTGGGCGAAACACGGCAGCCAATTGCACACAATTGTGTTCAGGCTTTGCTGTTTTGGAGGGATTATTCACCCTCCAATCGACTGACAACTGGGTTCCTACTTAGTGCATGTAATCAGAGACTGGAAAGATCCTGACTTAAAGGGGTTAGCAATTGATAGCCAATGCGGTCATTCTCGCTTGTACAAGCTCCACAGAGTAATGAACACTATTAAGGGTTTACCCAGATAACAGGAGACAGCACTGATACAAATACAAATGTATGCTAAGTAGAAAGGTGACAGTGTGATGAATCGTGGGGCGAGAGTGCGTTTCTCTTTTAAAATTAAAGTTTCTGATTGTTTCAATGGGATAAATAAAAAGCTCACCTGGTGCTCGTCCAGCTGAAGCTCAGCGAATCTGAATCCTTCTCTGTTTTCGAAGAAATAATCCTGCCTTTGCCCAAGATAAAAGACAAGAAGAGACATTTCTGAGTCATCCATCGGCTGGTCCAAATCCCATTGATACGCCGTCTTAAACTGGAGCTGGAGGTTGTGCTCTTTCCAGTTCACTGTTTGGAAGCAGAAGCGGAGACTCAAGTAACTAACAACACAATACAATTTACACTTTCATGTCGGGAGGACATCTCAAAGCGCTCGTCACTGCTGGCTGGGTTTTTACACGTTCAGGAAATTAATTAAGGTTCGGGCAGGAATCAGTGACAATTTGTGTTATGTAAATAGCGAGAATGATAACTCTGGGTTTACCTGAGCTGCCATTGTAAACGCAGGGATGATAGAGTCACCGATGAAACAGGCGGCTTGGAAATAGTCAGGGTGCAGTATTTATTTTCAAGAAAAAGCAACATTATAAAAGGATCAGAAATATCAAACTGCAACCAAATACCTGTCCTAGTTTATCCCGAATGTTTATCATGTTACAATCTTAGTTCTTATAAGGAACGGACACCAATTCTGCCCCGTTTGTTGAACCGCAGCACCTGCCTAGCCTGACCTTATCCATGCCAACTACAGAAAACAATCCTCTGAGTTAACTGCCACACAAGGATCAAGTGGTTTCTGAGGCTCACAGCTTGGGAGCTGAATAACACTGACACTCGTTTTGTGATATAATAATATTAATCACACTGCTCTTTTTGCAGCGGTTAAAGTGTTGATTTTGCAGGAAATAAATTGTGGTTGGAACACACGAGCTGCAGGTAAATCAGGTCTACCTGTCCACTTTTTAAAAAGCGGTTACGACGACGGGGGTTAATTTCCACCGCTGCGGTGGACGTGGACCGAAATCTACTCAGAAATAGTCCCGTATCTTTTAGCGTAGATCACAAAGGCCACATGTTAAAAACCCGTGAGCTACAAACGACATCTACAAACGATCTCGGCTGCTTACTTTCGGAAAGGTGCAGCACCGTCAGTCTCACCACTTGCGCCCCGGCTTCCAGGTGAAGAGCGAGATTAGTGAGAGAGGGCAAAGCGCTTTGATTCGACGAATCTGAGCAGATGCCAAACCTAGCCATGTGGCCGTCGCTGTACTGACGCACGTCTTCGATGAACCCCCGTTCGTACCCAGTAACAAGGCCGACTATCTCCACAGGGTTCGGCCTCCGGTCGCTCCCTCCGGCCATGTGTAACCTACAAACCGGCTCCTCAAAGCCACCCAGGACCCGGCGGCGTGAATGATAGTCGTACTGTTCGGAGAATGTATCCGAACGGTAATCCCGACTCCTATTTGCAACGGTCGAAGGTCCCTGGTCTTCGTTTGAAGGTGGCGAGATTTCGTGTGTCGGGGAACGTGACTTTCTATCGAACTCGTAGTTTGCTTCAGTCCCAGCTGGATTGAAATGGGAACTCTCCTCTGCATGACTCTGACTGACGCTCGGATCATCGGCGCTCTCTACCCTGGTGCTCAGTTCTATGGGAAGCGGAGCCGTTAGCGAGAGAGACAACTGAGAAACTAAAAGAACCAAAAGAGTTTTCATCTTTGATCTGGAGTTTGTTGAATTGACCAGAGGAATTCAGCGCAGGAGTCCAGCTTGCGCCTGGCGGAGATTGAGCCTTTCTGACTGTGTTACATTAAAGTTGGCAAAGGAGCGTACAAGTTGATATTGGAACAAAAGGTGACCTTGTGTTTTGCTTTCGTGGATTGCACAAGTTGCCAACTAAGCTTTGGCTCCGCATTCTTTGGCTTGCGGGGTTATCAGGAGCAGAGTGGGAAGGGTCTAAACTCACAGTGTCATGTCTACTCCTCCTCGTCCCATTGATGAAATAAGGCAGGCGCTTCAATCAATAAATGTGCCCTGGACTACCGCAGACCTGCCTGGCTCAGGCACTGACTGAATCTCCAACCTCACCAAAGTCGTCTCTATTACTTCACTCTCCCTTTCCCAGGTGTGTCACCGTGGAATTAATTCCACCCCTGAAAACTACACTTACTTATTTATCTCTCTCTCTCTCTTTGCCCACCCCGATAAAGCTAGTCAACAATAGGTCACAAAGTTAAATGCCATTTACAAATAACAACCCTTGCATTTGCCGTAGTGCTTATTGGATTGAAGCACTTCTGTTCAATTCAGTAGGTAAGACACACACACACACAGACAGACACAGAGAACTGTTGGGGATGAAAAAGGCTTTAATTAAAGTTGGAAGTCTTGAAGAACCACTGTCATGTTTATGCAAACATGACCGCCCACAAAACAAATTTAAGACTGAACTACAAAAGTTTACACAACGCTGAGATGCAATATTCCAAAATGTGTCAGTTAGTGGGAGGTGGGGGAGGCGGGGGAACTCCAGGTGGGGGAACGCCAGGGGGGGAACGCCGGGCGGGGGAACGCCGGGCGGGGGAACGCCAGGTGGGGGAATGCCGGGTGGGGGAAGAGGTGCGGGCGGGATGGAGGGAGCCGGGGCAGCTTCGGTGGGCAGTGGCGGCCGCACCATGGGGGGAAGTGGAGCGGGTGGGGGAATTTGAGGAGTGGGGGGCATCTGTGGTGGTGGCCCTGGGGGTGCAGGGCCACCAGGAGGCATTGGCGGGGGTACAGGAGCATTGGGTGGCATGGGAGCGCCAGGTGGTAGAGGGCCGCTGGGTGGCATTGGGGGCATGGGGCCGCTTGGGGGCATGGGGCCGCTTGGCGGCATGGGGCCGCTTGGCGGCATGGGGCCGCTTGGCGGCATGGGGCCGCTAGGGGGCATGGGGCCGCTAGGGGGCATGGGGCCGCTAGGGGGCATGGGGCCGCTAGGGGGCATGGGGCCGCTAGGGGGCATGGGGCCGCTAGGGGGCATGGGGCCGCTAGGGGGCATGGGGGCATTGGGTGGTACTGGTGCATTGGGTGGCATTGGACCCCCATGTGACATGGGCCCACCGTGACCCCCGTGTGACATGTGACCGCTAGGGGGCAAGGGTGGCATGGGAGGCATTGGCATGCCGCCGGGGCGAGGAGGGGGTGGCATTGGCTCTGACGGCGGGGGTCCTCTGGGGGGCATGCCGTTCATCAGGGGCGGAGGCGGGGGTCTGGGTTTCATCCCCGGGGGCCCCATGGGCAGACTCTGTGGCGGTAACGGTTTCTCCATCTTGAAATGGAACTGAAGGAAAAACTGGAGGGAAAGCACAGAACCGATGAGATCAAGACACAACTCTCCGGACACCTTACGTTACAGCACAAGAAGCTCCTGTTTGTGAACTTCATCAAGGAAACTGCATACATGTAAACAATCTATTGATATATATTTAACTATACGCACACCCACTATTATACACACACACACACACACTCACGCAAAGCATTCACTTCAGCAACAAACCGATTTTCAAAGATTCCAATTGATATTTCAATATTTTGGCAAGAGTCGAAAATATGAATTATTGGAGAAACTCAAATGGTTTGAGGTTTTGTTGGGGGGTTGGGGAGGGGAGGGGGAGAAGAGAAATAGGAGAGAGAAAGGAGAGGCAACGACAATTTAACACAGTGTCTTTCGTGTCTCAAAATGCTTCACACAACTGAGGGTGGGCAATTAGGAAGATGAAGGTTGGTGGGGAGGGAATTGAGGAGGCTATGTAGACGGAAGCTGTTGGCGTGCAATCTTGTCTTAGATAATTCATGTTCACATAGATCTTAAACGCACTTATGCACTGGATAAGGTACAATTGTAAGATGTGTTAATTACACAAGAGATGTGCTCAGTTTGTGCTGACCTTACTCAAGTGCACTAACAAGTGCAGGTTGTTTCAGGTTGTTTATTAAATCAAGTGTGTGCGTAAAAAAAAAAATACCTGTTTGGTTTCTCTGTTCCAGTGGGTCCAAAATTTACCTTCAACCTTATCAATTTCTCGACTCGGTACCTGTGGAAAAAATAAAATGAATGATGGGTTTGTCAACGTGGAGTAAAAATAAGGGCCTCTGAGACACTACCCTGAGTGGAGGGCGCTATACAAGTGCAAGTTGTTGTACTGTTGGGTTTCAGTGACTTGGTTTTAACGATACCTTAAACGAAATGGTCTCATACGGCTCGGCAGCAAACAGCAGGTACTGCCAGCGCCTGTCCGGGGGCTCGATTCTCTGCTCGTAGGCTGACATGAAGCGATGTCGGGGCGCCACGGTCTCAGCAATTTCAGGGTAATCGATCTGTGGGTTTCGAATAAAAACAAAACGCACAGAATTAGGATCGGCGGGACACCTCTGTGGCTGCCTTTCCAAAACTTCCAGGTTTCCAAAACTGGAAACAGCTTTTTGAGGAGGGGAAAAAAAACAAACAGAAGTGTGGGTAAAATCTTCAAAAGAGATTGTATGATACAGTAAAACCCACGCAAGTCTGCTCTGTATAAATAGTATAATCGCCTAAGCAGTACACCTGCCCAAGTCCAGTTCAAGAGTTACATTCTATGCAAGTTTGACATAACTCATACTTTGCATAAGTCATATTAAATGTCTGGTCCCAACTTATGTGAGGTTTATTGTGTAACAGATATTCTTAATTGCAAAACCCCACAGAAATCTGCGACTTATGATCAGCAATATATTGAATTACGCCATCATTTATTTATACCTGTACATAGCATGCCGACACCCAGATGAAATAGCTGCACTCTCACATGGACTTCAAAGGCTAATCCTGACCCCACCCCAAAGAGAGAGATTTGCGAGCAAGGCTTCCTGATTAGTTGGTGTAAGGGGAGCACAGTGCACATTACCTGAAAAAGAAGACTTTGTTGTCCTACTTCTGCATCCCTCTGTTTGGTGACTGGAAAAAAATTACAATCATGTTTACTCTGACCAATCTCAAAAATGTACAAGATAATAATACTTGCAATGATACAGCACATATTTTACATCATTGCGTTACATATTAACTGCTGCTGCAGTAACATGTAGTGACTGTGTATTTGTAGGCGAACATGGCAGCCAATTTACACACAGCAATGACCCACAAACAGCCATGAAGTGAGTGACCAACTGTACTTGGGGGACTGTTGGCCAGGATACTGGGCGATAGAAACTCCCTTCTCTTCTTGAGCTGTGCCATGAAATCGGAACAGGCAGACGAGACCCTGGTTAACCTTTGCTGGTTAACCCATTGATCTCATCCCTCCAAATATTGACACATCACATCAAAGACTGATGATTTTAAATAACGACAACTTGTATTTATGTAGTGCCCTTCAGCACGGGGCATAAAGCGTCTCAGATGGTTTATGTATACATACCTTTGTAGCCTGGCCGACCGATTTTCACAAACTTTTTCACTTCCACTTTAACTTTCTCTGGAGCGGGCTGTGCTGGTGCTTCTTTAGCCTCTTTGGCAGCTCGTCGAGCACTGAAGTAAAAAGCACAACCGACATAATTAATTGGTTGAAACCTGATTAATCACAATTAATCGGTTGAAGTCCTGTGCACGCTGCTTTTTGCCCACTGCTTCATTCTGAATGGTGCTGGATGTTGCCCACTTTGTCAAAACCACAGAAGCAATCCCCGTCGTTCCATTCCAGTTGTGGCACATCAATACACTAATGTGTACACCACAGGCCCTCCCTTCCTCACCCCCACCCACCCCCGGATTAGGGAGTTTCGGCAAACAAATATTCTTCATAAATAAATATATCAATTAAATGTCTCAAGTCTTCAAGACAAGCTGCAGATGTCGAGTTCCTCACTTGAAAGGCAAACTAGAATCTCCCGTAACAGATCGCAACAGCAACTCAAATCGGAATTCCTCTCATGCCCTCCCAAGCAAAAACTATTAATATATTTATGAGAACACTTGATACATACATGAGGGAGAATTGAATAGAGGGGTATAGGGGAGGAGAATAAGAGTGGGGAGGGGGTTCATGTGGAGGACAAACACCAGCATGGATTGGTCGGGCCGAATGGCCTGTTTCCTTGCTGTATCATTCAATGCAAGCTCAAAGACAGAGCTCCGCTTCTCCAAATGCAGATTTGAAGGCTATATTTGCCCAGTAGAAGTAAACAAGAGGCTCCTTTGATCACCAGACTAGGATTTTCTACCTCTTCCCTGCTATTAATGCCAACTGCATGAACTTTCAGAACATTACTGACGGACAGTATTCCCAATAAGCAGACTTTATAATCATTATAGGCAACCTCATCAGTCTCGTCTACCGGATTGACCATTATTTCCCAGAGGGAAAGAATTCCATAATACATGAAGGGGAGCTCCTTCTCAGAGGCACATTGACAACCCTCATAGCAAATAAAGGGTTTTATGCTTACAGGTTGGTCTGATGTTTTTTCCCTTGCGTGTGTGCCAGGTAACTACCCTGCAAAAACAATTAAAAACAGGATATGAATCAAGACAAATGGAAAAATCTTCAGTAGTTCATTTTTATGCAGCTAGGTGTCCTGACCCCAGCTCGAGTGTGAAATGCTGTACACTGTCTAGCGCCTTGGGACGTCCTCCCAATGTAAAAGGCGCTATACAAATGTAATCTTGTCGTTGTTGATGGAATCCATCCCCTTCCCCTCCCCCCGCGCCAGTAATATAAATGTTAAAGTTCTTAAAAGATTCAGACAGCGAACAACAATGAATACTATTTCACAGCTTTATCTTTTATGCTAACATTATAAAAGCAGGTCTTCAGTTGCCAAGGAATCGACTCGCTCTTACTTACCTCATTATTGTGCAGTGTCAAGCAAAGTTTACATTCGTAAGAACCCAAGTGATTTTTCATGAAATAAGGATCCTACAAAAGGCAGGAGAACGAGAATCAGAATCAAAATGAAATATCTGACAATGTAACTGGAAACGGGTCGACATGATGGACCGAATGGCATTACGTTACATTCTGGGCTGTCGTTTTTTTTCTCTCTGGGGAAACGCAAATCAAACAACTATCAAAAGTCCCACCTTGTTTATATCGATGGTTTCCAAGGCTAACTGCCGGAGTCGCTCCCTCCGATCTCGATTGCTTTCGGAGGAAGAAGCGACCCCTCCGCTCCCTGTTTTCCCTCCAGGTCGATGCTGGAAATCCATGGCTACCGCTGGGGCTCAAAACAAAATCCCTGAGGAAGAATTTAATAACAGAAAGCCACGTTAGAACCAGAAAGCTTTAAAATTGCTTCCCCCCCACCCACCAAAAAAAAATGATAGGAACTCTTTTCAGTTTTTTTTAAAACATATTTCTCGAACCATCCACTCGGTGGTCACAGTTTAAATGTAAATTGTACAATTGTAACTGTAGAGTTTTTAATCAATTTGCCAATATATTGTCGGAAAACCTGCACAACACACTTGCGCGTCACGAAAGCTCAAGCCCTCAATCACCCCAAAACTCCCACCCACCCCCAGACCCCTTCACCCACCCACCCCCACACTTCCTTCAAAGCCTCCTCTCTATCTCTCTCTCTCTCTCTCCTCCTCCCTATCATCCGCTTTGTGGCTGCTTGTGGGACGCTCCTGTGCGCAATCCTGCTGCCCGCGCTCGCCCACAAAATGCACAAGTCGTTCCATTTCACGGAAAGACCCTGTGAAGCGTTCCGAGACCTTCCTTCCAACATGATGAGGCGCTGCTCCAAATGCAAGGATTAGCATTATCTAATGCCTGCCTCGCTCAGCCTCTCCTCTGTCTCTCCCTCTCTCTCTTTCTACCTCTCTCTCTCTCTCTCCCTCTTTCTACCTCTCTCTCTCTCTCTCCCTCTTTCTACCTCTCTCTCTCTCCCTCTTTCTACCTCTCTCTGTCTCTGACACACACACACACACTCATTCACATTCTCTCTCTCTCTCTCTACTTCTCTCTCTCTCTCGCTTTCGACCTCTCTCTCTCTCTCTCACACACACACACTCACCTTCACTCTCTCTTTCTCTCTCTCTACTTATCACTCTTTCTACCTCTCTCTGTCACACTCACCCTCTCCCCGTCTGTTTCTCACTCCTCACCTCCCTCCCTCTCCCTCCCTCCTCCGCCACTCTCCCCTCCTCTCGCTCCCCTTACCCTCGGTTCTCCTTCCCCCTCCTCTCCAAACACCCTCTTCCGAGTCACTCCCGCACAGGTTGGCGCTCAGGGCTCCTGCACCGGAAGAGAGGCGGCGCGCGCCGGATGTGTCGCGTCGACTTCAACGTCATCGACGGGTCCGTCCTTCCGTCCGTCGCCTCAATTGGGTGGGGTTTGTGTGCGTGCGTGTGTGGGGGGTGGTGGCTGTCCACGAAGACGCCTGATGGAAAAAAAACCGACTCACTTTTTTAAAAAAAACCACACACACACATATGATATCATTCTTTATTTATTAATGTATTGACATATTATTATTAAAAAAAAACATGTTGTTTCCCTCCTCCTCTCCCTCTCTCCCTTCCTCCTACCCCACCGCCACCACCGCCTTATTTTTTTTAATTAATGGCGTCAAACACAAACCCTCACTCCCTCCCTCCCTCCCTCGAGCGAGTGACACACTTGGCTGTGACCTGAGAGGGACGGGAGGGACGGGAGTGAGGGGAGGGGAGTCGGTGCGGAGGAGAGGAGGGTAACGTCGGGCCACTTTTTTTGTGGGCTATCGTTGGGCGGGAGGCGGGGCCACTTTGGGCTACAAACCTCGTTTGAACGCGCGGTGGGCGACGCGGGGCGCGGGCCCTCGGGGAGGAGGAGGAGGAGGAGACGCCGCCGCCGCCGCCGCACAGAGAGACAGACGCGGGAATGAGGGCGTCCCCGGGAGCCTAAGGCCTCTCGGGAGGTGTGTGTGTGTGTGTGTGTGTGCGCGCCCCTTCCCCTCGCCTCGCGGGCCGGGTCGGGGTCTCGCGGGCCGGATTGGGGTCTCGCGGGCCGGATTGGGGTCTCGCGGGCCGGGTTGGGGTCTCGCGGGCCGGGTAGGGGTCTCGCGGGCCGGGTTGGGGGTCTCGCGGGCCGGGTTGGGGTCTCGCGGGCCGCCATGAGGTACAACGAGAAGGAGTTGGCGTTCCTGTCCAAACTGCCGGCCGAGAAAGCGGCTCAACTGCACATGAGAGGCCCCAAGCGCGGAGACGGTAAGACAGGAACCATTGTATAATAATAATAATAATGAATAATAATTCATAATAATACAATCGTCGTCATCATAATCCTTGCGCTTACTTGTGGGGGGTTGGGGGGTAATAATCCCCTCAACGGCACATGCAGTGATCGGTGCCCCTTTCCAACCCACCGCTTGTGCGCCATCGGCCGCCGCTCCCTCTCTCCGCACCGCAAAGTACACAGTCACTACACTTGACCGCGTCTCCCGCGGAGGGCTTGTGAGGCGTCCGGGAGACCCGACGCCGTGTCAGATGCAAGGATTATTAGTATTATTATTATTTGACGCCGGGCGCCTCGTCGCCTGGTGTCAAAGACGCTGCAAAAGGCGCTTCGCAGGATATACCGTCGAGTGTAGTGACTGTGCATTCTGCGGGCGAGACGCGGCAGCGACCGCAGTGTCCACGGCCGCGTCGCGCAAACAGCCGCGGATTGAGTGACCACAAAGGGGGTTTTGCTATTGTTTATTATGGATTTTGTGTATTTTTTTTACTGCGACTGTGTGTCTTAACGTACAAGAAACTAAGTAAAGTAACTCAACTCATGTACCGTAAATACACAAATGTAACTGTTTGCTGTGCGTAAGGTCAATGTTTACGCTACGGAGTTGACAAGTAAAAATAATAACAATCCTTTGATTATGGACGAGAGTATTTTTGCATGATCCGTAATGGATTACTTTATCCGGAGGAGTCTTAAGATGTCCGTCATTTAACGTCGTACAGGAATTTATTTATATTAAGGTGGGAAACGATGACTTGGAGAATGCAGTACTCTTCTGATGAATTTCATGTTTTGTTCCTTTCAGCAGTGAAACATCGTTTAGTGAAGCTTGTGGTCAACTTTCTTTTTTATTTCAGAATCGATGAAGAGGAGGTAAGACTCCTTTGAGGATTCTTTAAGTCTTATTATGCACTCGCAGCAGCAACAAAAAAAAAATCAAGTGCAGTCGCTGCTGGGTTTCTCGAGGCTCTTTTTTTTGTTGCTTAAAATGTGTAGTTAGAGGTAACGCAGAAGGGAAGGCCCTCTGCGTAATTCGGGCTAGTTTGTGCATGACGATGCTGTAATACGCAAGTTCTTTGAGATGTCCTCCTCACCTGCAAGGCGTTAAGGACATAGATGTAAATTCTATCGTTCGTTGCACGGGAAAGGCATGGAACGTCACAATGGTACAGCAGACTCCACAATGGTTAAGCACGTCGCAAGGATTTCTGCACGAATTGCAGTGTGTGACTGCAAGGAGTTTAATTATGAATATCACGTTTCAATGAAGAATATTCCTTTATCTTTCAATAGCCTGCCGGCGCCTTATTACTTGAACAGTGCAAAATCCAGAGGGAGGAAGAAGCTTCTTTTTCATTAGGTAATTTCATTGTTGTTTTTTTTACCTACCTCTTATTTAGTATTAATCGTAATGAATTTGCAACATTCTCTCCTGGGTTTGATTATTTAGTTGTCTATTTAGGTAAACGACCCATTAAGTACAGCAAACACATGGTCATTATCTTGCTTATTGTCTCACAATTAAATAATAAACATATGCCACTGAGGAAACAAAGCAATCGGATTGTGACAATAATTTAGATCTACTTGCAAATGATCGTATTTGTTGTTCATAAGTCAAGGATGTCGACGCTTATGAGGGCAACACCAGTTTCTCAGTGAGGTGATATGAAATTCCCTTGAGTTCACATATCAGTCAGTACAGCTGAATGCTAAGTAAACATTTTACAATCCCCTAACGTGCCTTAACCACAACCTCAATCATTTGTCTCTTCATCCTTCAGATGAGACGTTAAACCGAGGTCCTGCCTGTGCCTGTTCAGGTGGATGTTAAAAATCTCATGGTACTATTCAAAAAGAAAAGGAAATTTCTCCTGGTGTCCTGGCCAATAATCCCCCAGTTAAAATTGTTCATTCTTCATAGCTGTTTGTGGGACGTTGCTGTGGACAAATTGGCTGCTGCGTTTGCCTGCAAATACACAGTCACTACATTTCACAGTGGAATCCTGTGGAGCACTTTGAGATATCTCGCCAGTGTGATAAGGAGCTATATCAAATGTAAGGATTATTATTGCCAAATAATCATTATAAAAGAGAAGTCATATTTAGACCGGGGCGGGGGACGGGAAAAGAGAATCGGAATTTCCTTATATTGAGAATCACTAATTTAAAGTGAACCCAAGACTGATTTGGAAGTTTCGAACCCAGAGCTGCTCCCAGATTCAGAAGTTAGTTTAGATCCAGCAAATTCCAAGATTAGTCTTAAACCCAGTTTAAGAGGATCTAGTTATTCTGCTCGAGCGCAGAACAAATGTGTCCGTGTCTCAAAAGGAAAAGCCTCCATTTTCTCCCTTTACTGCTCCAGCCATCCTGCGTTTCCGAGCGAGATCGACAGTGTTTAGGTCGTTTTGTGCTGTGAACTGATGACTTTGAGGAATTGTATTCCGGGACCCTAGCCTGTGCTCAATAAATGCAAGTTGTTTTTGTTGCATTCAGACCACCATAGCATCTTCACAGCAAAAGAAAGGATCTTCTTCCTTTGGGCTGGATTTGAACCAAGGTCCCAGTGGTGAAAGGGCAATAAACCAAGCGCACTCTGCCACCCAGCAACCTAAACATCTTTCAAACATATTACAGCATAAACAAGAATGTTATCTCTTTTGGACCAAAACTTCAGTCACTCCAAAAATAAGTACTTTCTTTGAAGTAGGAGGTGCCCTTGTATTGATAGCTTATCGTTTCAGCTGGTTTCTTCCCAAAAAAAAACCCCCTAGCCCTTGAAAAGTGCAACGTACACAACTTCGAACGTTGGTTCAAGGCTACATTTCGTCTCTGGTGACATGATTTAGGTTTGTTGCTACAACACTACAGGTTTGGCTCTAACACTCAACCTTCCTCGTTTTCTGTGCTGCTATTAAAATATACGATGGTTCCTTTTAGTCTTAAAAGTTTCCCCTCGAAGTCTGCCAACTGGTCCTCTCTCTGAGTGACTTGTCCCCAACAATCTGTTTTACCCATTTGCTTCTCGGACTAACCTTTTGCAGCCAAGGCACTCGAGCTTTTCCTTTTGAGACCCGGACACGTTTATACTGCGCTCAAGCAGAACAACTAGATTCTCTTGAACTGTGTTTAAGATTAATCTTGGAATTTGCTTGATCTAATTTCTGAATCCTGGAACGGCTCTGGGTTTGAAACTTTCAAATCAGTCTTAGGTTCACTTTGAATTAGTGATTCTCAATACAAGGAAATTCCAATCCCCCCCCCTCCCCCCCACACCCGGTCTAAATATGACTTCTCTGTAATGTTTAGGGAGTAGTTTTGGATTAATCGTGGAGTTTGCTTCCTTACGTTTGCTGTTGATGCCCAACTGTTCTTTTTGCCTCCCTAATTAGTTTATCACATTAAATTCATCGTAAGATATGTAATTTTTTATTTATCCCTCCATTTCATTTGGCTGCCTGAGCGCCTCATTGATGCAGCCTTTGATTTAGTTGAACGCTGTGTGTACCTCCCAGTGTGTGGGTGGCATCTTGTGTCAGACTAAAATGAGGTTCCTGCAGATTGTAAGGACAATTGGCAGTTGTTAGGGTTATGACATTGGAACGAGTTCAGAGTTTCCCTCTTATCCAAGTCTTTCTCCAGCTTTATTCAAATCCGTCCTTCAAATAGAAACACAAAGTTCTAACATAGTCTTCAGGGAGTAATGCCCTTTGTGCAGCAGTCTCTTTTCTGTTTCTGAATGATAAATGGCAAATATTTGTTTTACTCCAGTTTTATATGGCCTTTTTTTTTTAAACCTGTTTAAATTCCCACACAGGTTGCAATTGCTGCCTTTCTTTTGAGGAGGCATCTCCCATTCTGTACATACTAAATGTGTTAATATTATTTTGAATTTTTGAGTAATGAATAAACAAATTTATGTTCAAGGTTGTCTAGTCTGTGACCTGTTTCACAACTATCTACTCTCACAGCAGTGCTGAGGGCAGTTTGATGTTGTTTGTAGAGTTTAGGATCATTCTCAGTTGGACAGCACTCACTTCAGAAGGTTGTGGGTTCAAGTGGCACATCTGGACCTCAGCTCATAGGTGCTCTGGAGAAAAGTGGAGACCTGGAAGTGACAAGAATTGGAAAAAAGTAGGAGGTGGTGAGGGGAATTAATGATGTACGATTCAAAGTGCAGAAAATAAGGAAACGTGCATTTCAAAGTTACTGTAAATGAAAAGGCAGAAAGATAGAAGTTCCGAGATTTGGCTTAGCCTGACCGACAATAAACCCAGTCTAAGCAGCTACTTTGGCAGCTTTTGGAGTCTCACTTCCTGTATTGGCCATTGTTAAACTGAACTATTACTGAACGCTGAACTGTACAGAATCCCAACTATGCTTTGCAGTTGTATCCAACAAACGGAACCTTTTAGCCGACCTGTTTTTAAAACTTGCTTTCAGTATTTGTGGATGAACCAGAAAGAAAATTCTTATTTTGGTGTGAAAGTAAAGAGCAATGTGAAGAGTGGATTGAAGCGTTAACAAAAGCCAGGTATGTATGTGTACAGGCGTCTCTTTAGGCACCTTCACTTGTTCATGTACTTGGGTTATAGGCTCAGAGAATAGAGCTTGTACACTTTACGTATTTATTGTAACTTTAGTGAAAGTAGCTCACAAAAAAACTTGCAACCGATAATCAAATGGCTGAAGGATTGTAGGGATGGTAACATCTGTTCCAATTATCTTGCAGAGACGGGCAGGAATCTACAGATGGATCACACTATTGGTCTTAACTGTTTAAACATTATATATTTGAATGACGGCAGAGTGTATTTAAATATGTACATGTATGTGAGGAAGAATGGACTAGGGCAAAGTGGAGAAAAGGTCTTGAGGAGAGAACGTCTTCCTGTAAAAGAAGTTTGGGTTTGTTTTCGACAGCAAAATCATGTTGTTCATATTAACGTTTGGTTAAAAAATAAATATAGAACAATACAGTACAGTAGAGTTTAGGCTTTCCTTGCAATAATCTGAAAGCAATCAATCATTCACCTCTCCTATTCACATCCTCTGGGAGGGGGAAGAGGAGCCAACAACAGTACAAGTGTAATTAGTATTAGTTGGATTGAGACAATTACCCTGGGAGCGGCCTCTTCCGATCTTTCCTTCCCATATATATGCCTCACACTTTGTACAGTTTAAAACAAAAATGCTGTTGGGAGTCAGTGAGTTGGGACGTCCTCCTGACGTGAAAGGCGCTTTATAAATGGAATCTTGTTGTTGTTGAGTAGTTAATGGTTGGCTGAAACCGCAAACTTCTGACTTTGAGATTTAATTTGTACATTTTGTTTTGCAGTTATGAGAACATGCGGAAGAGCTTAATCTCTTACCGGCACAAGATAAAGGAAATAACCGGAAAAGTGAGTTATTATATTCGCAGTGTTTCTGCGTTCTTAAAAACTTAATTCATCAGTTTCTTCAGACCTTTGTTAAAATGGACTTTTACAAATGGAGTTAACGGGCTGGGAGAAAATGTTTTGCCCTGGATAACTGTTGGTCAAACTGTTCTTTCAGCGATCAACTGATTGCAAGTCGTTTTGTACGTACACTTTGGTTATTACCTTTTGTAAAAAAGGGGAAGGTTAATGACTAGATTAAATACGACAGAGTTGTTATAATGTGGAATGCCCTGCTGGGAGCAGCAATTGAAGCAGGATCCATACAAAGGGAACCAGATAAATACCCAAAAAAAGTGTTATCTACAACAAATTACATTTGTATAGTGCCTTAATCTACAGTGGTAATGGTGGTGGTGGGGGGGGGGGGGGGGGGGCGCGAATGTAACTATTCGACATCATTATGGTGTTGGACTAATGTTTTCCCTTTACTGTGTCTGTAGGATCCACTGGAGCAATATGGAATTTCAGAAGAAACTAGATTTCAGATCTGATCACAGACGTTGTAGATAAATATGCACAGAGAATTTTCTAAAGGAAGGGTTGACGGGCCATTTTAATCACCTTTCTTGGAATGTTGGTCTGCAGGAATTACACTAAAATACCTAGTATTTACCGTACTGTTAAAAGAAAAATTGTGGTACATCCCGTCCTATCCATTTAGCTGTGTTCTCTAAATTCCGGTATTTCTTTACTGTTACTGTACATTGCGCTAACGGTTTCAGTGAGCCATCTACTCCACTTGCACGTAAAATAAGCAGACCCAGTGGAAACTCACCTTAAGATCACGCCTTGCAATGTGGTCGAAACCTCTCATTGCATTTGCTTATCTCCTTAGTGAGTTTCTAGGTTTTTAAAAGCATTTACTTTCAGGTATTTTAGGGTTTGAATAATAATTCTTGCATTTGATATAGCGCCTTATCATGTCTTCGGGACTTCTCAAAGTTCTTCACAGGATCTATCACGACAGCTTCAAACCTTTCACAACAAATCAAGTTGAATCAGTAAGACGGTACACATAAGACACTTCTATACCGATTTAAGTTATGTTAAAGCTGATTAAGATGTACTGTACGTTCACCGGTTTCATCCGGAAGTTTGTTGCAGTTTGCCATTCAAAAAATTCCTTGGTGTACTTGGGTAATTGAATGAGATGAAAAATTACCATTGTGAATGAACTTAATGTGAATTTTTAAAATTGTAATTTAGTTATTTTGATAATACTCGTATTTGGTAGAGGGCCTGGATGACCCCAAAGCGCTTCACAGGACTTACTGTGAAATGGAGTGACTGCATTTGCAAGCAAAGATGGCAGCAATGTCCCACAAAGAGCCAATTAATTTTTTTTCTGTGAAACGTCATGTTTTCATTACTGGATTTTTGAATGTGTTTCAATGTTTATCAAATATTGCTGGAGGTTAAAACAAATGTACCGCTGAACGTGCTGGAAACTTGCAGAATCTGAAAGGAAAGGTTAATGTTTCTCACAGAATCCTTTGTCAAGATTAATTCAGTGAGTTTAGGTGGAGAGCAAACACGTTTTAAGACTTAATTTCAAATGGACATTTAATTACATAGCAAAGCATTTGTTCTTTAAGACGGTTTGTGATGCGGGAGATTTATATACAAGTTCACATGCACAGTGGCTGCTTCAGGGAGATGGGACTATTACTGTCATTGTTTTTAGTTAAAACTGTAAAGCTCTGTGATTTTAAACAATAAACCTCAGTTGTACATTTTTGCACGATATTATGCTGAATTGAAATTAAAGTCTACTTTTGGAAAGTAAAACAAAGTGGGTTTCGTCAACATTTTCCTGTGACGAATCTTTCAAGTGGTGCATGTCATGAGTGGGTTTTGCATAGGAAGTGTCGAATCAATCAACCCTCGAGGGTAAAGCTTATGGTATTCAATTAATGTAATGCTGCAAATATAGCTAATGTCAAGGTCATTTACGTTGCTCTGCCGTCATCTTTAAATTTCCACTGGAGCTCAACTTTGCAGACATAACTAAGGTAGGTAATCCAAACAACTTTAGTGTGCAGTTGTGAATGTTTGCTTTGAGATGCAAAATAGTTTTTGGACTCTTTACCATTATTGCTGGGAGAAAGTATAGTTACATACAGCAAGAAACCTTACTCTTCCCAACGAGCTTTTAAAAATCCTGGTTTCTTACCTGTCATGGCCGAGAACAAACCCGAGTACAATATGGGTGTAACTAGTCTCCCAAACAAGGGGCAGAACGAGGTTAAGTCCGTCCGTATCAGGGGCTGCACAGCCGTGGTGTTTACCTGTGATGTCAGCTGAGCCTTAGCGGAAAAGTGTGAACCGTTGGAAGCTGTGGGATGAGTTTTCCTGTGCTGGGAAGTGGAGGTGCGAGTTGACCACATCGTCAGCGCAGATGTTTTGAGCCACCACTTGTAACAGAACGCTGAACGCTGAACCCAGAACGTAAACAGGAAGAACGTAAGGCGGGGTAGAGTTTTGTATTGAAGAAGTGCTATGGCTGATGATAGTTAGTGCCCGATCTCCCAATGAAAATTCACAACACTGAATTTATATTTAGAAATATGCAACTTTTATTTAAAAGGCAAAAAAAAAAACTCAAAATCATAATTTCTTGGCAAACCAAACAACACCAGAGACAAATTCAAGAGTAATGTGGGGATAGGTAGAATATCAAACCTATCAGGTCAAAGAAAATGCATTCTTCCAAAGACATTTTAGCAGTAGTTACAGCTGAACCCGATTGATACAGTACTGTATTCTACAATCCCAGTAAGTGATGTAATGGCAAACCAAAGTGATGATGTTTGACATTAATTACAAATAAAGCACACAAGATCATTCTAGGGTAATGCCTGCCACTTAACCATCACAATTTTCACAAAATTTAGTGATAAAACACTTAAGCAACTAATCACAAAGAAAACATCCCTTTCCCTACCACACAGTATATGCACCAAATCCACATTATGAAAAGTTGGGGGAACAAAAACAAAAGACTGGTTGTCAACATGAATAGCTAGTTATACGTTATATTTTACAGCCATATTGTCAAAATAATTCACAAGCCAATTCCTGAGCAAAAAAGAGCTTCCCACCACTACATACTAAAATTACTTGTATAATATTCACTGAGTTTAAAAGAACCACAGACTTTATTAATATTGTGTTTATTTAGGACAGTTTTTCTTCCACACCAAAGCAGCATTATACAATAAAAGCTGTAGCCACACAAAAAAAGGAGACAGATTGAGTATGTCACAAGCACACAAACGAATATCTGATCCATCCTCTGGTGTATCTAAAGGTAATGTCCATCTTACACAGGATATATCCAGCACTTTGATCTGATAACTACTAAAACTTCAGATCAGAGACGTGGTATAGCTAGGCTGATATGGTGTTTGAGATGAGAGTGTTGGAGTAAACATTTTGCCGAGTTCACATTGTCACAACCCAAAATTAAGATTCTGTTTTAACTTTTATTAAAATGCAAGCGATTTAACTCCAAATTATCCAAACTCCAGCTTCTATATAAAAGGGGAGTCAATATGTGCCTGAAATCCCTCAATAATCTCAACATGATACTGTAATGCCTTTACTATTATATGCCACTGCCACAGCACTTCCCTACGTTTTCATGTGTATTTTCCTGTGCGGTTAACTTCCTAAATTTGTCTAAACGTCGACATTTGGTTTCAATTAAAATACGCTGCTTACTCCCCCCCCGCCACCACTCCCGCGAAATGTCTCCCTTCCTTTCTTGAAGGCTTGGGTGACGTTTGCTGGGATACGAATCCCCAGTCACCTTCCGGACTGCAAGATATTTGACTTGTTAATGGCCCAGCAATTAAGCCTAATATCTCCTGACATCCACATACTTTCTAGCGGTGGTGGTGGTGTTGTTGGGGGGTGGGGGGGGGGGGATGGGGGAAGTGTTCACTTTGTGCAGAAGCATAACTCCAGTTGGATTTTCCCTTTTCTTTAACCCACTAAGGCCAACACTCTTGCACTCCTGCTGGTCTGAGTAAGATCAGCTAACGCACAAAGCAGGCCCGCTCACGTGACGTTGCAACGCCTTAATTGCGAATTTTTAGCAAGTTTGCACGCGTTTAATTCAGCAAATGGGAATTAAAACACACTCGTGTTTCTGGAAGCTTGGAAATTAAAAAAACAAACAGCTTTTGAAATTGTAAACGTGTGTTCAAAGTGATTCTTGTATTGCGGGGGGGGGGGGGGGGGGGTGGAGAGAAAAAAAACAATATAGTAGTTAGTATGTGAAGTCCAGCATATGACAGACATTACCTTTCAGTGCTGTAAAATGTCATTTGTGCCTTGTGATGGTTCACAGAAACACTTGGAAAGGGTTGATTTCCTTTTTTTTTCAAGTTAGTAAATGCAAGATTCTGTAACAAACATTGGTAAGAACAATTGACGCCTGCTGTATTGGGAAGTACTACAGAAAATAAGAACTTAGATGCTGTTGTTCCTAACGTTTCGCAGGCATTTTGGTTATATATATCATATATATATTAAAATAATAGTTATTCACTTTGTACAGAAAGTTCTTCCTTACGGTAAACTGAAATTGATAAATAGTGTACAGAATACAGTAATAGCCGTTTTTTATTTTTGAGGGGCATTCTCGCATTTACAGAGTTTCTGTATAACAAAGGCACCCCTTGTAGATTGTACAAACTGACTGCTTCAGAAGGCAGCTTATTTCATAAATGTAGCATAAAATGACAAATGCACCTTGTTTTTCTATTAAGTTATATGGCTCAGTTTTCACAGCATGTAATTACACCTCAATTTACCTACAAATTTAAGGCTACTTATGAGAACATCATATTTGATGTGTAATTCCTGGCCTATCTACCACTGACTACAGTGTGTGAATTTTGTTACACAGATGAGAAGTAAATTTTACAGTATAAACAACACAAGTCACCTTCCTATGTTATGCTTTCATGGACTCATGGGGTAGAATTTATTTTCCAAATAAATAATTTGCAGTCAACAGTCTGATAATCACTCGACTCTACAATGCAAGCTGTGCGGGATCGATAATACCATCGCTTTGGATTCAGAATTGTTCCTGCTTTAGTGTTTATTTCAAAGAGAACAATACTCTGGGTTTGATCTCGATTTAACCTTTGCACACCTCTGGTCATAGTTTACACTTAGTTACCATCTTTACCATCTGTAGCACTATCAGTTGAAAGCTTATACTGTTCATCTACCTTTTCAAGTTCAACGACCCTCTTTTAGCTACTTCAAGCGAAGAAAACAAATCTTCACGCTTCCTATGAAAGACCTGGAGCACAAATGAAGCCAACAAGCATGCACGCCAGAATGGAGGAAGGGAACAAACTTTCTGCACAGTGCTATGTTGTGCTTCAAAGCGGAGCACAATTACCTGTAGTTAGAGCAATCTCAAGTTAAGAAGTCAAACTATTTTAATATATGAAACATCGTAGCTGTTATCCAGTGGAAGGTGTGCATTCACAGCATTTCTATCCGAAAACTTGATTCTTCCAACTACTCATCCACAATACAGCACTGAATATCCACAAGTCACTAACTTCCCAGTCACACACATGCATGAAGGTGCATGCACACTGGAGCATCAATTAACGTCTCGAATGCGCTGTGTAGTACTTGGAATTGCTGCTATATTTGCTCACACGGTTTACAAGCGTACATTCTCAACAGGATGTTACTTAGTCAAGACAAAAATTCCTCGTGTCACTACCTCTTAACACTTTTTATTTTTGACATTCCCAAAAGTACACACTTATATTTTCTCTCTTTTTTTCTTTTAGCATTTCCCTCAGGTACGGGAGAGGGCGAGCACTGTGATTTCAAAATACTCAGTCAGCAAGCAGAACCCAGGGTTTAGAAGCTCTCTCTCCCAATTGAATGTAGAACCTAACTGACAACACGCTGGATATTTTTTGTGTTAAAATACATAAGATTCTTGCATGCTGCCTTGCAATTACAGACACATTCAGTATATATCAGCCTGCCATCAGAACTCTTTGCTAAACTACAAGTCAACTCTTAGTTGTATATTGTGACCATTTCATTTTGCTTACAAAAATGCTTGGCATTGGTCTTCACTGCAGTTCGGTTACTGAACAAATACATTAAAAACATTTACTGCATTTATTTTTTTCTTTTACTTCAAAAACATCAGAAAAAACTAGTTTTGTTTTCTTAAATAACTTGATAGAACATTTAGTTTCAAGCACGTCTCTGTTGTTGAATTATTCTTCAATCAAACTTTTTAGCTGCTGCAAGGATATTAAAAATGTGAGGTACTTTTTTTTATTAAGTTTAATAAAAACTGAATTAGTTTGTAAAATGTCCCACCTTGAATGTACAAAGCTTTGTGGAAAATGAAATATTTAAAATTCATCTTTCTTTTAAAATGACCTGCAGTTTTTCAAATCCCAACTGCATCTTTAAAATTTCAGTGCAAGCCTTCCTTTACACACTTTGCTTGGGTTAACTAATACATATTTCTGAACAAAACGTGTAGAAAATAGTAACATTTACACTACTATCCTAATAACTACTGTTTTTTAAAAAAAATCCCAAAACAAACGTACTATTGCTTAACATTAAAATTACACGACAATAATTCAAACGCATATTGAACTTTCACCTAATGGTATTAGATTATATGGTTCAAAACTGCAAAATTACATTTGCTTATAAACACCTTTAAATTATTGAGGAACAAAAATGACAGGGATGACAGCATATCTTCTGTTATTGATGACTGACCACAGAACGTACAAAAAACACCAGACACATTTAAGATGGAATAGAATGCAGGATCATACTTGTAAAGAATAAACTCGAAGGCTGAAACATTTGCATCAAGTACCAAAATATTACCGAGCGATGCAAAATATTACAAGGCGATAAAACCTGTTGCTGAGAATCTCACGTCTCTCAGCTTGACAATTTAGTTCTCAGCCTCCCAGAATAATAAGCACCAGGGATCAGAACCCACAGAGGCACACTTTGTGATGGGTATAATAGCACCAACAGCAGGCTAACAAATCAATGCTGGTGTCAGCTGTACTTCACACTTTTAAAGCCTCTACTGGCTTATTGGAACAAAGATTAAAATCAGCCCCAAATCAGTCGGGGGAAAGAGAGAGAGAGAGAGAAAAAAAAAAGATAAATAGTTTCTAAAAATTGTTTTTTTTTTATATAAAACAGGAGCCAATTATTTTGCAACGATATTAAAACCAATTCACAGTAGAATGTATTTGCTTTTTATTTTCCAATAGGAAAGAAGCAACAAAAAAAATGTTTGCAGGCCGCTCAAGCACCTTTTTGTTTGATGGAAGTGGATGTAGTTGGTCCACATTGTCCTTGCATAGAAGGTCGCATCGTTTTGAGGTAGAATTTCTAATTACCTAGAGATGAGGGAGATAAAAACGAAACGCACACTTACTATTTACACCTTCCAGGAATAACAAACAAAAAATCAAGATTTCAAAAGGAAAGTGGGATATTGTGGAAGGAAAAGAATTCCTCCCACTGGGGGTAGCCCATTGACTTGTTGAAATCAAACGGCTTGGTAGCAAATCTATAGGCAACAGTTTTTTTATTATATATTATATATATATAACTAAAGACAGGTAATCAATAAACTGCTACTTTCAACAATTCATTCCAATTCTGCATTTTGGTTTAATGTCCATCTCGTGTAACGGCTGCTCTCCCACACAACTTCCAATAGTTTTACGTGGTGAATATTCTCATACTTTTAGGCTTAAAACGTAACCCATCGCCCCTTGAATTGTAAAATGTTCATGGATTTGAGGTTTTGCTAACCAGTTTTCTAGCCACCGGCAAAAATCTCAACATTTCTACCTCAGATTCCGTTTCCACATTCTACTGCTAGTCTTGGGTCGATTAAAATATTTACCAGTGAGTTGCTTAAAAAAAAGCAAACAGATCAATCTTTTCAGACTGTCTGACTACGTCTGACACAGAGGATCACTGAACAAGGCAAGAAAATAGGATCTTCTGTGGGCCTTAAATTAGTTTGTTTTAAAAAAAAACTGGAAGTTATAAGTCACATGACCAGTAGATCATTGCTGGAATTTTGCTTATCTTGAAATTGATTTTTTTTTTAATTGATGAAACAGTATGAGTTTCTGGTTTCATACTGGAAATTTACACAAATATATACAACACACACACACACAATATATCAGAAGCAACAGACACTCCTAAACTGCAGACCACAGCTAACAGCATTTTAGTTTTTAACAATACTGCAGCTTGCATTTTTATCAAGATGCCACAAAACATTGCTGTACACATTTGCCAAGTGGTCTGTGACCTTGCACATTCCTCTAACCTTACCTTATAAAACTGACAAAGTACGCAAGTTCTTATCGAGGCTTAACACCAGAGAAATGTGTAGCATAAGGAGGCTGTATGCCTAGTGTGACCCACATTGCAGATGTACTTGTATTGGGCTGAGGGACGAGAGGTGCCGACTGAGCAAGCGCTGTACGTGGCAAAGGTGGGTGATGCACTGTGAAAGAAGGGCGAGAGGTTTTGGGCTGCAAAGATGAAAGCTTTATGGCTAATGCAGTGTTAGCAGATTGAAGCGAAGCAGTGGAAGAGGAGCAAGAGATAGATGGAGGGAGATAACCTTCACTAACAGAGGGCATATTCCGGAAGAGAGAAGGATCAGGACTGTTTGAATTAAGCAGCGGAGGAGGCGGTGGCAGGGAAATATTGGGAGGCGTTGCATTTAGAATAGACTGAGTAGGAGCTCGGGTGAGATAGGGGGCTGCCCTGCTCTCGGTGGAAGATAATGAACTGGTAGAGACAGAAAGAAAAGAATGGGAAGTGGCAGGAACAGTCTGTAGTGGGTTAAAGCTTAACATTGTGCTACTAGATACTGGAACACTGCTGAAATTGGCTCCAAACTGATGAGAAGAGGCTGAAGGCACCGCATGGTTAAAAATACCTGAAACAGGAGAGAAAACAAAGCTCAAAGATGACATTATAACTAGCAAGAAGCAAAGCATCAATACAGCAGCACAGCCCAAACTTGTAAGCATTTCTCTCTCTCTCTCTCTCTCTCTCTCTCCAGCAAAGCTTAGTAGAGCAACAAAAAAAAGGAAAAGAAAAAAAGATTTTTAAAAAGCAAAAAAAACATTCAGGGTTATCCAAAGCATAGCAACTCTCCTTTTCAGCTGATGGGAAGAAACGTCGATTGACATTACAGAAAAACGAGAGCATAAAACGTTTGAAAGTAAATACTTAAAGCCACAAAAATGGGGCGAAGGTCACTGTAATACTTGGGCCAACCACACCCTAAGTTTGTTATACAAACTCGAGAGTTAGTGTTTGTGTACCATGAGCAGAGATAAAAAAAATGTTTTTTGCAAGTCACAGTTCAGAACTCTTCCGCCGGTCATTCTGCAAAATTATTTCCTTATTGGCCCGGAGTAACCACTAACTGCTCCCGTGAGATAACGACCCCCTCGTGCATGTCAAGAAGCAAACAGAAAAGCAAGTAGGCGGCTGCGAAAAGGTTTTAGTACGTCAAAATGAATAACCAAGCTCCATTCTTTTTCTCACTCAAGCAAAATAAAAAAAAGTGGGGGAATGCATACAACAAACTGCGGCCTTTACTAAACTTGTGAGAACGTTCAAAACGAGTAAATGCTTCACTTTGACAGCAGCATATAGTGAACTTGGTTGGCTCGTGTATGCAATTTGTTTCCACTCTGTGGTTTAGAGCAGATCAAAGAGATATGGTATACACAACTGTATTTATTGGAAAGCACAAGGTGGTTCAGGGCGAAAGAGAAATTTACAGAAAACATTTAGGATTTAACGTTGCTCACACTTCGCATCTGATCAGCTTTTGATTCCCATTGCTTCTCTCTGCCCTAAAAGAAGAGGGTCTGGGTTTTTTTTCCCACGTTTGCGTATGAGTTTATCCAGTTTTGCTCTAAACTATAGCGAAACCTCAATTATCTGCCCCTTAATTATCCATCAGAATCAACTATGCAGTTTAAAAAGTTGGCCTGAATATACTGCTAAAAAAAATTCAGGTGATGGTGGTGTTCTCGGCTACAGCATTTCTACAATTGAATCTGATTTTCTAGTTACAGTTCAACAATTTTCGGAAGACATTTTCAACTTTCACAGGTTACGTGTGGATTTGAACAAAATTCACGAGGGCCAGACAACTTTATTGCTTACGCGTTTTAAAAAAAACAAGAACTATAGATCCGCGATCTGATTCCTAAAGCTTAGGGCTTTGAACCAGCAAAACCTTCAGGTGTGAGATAGAAGAACGAAGATGGGCAAACTTGGACTAAGCAAAGAACATCGATATACCAAAAATAGCGTCCTTTATGAGATTTGAAAAATCACAAAGATTCTGTATACGTGGCAAGTATTAAGAGGTCTGCAATTCACCAAGCAGAGAGTAGTGTGAGAAGAGGCAAATTCTAGAATTTTATATCAGCAAATTGCACTGCCAGGCCAGATATTACAATTCCTTTAATTACTGAGTATTCATAAACACTCACACAAATCAATACAAATATGTTAGCTCAGTGTTAAGTTGCTTCAAGTCAAACATTCACCATATACAAAATGAACAATTTCCTCCAATTTGAATATTTACACTCGTCTGTGATTAGGAGAATTAATCTCCATGATTAATCTGTGCCTCATTTAAGAAATTGTGCATGTTAAATAACACAATTACAGGGCTTTGAATGAACTGTACCACAAACAATGACTATAAAAAAATCTAATATTTGTGTGGATACCAATGGAAATCAAAACGTTCCATCAGCCCAACACCAGACCAGCATCACAGAGACGTTTCGACCATCTTAATTTAAAATAAATGTACAAAACAAATCTTAGTAAAATAGGTTCTGTTTGAAAGATACAATTCACAGGATTGTTGACAAGACAAATATTTTCCATCATAAGGCAGACCCTTGTAACAACCGAATTTTATTGCGAGTGATCTGGTCAGTCTCACTTGAAGATACTTAACAAATTCAACCCTGGTGGCCATCAAGTCCAAATCAATTAAGACAGCTACCAAATTACCACCAGGAGAAACAACACAGAGAGATGTGTACAGAATGTTTACCGACATGTGGTTGAAGGCATTAATAATTGTTAGCATTTCACAACAAACAAACAATCTCAAAAGTTTATAGAAAACACTAAAAAGGAGATTTTAAAAATTATTGCTCAATCGTCAAAAGCCCATCCGGCACAAGTGTTTAGGATTACAGAGTATCAGAACTATCTGCCCAAAATGCCACAGAAAGCCTTATTCCTACCAGTTAAAAAGTCCAGAATGGAGTACAAGACTTTCATTTGCACAGGAACGAACACAAGATCAGCAAATAGCCCATGAGTTGGAAGAATGATATATGCATATCAGAATTATGCATTTTTAGAAAGCAAGGACCACCACACACAAATATAGCTACCTGGAAATCATAACTCAACAGATAGGGAGAAGAGGAGGCATCAATACTATATGTGAATAATGCCTTCTTTCAAAGAATTATGGTTACAATTTACAAGGTCACAAAATCGATTTGGATAAAGAAAGCCCTTCAGCTCATCTGACCGAATCCTTCCAGAACACCCGCCCTAAAATTCTTCCTACCCTCCCCAGCACCAAGCAAATGAGTCCCTGGCCTCTACCACCCTAGTAACCTATTCCATTCGATGATTATCTTGTGTAAACAAACACTTCCTGGTGTCTGTCCTGAAATTGCCCTTTAAACTCTAAACCTATGTCGTCTTGTTCTGTCTTGTTAAATCCTAATTACGTTTACATTTTCAATCTCATTTAAACATTTTATACACCTCTGTGAGATGCCTTTTTAGTAAGCTCTGTCTTCTCAAGACTGAGATCTTTCAATGTAGTTCTGTGTGATACAGGTTCCAGTGTTAATGAGGCAGGATTAGACCACCCAGTACCATCAGCCAAACAAAGCTTCGGATCATCCCGGGCAACAGTATTGCAGCAGTCAGACTCTATAATGCTGTTGGTACTCCAAGTCCCCGTAGACATTCTGCTCAAGTTGGCTCTTGTGAATATTTAATAAGAGCCTCGTTTCCCATCAAGCGAGGTTTCCAATCACCCTGATAACCAGCGGCTGCCTTTTCAGTGGCTTGTTATCTTACACTTTAGCACTGTGAATTCACACCATCAGGAATTGGGTTGAGACTCCCCACTCAAACACTTTAAAAATAGTAGCCCCGTTCAGAAAGAGTGTTGATAATGTTTTTTTTAAAAAAAGTAGTTGCTCATGATCCTCGCTCTAGTTGAGTGAAGAATTCCAGAGAGATGTGAAACTCTACACGACCTTGTATTTGAAACTTAAAACTTTTTGAGTAGGGAAGATTACATTTTCCTTTGCAATTTAAACCGGCCACATATATAAAGGACTGTTAAACATGAACATTTCCTAGACTTGGGGTGGGGTGTGGGTGGGAGGATCCACTTACAGGAATTGTTAGGGCATTGCAAGAAGTTGATGGTACTGAAGATTGCAACGATGCCAACTATATTTATTGAATATATCAAGTAATATTCAATAAATTTAGGATATTAAAAAGTTGAACTAAGAGCTTATTTTTAGGAGGCAAATAATACGCTGTCTTTTATCCGAGAACGCCTTAAGATAATAGTGATAGACTCCACCCCCCACCCCATAAAGCATTATTCTTGGTCCAAAAGGAAATAGTTTCCACTTCTGGTTAAAAAAAACTGAGTTGCTTGTGAGAAACTTCTCTTCATTTATTATTAGACAATTAGATTTAGGCAGGCTAAGGTGAGGGTGGAAGTAGTGGTGATATTTCTGTTCCAGTTACAAGGGTATTAAGTTTTGTAATAAAAAAGACAAGACTCCAGTTTCTCAATAAAACTTAATATGATCTAGTAGGAAAATAACGGAATGAGTCGAGGTTGGAAACAGATGAATACATTTCCTTCATGAGAAAAGACCAGAAATTGATCCCAATCCTTGTCTAAGATTGTATGCTGCATAGTCAAGTGTTGATACAACTTGAGTGAAGTAACTTTTGATTGCATTAACACTCCATCACGCAGAAGAACATTCAAATCTGCCAGGGTTAGAGCTTAAAGCTCTCAGGAAGTGTACTGCTTGTGAATATTAATGAGAAAGAAACAAATAAGGAAACGGAGTAGTGCCTGGGGTCTGCTGATCATGAAACCAATTAACAAAGAGGTGCTTGGTTCAGTTCTCACGTAAAAATAGAAAATAAGGCATTTTAAAAAGGTGCAGAAAATATGAACTTTAATTGCACCGGATTATCAGGATCATCCAACATCAGAAGGCATATCACTCTTCCCTTAAACTCCCCTCCTCCCCCGCAACCCAGAGTGCCATCCTTGAGGTGAAATACCAATGTTCAGAATGTACACCAATGGTACATTTCTCAACTTTCCACGAACAAGCAGTTACATTACGAAGAGAAGACAGGAACCATTTGTTGAATTGGGTTACACGTTTATGTACCTACCTCCCGCAGTCCCACCAGCAATACCAGCAGTGGAGAAACTACCAACAGTGCAAGAATTAGTCAAGCCAGCTCCAGCAGCTGTGACATGAACCATGTTTGCAGTGACTTGCGTTGATCCGAAGAAAGACTGCAATACTGATGGCCCCATCGTCGAACTTGAATTGCCCTGCAATGATGTGGGTCCCATGGGGTACTGCAATCCTGTGGTCAGCTGACCAGGAAGAGACCCTACAACAGAATGGTGCGATTGTGACTGAATTGAACACAGTGCATTGTTAGCTGTCGGATGACTGCTGTCTGAAACAGCAACTGGTATGTTTTTGACACCAGGTTTTCCTCCGGACGGAACAGTTGCCACTGGAATAAAGAGATTGTGGCTAGTTTTCATTTCCCGCTCTCTTTCACGTGATTTGTTCATCTTTACATTATGCAGTGTCGCACTTTTCTCCACATGGGCTCCCAAGCGACTTACTCCATCTGCGTTCTCTTTACCTTTGACCCCTGACCTGCTCAACTCGTCTCCCTTTGTACTAGTCAACCCATCTGGTTGCCGCTTGTTTGCAAAGAGATTTGGGTCAGGAATGTTGGAATCAGTTTTGTTCCTGGACAGTTGGTATAGTGCACTGGCATTCAGCCCCACCATCTCTGAAGTCTTATGAGTTACGCAAGCACCTTCATTATAGTTATGTAAACTGACATCTACAGAGTGTCCAGAATTACAATTAAATGTGATCGGTGAGGATGCATGACAACCATTTTCCTCCACTGACACTGGCACGGTGATAGGTTTCTTCTGATGTGACCCCGCTTTAGCATCACTGACTGTAAGGTCATCTGTAATAGACCTGGTGCCAAGAGGAGAAGCTTGACGTAAAGCGGTTCCTGACTGGGATGTGTTGTCAGAGCTCTTGGTCAAATTGAGATCCGAAATTGGGGAGAAAGTGGACTTCCATTTACTGCTGTTGCCTACACTACTGGAACCCTGTCCTTGCTTCCGCATGGGCAAACTCCCACCTACAAGGATTTAAACACACCAACAAAGTGTCAGTACATGAAGTGGGGGGATAACTTTACATTTAAAACCAATAATTCTTTAAGAGATATCCGAAGGGGGAATTTTGCAATGTTTTGCTTTGGTCAATCCAATGCAACCAAATCGTGAAATCGCTAGACTTTCAACAGACTTAAAAGCAGAAGCAAACTTGCAACACAAATTGAAGAGGGAGGTGTGCAGTAACTATGGAGCAATCAATCGACCACTAGTTTTTTTTGCAAACGGGGAAGCAGCAAGGACAAGCAAAGTAAGAAGTGTCTGTAATTTAGGTGACACACATCAAAGAATGGATGAACTTAGTCCTTGAAGATGACGTCCATATTACAGGAGTCCATTTCTCTAGCCAGAGGACCAACCAAGAAAAGGGAAGGCAGCAGTGCAGCAAAATAAAAGCCCTGGAAGCCAGTTTGTCATGCCATAAATGGTCTTGTTATTTATAAGAAATCACTTGCTCTGAAAGACCTATATACACTTTTTATAGTTACTGACATCCACGTAGCACAAACCATACTAAGATTTTCAACTCAAAGGGCTGAACTTTTCTGAAATATTAAAAATCAGGTTTGGATTAAAGATTTTGTTTGCATCATTATATGTACTTACCCTGGTCACCTTCCCCACAGCCAGTTAGAATTTCTTTACTTTCTATTGAAACAGTGCACTGATTTTGAGTTGTTGGGTGTCTTTCAATCCTTAAAAAAGAAAAGAGAAAAAAACATTTATTGGGTGACTGAGAGGCAATGTGTTGGCGAGTGATGCACTGTTCCGCAGAGTAGCAATTCGCACCTACAAGTCGCAGTTTAGGCAGTCCAGTCAACTCAGGTGAAAGAGCAGTCAACCTGGGCTCAAATGCAATTTACAGCAGATAAACTATGCAGAAATACAACAACTTGCATTTATATAGAGCCCCTCGCACAGGGTAGTGTCCCAGAGCGCATACAGAAGCAGGTTCCACACAATAGCCCCACCTTCCATTAATCCGTTCAGTTTCTTCCTCTCGTTCATCGTCTGATGTAAGTGGTGAATAGTGAACGCCATTGGGTGCAGACAACTTTTCCTTTTTCAGATTTGGGGGTCCTTCATTTTCCTGGTAAGGGACAGGAGAACTCTTCACCGACGTCTCGGGCGACGAAATCGCCGTTATTTCCAAGGGTTGATTAATGTTATTAACCTAAAGAATAAATGTAAAAAATTAGTGAGACTTACTACTGTTGGAACATAAAACTGTCCCTGGGTTTAGAAAGATTCCCAAGATTATTAGAATTTGGTAACAGTTCCTGCACCCAACTGCTGTGCCAGGAAGAAGTGGTGTGTAATTATTTAAGCAAACCAGTCAATAATCCAAAATGTTTTGCTCCACTAGAATTGGTGATATCACCACTTAGTCAGATATGCATAAATGTAATTCATATTTAATCTTCCAGATTTTTGAATACCTATCCTACTATATATACACAGATCTCCTTTTATTCAATGTGTTTAAGCACCTGCATCCACGATAATTATTGTATACCTAGGCCAAAATTAGATTTTTTATTAATCTTTATTTAAATTCATACTTTAATAGAAGTACAATTGTTTCCATTTTAGCCTCATTTATCTTTAGATTGTAAGCAGGTTTAGTGAAATGACTTCTGCCCACCCAAGCACTCATCTTTTCTGTACATCATTCATTAAAAAAAATGTTTAAACCCATCACTTACCTTCGGTCTTCCTGCCTATTTGGGGAATGGGTCCAACTTTTTTAAAAAAAATTAAAAAAAGGATTTAAAGTTAAAATGTCTAAGGAATTTCTATTCAGCTAATTGTAAAAAAAAAACTCGAGAAGGATGAACATTTGCAATACAGACATGGGCAGGTCAATCGGATGAATAATACTTGTCTAAACACCAATGAGTTGATGATGAACAAGTACATTGGTTGGCAATGTGCCAAGGGTCGACTCACTGATGGTAATAACTCTGACGTCACCTCTAACCCTCCCTGGAAATCCTGCTGCTCTTTCAAATTTATTTGCTTCCATCCGTTATTTGCCCAGGAGTAAATGTTACCAGACCCGGGAAATGGTATAATTCCCCCTCTTTCTGTTATCCAGAGAGGTCCTAGTTTTAAAATGAGTCATTGATATAGTTTGCATTCTCTCTTCCTATGAATTACCTGGCCTTCATTCAGTAACCGGCAAATGTGTTTGTGTGTGTGTGTGTATATATATATATATATATATATAAAAAAATCAGATGCTCATCAGGTGTGGAATTGCAACACAGCCAGTCTCAATTTAGTATTTCAACCAAACTGAATAAAAAGAAGCTGCCAGTGATTTATAGGTTACCGGCATTTACACTTGGAAGACGATTTATTCATAGTGTTGTATTGATTCTGGTAAACAGATTCTGCTCAGGGGTTGACACACAAATGCATTGCCATAGCTCTGAACACATTCCAACTAGATTAGCTTTAGCCACAATTATCCATGACTCCAAAAAAAAAATACAGTATTCATTTGAAATCTGAGAGAATTTCAACTTCCACATACAAATGGAAATTGCCATCATCCCACAAAGGAAAAACAGAAGGTAGCTGGAAGAAAGAAGAAACATCCCATAGAACAATGTCCCTAAGTGGTAGCATCAAGTGCTCTGGGACGCTACTGTGTGAGGGGCACTATAGAAATGCAAGTTGTGATTGTTGAGGATATTGACTCCACTTAAGTCTATGTCAGACTCGTGCCTTCACTTCTTTGTCTGGAGACAAGAGATCTGAGATACAAGGAACCAGCATTTAAGCTTCACAGCAAATGCATTGATTTATCTCTCTCTCTCTCACACACACACCACACACACAGCTCCAGGTCAGACCAGATTGGAAAGATAATAAGGGATAGCCCAGGAAGCAACATCATACATGGAGGCTAAACCCTCAAAGAATGAGGATGGCAACTCCTGTCTTCATTGGCTTAACCTCCACATACAAACTAGAATTATATCAAAGTAGCAGAGAAAAATGGTGGCGTTCTGATGACGTACAAGCCAACTGAGGCACATGAGCCAAAATTGTCATCATATTGACCTGTCAAGTCAATCATGCTTGGTGAAAGCACATAGACTGTTACTGCTACCTTGCAGGTGGCCAAGAGGAATCCTCCGCGTATTGATCCAAGAAGTGGTTACTGCAAAAGTGGAATTAGCACCAACTTCCTCCAGTGAATCCTGTTAGAGAACAACAGATACACCTGATTAACAGAATAACTATCCTGAAGTCCTGTTTCCCAAGGAAACAAACTTTATTGGCAAAAATCCTTCATTCTAATGTGCATGGTGTGTCAGTTCACTGTGCACGTCAACCAAGAGATACTTTCATTCAATGGAAAGAAAGATATGCTAAATAAAACTGCATCACTCGGATTTCCCAATTCAGAAACGGCCTCTGGTTAGAGAGGCTTATGAAATGCTACAAGTACATGGCAAACTAGATAAGGTGATCTAGCAGAAATATACAACATTTCACAAAACACTTCAATATTCCTCAAACAGAGGAAATATCATATACGAAAACACTCACAGGAACCTGTGGGTCCAAATGGTTCGGACATCAACTTGCTCAGAACCAAATTCTGATTATGTTCAAGACTATTTCAGGAACAAAGAGCGTTCCTCCCAGGCAAGCCTTTCTAAACTATCTGGTATTCCCTCACAGCATAGCAAACAGAAGAGCTGAAGTAGATTGTAGTTGTTCATCCAAAAGCATTTCCTGGCACAAAGGAATTACTGGCAAACCACAAACCTGCTGGTTAAAATGATCAAGGTGAGCCTGAACTTGTCTTCAGCATAGACATTTTTCTGAAGTGTTGCTACTACTGAATTGCAATTCCCTTTCAGCAAGCATCAGGGTTAGGCCAGTCCTATTAAGAGCGACACATCAAACGAAACCTCCAAGGATCATGGTGCCAAATGTATCGCTTCATCACAGTTCAAAGGTCTTCTCTGACTGCGCCCTGTGCCAAATGGGCTCCGCATCAGTTCACAAAGGTTAGTGACAGCAGAGAAAGGCTACGAATGCAGTCCAAACTTATACGGAGAAGTTAAACGTGCTTTGATTTAGATTGCCCTCTTGAGAACTTCCAAATTGCCAAGACGACCAATGTGTGAGAAGGTTCAGCTCCAGTTGTCTAATGAATAAAGATGGTAAGTGCCAGCAGGCAAGGACAGTTGTGCAGAAAATGTTACAACCAGATGCTAGCTAACTTGAGGTGAACCAGTCTTATATATCATCAGAAATGATCCTTCCTTTGGCTTGAAAGCACGCGCTGATGGAAGAGATTGTCTTGTAGAGTATAACTAGAAACAGGGATTTACTGACATTTACATCGCAGAAGCTGCGGTAACGAAAAGCTAACCCGACTCACACTACCTTTTAGTTGGTGAACAATCCTATACTTATTGAATTCTCCTTCACAATGATAGGAACTGATATCTCAGGATCAGAAAAGGACTTCCTATAAACACTTGGCCACCAATAAACTGGTTAATCCTGTGATAACTTTTGACAGCTCCTGCTTCAAACCTAAAAAGCCAGAGGTCCCATGAAGCTCCACATTCACAATCTGCACTCAGTGAAGAATCAAGATCAAGAAGAGATTTTGACCGTCTGCTCCACAAAAGGTCCCTGTCCTCCCTTAACTCACCTTGGTATACTTGTGTTATAGCATGCTTCCTTTGGCGTGCGGGCCAGCCCACTCAAAACCCTGACCTGCCACCGTCGTACTGGATGGCATTCAGCAGTGTTGCTGCCAGACAGTTGCCAAGGCTTGGGCATATGTACAGGAGAACTCCTAGTCACAGATGGTTGCCTATAAATAAGCACCTGAATAAATCAAGTGGTTGATGTTATGTTGCTATGGTAGTTCACTCATTGTTGAGAGTCACAGAGTAATTAAGGGGAATGAGGCAAGTTCCCACTGAGTTCTGCTGACCTGATCAAGAACAACAACTTGCATTTATTGAAGAGTCCTTTCTGTGGGCAAAGATTAAATACATTTTTGTTAATGGGCAACCGTCACCTTACTGCATCCCAAGACTTTGTTGGTACCTCTTGCAAAAAACCTTTGCCGGTGTTGTTTTAATTGTTCCCAAACCATGGCGTGCAAAAGAGGATACATGGACAATGATGAAAGTCAGGGAATATACACAATAAGTCGGTGTCCATATTCAGTAACACTCATAATGAATTGCTGTTCATTGCAAATTCACTGCCTGACCAGATAAAGTCACTTCATCAAGTCCCAGATAGATTGACCTGGGTGGACTGAAAAAATATCAAGTGCAATGTGAAACCAATGTTTTTCTGTGAATAATGTTGCTTACTTTTTGATTCATACGAAAAGGCAATCTGCCTTGAAGCCATGACCTTCGTGCAGCGCAATTGCTTGTCCTTAGAGAAAAGGACAACGTCAGCCTTTTGGCAAAAAGAGGCTACAGACCTCAAATGGGTGCAAACATTCTATATTGTGTGAGCCAGTTGCCCAGGTGCCCTTGGGATACCTTCAGTGTTGTAGGCAGTGTGGGGAAAACAAATGGGTCTGACGAATGTCCACCATAAGAGAAAAAGAACTGGACTCCACATCAACGTTGATACAAGACACTTGACCATCCAAAGGCAAAAATATTTTCAAAGCTTAAATGTCCCTTACTATCTACCCCGCAAGATGACAGCAACTCTCAACTGTATGTGAAGCTTGAACAAGTGAAATATATATTAAAAGAACAATTAATTGGTTGATAATGTGTTTTAATTTTACTGGCACACTAGATTTTCTGTGGAAGCAACTTCATCTGAGAATAATGATGCAACATATTGTATAGTACAAGAGTTTGGAATATTCACACAAGTCTCAAGCATCTCTGTGCAAAAGGAAATAACCAATACAGTGAATGATTAGAAACCACTTCTTACCATGGAGTTTATATTTAGAGGGGATCCCGATGAAAGCCCCAATGCAGCAAGCAGGGATTTGCGTTTAGGAGAGCTACCTGCATTTAAACTGGATATATTGGATGACATGGAAGAACGTTTTCTTCTGCCTCTCTTCTTTCCTTCTTGAGACATTGCCTGACCAGATTCCAACTTGACGGCTGTCGGCACAGAACTCGGTTTATTTGAAGGAAGCTGCTTCATACTTCCGCTACTTGCAGTTGAAAATATTATCCTTCGTTTCAAATCATTCTCCTGATCGGCGAGTCCGTGGTCCAATGGCAAATCTTTTCTCATCGCTTCCGAGAAGGTCTTTTGCATGTCTGCATACTGTAAAACCCCACCAGTGCTCTGTGTGTTGGATGCTGGATTGTAGGAGCTAGACATTCTCGGGCTGCCTGAATGCTGTGTGGCTGGGGAGTTTTGTTCAGAACTCCGAGATTGCATCAGGTGCACCATTTGATGCTGTGGGTTCGTGCCATGGGACGCACAAGTGTTGACAAAGATACTTGCATTGGGCGACTCAGAACTTTCCAACATCTTATCATGACTATTGAAAGCTGACTGGGTGGGAGAACCGGAATGGACCCCATTGACTGCCACAGAGCCAGCTAAATAAAAACCTGGAGAGGGGCGCGGGGAGGAGAGAAAACAAATCACATTATTGGAAAACACGTCGGAAGAATGGCCACTTGTACATGGTATCAGACACAGTATCCTGTAAATGTGCAGCATACTGTCAGTTAGTCAAACTGCATTGGTTCATCTTTAGTAAATGGTTGTTGTATTCTGCTTCTTTTCTTAGACCAATAAACAGTCTGTGCCTACTGAATTATTGCCTGTGACTTCTCCATACTCAACACTTGAAGAAGAAACAGGCAGTAGGTTTTGCTATAATACACTAAGCTCGGGTGTGGATCCCTGACTGTCCATTGCCTTGGGACGTCCTCCTGACGCAAAAGGCGCTATGTGATCTGTTGTTATTGTTAGCCAGTGCTTGTGCAACCATATACCATCAGGAGCACCTTTAGAAAAGAATGCCACCCCGCCCCCGGCCGTTCCTTCCCCCCAAAAAACACAACACTAAATTGTACCTGAGGTAGCCAAAGCCTGTGGCTTGTTTCCAGCAGCATTACCATAATTAGCACCATATTGTTTGTCAAACATCAATAAATCGCGATTTGAAACTTGGACAGGACTAGGTGTGCTTCTCTGCAAAAAAGATGAAAATTGTCAAGAACCATTTGCTCAAATGCAGTAATAATCTGAACTGAGATTAATGCAAGAAAACTGCTCATTGGCTTTTGGCACGATCTCAATCCATGACAAGAACCACAAATCCATCAATTAGATATGCTCCCTCATAAAGAACATCATAGAATTTAATTCGCCTCTCAGTAAAATGAGCAAATTCATAAATGTATAATTTTGTCCACATTTTTTACCCATCCAGCACTTTGGGACGTCCTCCTGACGTGAAAGGCACTATACAAATATAATTTTTGTTATGTATTCCCAAAATAATCTAAGCCATTTTCAACAGTTAAGTCTGAATGTCACTGTTTAGCCCAGAATACATTTAATTCATAAAGAGTCACTCCATGGGTGTTCCTGTGTTCACTACAAAACTGGCCGATTCAAAGTTGCCTCGTTGTTGAGTTAATGTTTTCACAACGCTGTGTAATGTTCTTTTAACTGATTTTGTTGGTCCCACTCAGTACGTGGCTATGAAAGGAAGATGAGGAAAGGGAACTGCACAGCAGCTTCCTGTGACAAGGTCAGCAAAACTGAAACATCTTTCGTTACACCATACTTAATATAGCACATTGAGTCAAACATTACTTACCACTTTTTCAGCACGGTTCGGCAAAACTACACTGGCCAGAGGAATGCTGACAGGCAATTTGTTTGGTTGAACTGTGCTAAGTGGAATACTGATTGGTAGGCTGGTTATGGTTTCAGAATTATTAACTGGACTTTTGCTGGAGTCTTTAGAAAGCTGCCAGAAAAAAAAAGGTCACTTTTTACAGACAGGCAACTACAGCTTATACAAAACTCTTGGGACAATATTTATACTCGACAAAAGAACATTATGGATTTTGAAAAGACACATGGAATCTTTCTGCACAAAATGGGCTGTTGATTCAGCTTCAATTTTCAGTACTATTAATATGTTATTATTACTCATGTATTAGTCAAACTTCCACATACAGAGGCATAGTCATTCATCGAGGCACTGGGAAATTACCTCTTCCCATGCAATTTTTTTGCTTCCTCTGCTGTGAGGGGGGACCGGAATGTGACCAGACAAGAATAACTTTACTTGAGCAGATCCTGCTGTGTGCTGGGACAGAGCTTCTGTATATCTGTAACCAGGTTCATCTTCCCCTGGATTACACAATCATGCCAAGAATGGATTTCAGATTCAAAAGTCATATGAGAGAGAGAGATGTAAAGTCAGTGGAAATAGATACCATGCATAGAGAGTCAGTCAATGGAATCGAATCTTTGACACTTCATGCAAATTGAAATCAATAGCTGACATGGACAAGTGTCCACAGTTGGAATTAACCCAATAAAAAGGTACACTTGACTCACATAGCCTAAAATTTGAACTTTAGAGCAACTTGACTGATGAACCCTATTCAACCATTGAAGCAAATGAATAAATCAAACTTCTTATTCCAGTGTGGGAGATAAAAGATGTGCTGCAATTAGTGGAAGAAAAGGAAATAACGGCACAGTCTACAAGTTATACATGTGTGCGTTTGCGTGTGTGTGTCCTCCTACAAGCAGAGGAAGCAAAATTATAAGGGAATGGGCAATTTTCTAGCACGTAGATAACTATTGTTATGTGGCAGTTGCATAAATAAGAAAACTGAATATTTCACAATGTTGATATGAAAGATTGATAAGAATACAAGAGCAGAAGGTAGCGTCCAGTTGGGCCAATCGTGTGAAAGGTAGGAAAATGCTGACAAGTACACAGCAGTGTACATAGATCGAGAACAAACCAATAGGAAAAGGTTAGAGAATGTTTTATTAATACCTTCTCTACACTTTTCTCACAGGCCATCTGCTGGGTTGTTGGAGAAGATGGTTGCTGTTGCTCAACTGAACAATGCTTAATACCATTTGGAATTCCTGGACTTAGTACTGGAAGGCCATTTTCTTTTAGATTTTCAACCCTGAAATTCAATCCACAAATCAATCATTTTCATGTAACTGAAACTGGTCATGAGGTAGTAATCTGCGTCTCTGGTAAACCATCCTACATAATGCATTAACTTTAGCAGTCTTCAAAGTGGGGGGGAAAAAGAAAACAATCGGGATCCCAATTCATATTCTAGGCTTAAAAAAAAAGATTTTCTCCATTTCAGTTACTCAATGAGTTCCTAATATCATTAAAACGTAACAGCCAACAAGAAAATAGACTATAAAATAGCTCCATTCAACTAGAAATCAATGAAAATGAACCAACTCAAATGGCTCACTAACCACCCTTTGTTAAAATTATAGAATGCCACATTTTACGTTTAAGTAAATAACCCATTAAGTGCTAATAAACTCACTCATAGAAGCACTGAGAATAGCTAATATGGAAACGAAAATTGCGATTGAGAGGCTGGAGTTAAAAGCGCATTCTTGATACAAAACAACATGGAGAACACAAATATCACAGCTGACCCAAGAGTGAGAAAAATGGGGAAAATGTTCCATGTCCTCAATATCTCATGCTCAAAAGAAAATGCCAGCAGAAAGTTAGCACATTAAGGAGTCAGATCAAAAATATTAGAAGCTTTCCCCTCAAACTGGAATGTCAAGCGTACAAACAATTTGGGTGGGGGGGGCGGGGGGTGAATCCTAGAAATCACCACTAAATAAAGATACAATAAATAAAACTACAATTCGTGGGGGAAGGGGGGAAAGAAAGAAGAAACATTTTAACATCCATCTGCAAAAGGGAATTACAGATCAAGTTAAATTTCACCAGGAACACTCGATGGGTTACATTAGCCTGTTTAATTATACTGCAAAGATAACAAACAGACAACTTAACTAATTCAAGAATACAGTACTTCCTTCTTGCTGATTGGAAGCATAAATTAACTGCGGTTTACGCTAACTTTTCTTCATTACTTCTCACAGACAAAAGCAAAACACGAGTTACTGACCTCTGGGCATAGGCCAATTGGACTTCGTGTGCCAGTTTGCCCCCTCCAGTATGATCCTGATTCAAGTGTCGACGAAGTGCTATTTTAGCTGGAGAGAATCGGGTATAGTCAGGAAGAGAGTGATTCTGGAGTCTGTCTGCTGTGAGTTTATTCATTACGTTTGGAATGCACAGCCCACTGTCCTGGTCTGGTAACACAGCGCTGTACACATTCTGTGATTTCGAAGGAGGCCGGTTTAAAGAACTTTGAAGTTCAAAAGGTGTTGCACTTCCGTTAATAGAGAGTTCAGGGCTCAGACCATTCATACTTGCCATTGGGATTTTAGGGCATTCAATTTCAAGATGGAATCGGTTTCTTTCTGCCTCCATGTCATAGTTCATCTTGTTTTTGTTGCGCAGCTGAACAGGTAGCTCATCCGATGGTATATATGACTTGAGCTGCATCAACTCTTGCTGACGCTGACTCTTCTCCAACTCCACAATACTTATCTGAGAAGGAAATAGAGGCACTCAATTTCTGATGTCAACATCCTTCATTTCATTTCCAAAGATAAGTTCATTTACAATGTATAATCTCTTGTCTAAAGGTAATTTAGATGCAACGATTTTTTTTCCCCTCTTGATTATATGGCAGTAAACGTTAGTAAGTTTTCTTACTCCACACACCTCTGTTTACCTAGCTGTAATTAGGAACCTGGTTATTAGTCGATTGGCAGATGGATTTTCTGGGGATAATAATCCCACAAAAAGAAACAATAGTAATTTGGTTACTCAATGACAGTTTGTGAGATATTGCCGTGTGCAATTGGCTGCTGCGTTTCTCCCACAAATAGTCAATTCACTTTACAGTATATTCTGTGAAGCGCTTTGAGACGTCTAGAAGACGTAACAACACGCGATATCAAATGCAAGGATTATTTTTATTATGAACAGTGCCATAACATGGTGGTGACTTTCCACACTCAATATTCCGAAAGTACTGCAACTCAAATAAAGACAAGAACGTTAGCAATTTATAATGTAATAACTAACAACATGGGATACTGGGTGGTGCATTGAATTGTGACATTGGCCTTTCATGTCTGGGTTTAAATCCAGAGCAGACTGATGGAATCAAAGTTTACTCAACCAACAGTGAATAGCTTTGAGATGTCTCGAAGACGTGATAAGGCGCTATATCAAATGCAACTATTATTATAATAATTGGCTGCTCATTCTTGAGCCAATTCCTGTTGGGAAGAGCTCTCGACATCAACATTCCAGCTGCATCACACACTTTGACCAATTGAGAGTTTTGAACCCTATTTGTTATATAAAAAAATGCTATGTTAAAGAATGTAGTCACCATCTGTTTTTGTTATCATCATACCTGAAGTTCTAAAAAGTGTCTTTCTTTTTCTGAGATCTGACTCTTCAAGGCTTGTTTCTCCTTCAGCAGGTTTTCCAGAGATAGGGAAGACCAATCCAGGTTTAGCTCTTCACATCGTGCTTTCAGCTGCAACATTCGTGACAAAAGTGAACACAAGAAGGAAAAACCTCAACATCCTCTTCTCTTCCATATTAATGGAAAACAGTCATACTCCTACATTTTAAAACTCTCGTATTCTGCACAAAAAACCACAGCCTCATTTTCTTTTCTTAGTCATTCTGTGACTAATTTCTGAGGGCTGTTTTACTGACATTGGGCAGAAACTGACTGAATGTGACATGCAGCTTTTCAAACAATTTCTGGCAAAAGATGAACTTATGAAAAAGCTAATTCTTAAAAAAGGTTTAATAATGCTATTTGTAACTTCCATCCCACTCCTGAATCATAGAATAATTACCAGCTGTAAACTTTGTTTCCTGAGGTCACCATTATCCTTCTCCAGCTGCTTTGTCTGTTCTTTTAGCTGCCTGTTATGAGCAACAATCTCTTTCTGTGCTTGGACTAAATCATTGAATGTCATTGCCTTTATACCCAACTAAAGGAGAGAAAAGAAAACAAGAAGTTCATTCAATTGACAAACTGACCCCTTGAAAGATGTCTCAAGTCCTTAATAAATATATGTGCTAAATGAATACCAAACATGGCTTTTGAATCGTTATCCTGAATTATTCTTCATTATAAGCCATTTTTAAAGTCTGTGGTAAACAGCATCGCTGATCAAGTTAGCAGAGAAATTACAGAATCCTGGATCCAACGTCTCGCTCAGATCAGGACAATGTAGAGAATTTTTATTAAAAGAAAAATTCCCCATCTTGTCTGAGTAATTCAACTAAGAAGCTGTAAAACAGTTCTGTAGAACAGAACCAGGCAACATTTCTTGCACATTTAAAATGTTAAAAGATGTATTTATGTATAATTGTAAGAAGCAATAGATACTGAGGCTTGAAACAAACATGACTATTTCACTTTATATTTAAAGCTAGTTTCTTTATTGGAAGAGTTGACGTGGTTTTTACCTCTTCAAGTTTTTGCTGAAAAAGATGACGGACTTCTTCCTTCTGTGCCTGACAATTTCTAAACAGCTGTTGTGCTGTCCCTGTTAATTGCATGTTCTTTAACTGCAAACAAAATATAATTAGTTTCTGAAGAAATGAGAATGCTGCAATCCATCAGTTTATTTTATAGCCATAGCTTTACAATTCCCTAGTAATCAGTTATTGCTTTTTTTAATATAAAGTATATACACCCACATGGTAAGAATTTCTACTTATGGGTTTGGACATTGCAAGATATAAAACAACATTATTTTTAACATTGGTACGAGCACAACACACATTGGAATTGAATATATGGTGATTTCTATTAGGATTTGTCAATAAGGAAACCAAAAATGTGTCACACAGATCCAGGGCAATTCTGCTCTGACACTATCTACACATTAAGGAATCCCATAGTTCACCCATCAAGTATCGTTATCATCTCAATGCCTGGCCCAGTGCACAAACAGAGAAAAGTAGTCTGACATTTAATTATACCTTTTCCTGGTCCAATAACTGCTGCAAGTTTGTCTTGTACTGAGGTGTCTTCATATATCCCATGAACTGCAGATACTGTAACCTGAAAGACTCTGCATTTGAACAAAGATTAATTTGTAGAGTAATTTAAACAATGGGTTAAAAGCAAATGGGGTTAGAACACACATTTGAAACAAACACGAGAATAGCTAACTTACAAATATTTAACTTTACATTTTTATATATTCCTAAAATCAAAAGTGACAGTGAAGTTTGTGCTGCATTCTGGAGATCAGAGCAGCACTCAGATCTAGGAACCGGCCATCTGCCTAGAACCAGCAGCAAAGCTGCAGATTTAAAAGATCACATATAGAGCCACAGAATTTTACTCTAAAATAAAGTTGAACGGACAGGAAAATGTCACTGTTCATTCAGCCGAATGTGATAGTGGAGAGCAACATCAAGAGCAACTGTAGGTGTTTGATGTATACACCCACAAGGGGGCAGACCTTGAATACTCCCTTCTTTAGCTTAGTCAAGATCTGTCAAGGCAGTGAGCACTGCTTTCTTTGTGTAAGAACAGACACTAATGATCAAGATCAGGTTTGCCTGTAGCGAATACTATGGCACAGACAATGACCCAACTGAATGGACTTTTTAGTGCAAAAAATGTCTACAAATCCAACATAGCTTTCCAGTTATAGTGAAAAGGTTCACAAATGAGGAAGCGGATGTATAGTCTATACAGTTAGTTCACCCACAGATGTGGGCGATATAAAATTGACTTGATCAGTGGACGTGAAACATCACACGAGAGCGGTGGAGTAATTCAGCTGTATTAAACCCAGCAACAGAAAATTCTAGAGATGTGTATGTATCCGGGTTGATCGGGTGTCTCATCCCTTAAACTTTCAACATACGAGTTGAGACCTTCTAACCTCATTCTTAATTTGTGAAACAATATGTAAAATAGCGAGGAACAGCAAACATTTATCGAGAAGCGAGCTGTATAAAGATAAATAGAACTTACCTAGCAGCTTCTGTAGTGCAGGTGGTGTAGAACCCAGTAAGAACTGATTGGGTGAATAGCGTTGCACTTTGGGAGGTAGTTGGTAAAATGGACTATGAGGTGACTTGTACACATCTAAAACAATAAATGTTCAGTTCATCAACTCAAAGCGATTGCAATCAACTCGCAGAAAATTCAGAAATTACAGCGAAAGATTAATTCAGTCGAGGGAAAGAACTTATAATCTGATTTGGTACCGTATTCCATCCGTTGCAGATTAGAGTCTAAATGACTACATCCTGAAACCAGGCTAATATCTAACAGTAGTAAGATTAGATACTCAAGCTGATTGCAAAACCAATCTTTTATTATGAGCAGAAATTAGATTTTAGCATTAAAATTGATACAGAAGGGTCAATTTTTAAGAGAATTCAACTGTGTTAATCTTACGTTCTCAGATTACACGTAGTTTGAGCATTTCAGAAGAATTTAAAACATGTTAGTTACACATTTCTCATTACAAGTAATTTAGAGGTGCTGGAGAATGGTTGAATAAAAGTGGTTACACAGAAACTTTCTGCAGCTACCTCAGGAACACATTATTAATGTGAAAATCAACATGTAATGAGTGCGTGGATGCAAACAGGTGACTATGTTGATTAAATCTGGGGAAAAACAGGTTTAGATGACTAAAGCAAAGGATTTCACGCCCACTAAGAAATAATCAGCAGTACAAGGTTATAATTTATGCACGGACATTTTTTGGCAAAATGCACAAGAGCATCTCTCAGATCTGTTCAATTTTAAAAGCAAAAGCATCGTCAGTGCCTCTGGAAGTTAAATCTTCAAAAAGTGTAGCGAACACCAGAACAGAGTTATCTGTCATCAATTATTTATTGGCTATTAATAAACGTTGAAGTTAGCTTAAACTAAACCACTTTTCAGTAATTACATTCCAGGCTCAGAAATTCTAAGCTTCCTGGGTGCGTTTGAAATGTGTGTCAAAGATGACACAATTAGAGGGCCTTTGACTGCAAACCGATTTTCAAGAAAGATTATATGCTTGTTCACGTCAGCTGAAAAGAACCTCAAATCAGCAGCTTGTTTAACTTACCCTGAGGGGAGGACGCGTGAGACACAGTCTGAGCATGCAGAAGATCCAGTGCAGATTGACTTTTCTTTGCATTCCTTTTGGAAATAGCAGTGTTCATTTTCTTGGGGCGCCCTCGTTTGCGAACTGCGATTCTTTTTCCTTTATTTATTATCTTGCTCTTGCGTGGCTTAGCAGGCGAGGACGATTTCTTCATTCCTGGCCCCACATTTTTCTCCTCTTCAGCACCAGAATCCTGCTAATAGAATTGCTATGATTAGTTGCTGTAGCTCAGTGGTTAGAGCACTCTCCTCGCAAAGCGAGTGACCTGGGTTCGATTCCCAGCAGGGCGAAACCGTGGGCAAGTTTCCTTATTCCACACGCCTGATAATAATCCCTCAAGAAAAAAAAAAGCCCCAATAATTTGGTCACTCAACCCACGACTGTTTGTGGAACGCTGCTGTGCTCAATTGGCTGCCGCCTTTCACCCATGAAATATACAGTCAATTCACTTTACAGTACATTCTATGAAGCGCTTTGAGACGTCTAGAAAATGTGAAAAGAGCCATATCAAAATGCAAGGATTATTATTGTAGTTGACCAAACAAAACAGTGCACTTCTTCGCAATGGAAGTCAATAAAAACCCTTCAAAATACAAAATTAGTTCCCTCCAACATGCTTTTTCTACCTTTTTCCAATAACATAAGAGTATTCAATTAAAATCATCGTCTCAAGCGCCAGAGAAGGCTCACAAATATTTTACGTATGCGCTTTTTCCTGGCAATAACCAATCCCTAGACTAAGCGAATGTGAACCTGAAAGTCATTTTATATTCCATTTTATAAAGCAATGCAGCAGAACACTAAGAATACCAATGTTGAATTCGTGGAGCATTAATGGTGTATGTGCAGAATAATAAGCGCTCCGGGACACTATTCCACGTAAAGGGCACTATATAAATGCAAGTTGTTGTTGCAGTAATATGGAAATCCTTGATATGGAGTCCAAACTAACTTGAACTTATATATTTTATATATATTTATTTTCTCGAGCTTCTCGTGACAGGATTTTTAAGAGCCTTGTCAGTTTGGATTCAGGCTAATCTTCCTGAAGGCTCAAATAGTGCACGAACACACTACATCGTGCAGTGATGAGTCATATTCAGGTCAAATATTTCCTTCCCCCTCCCTCCTCCAACCAGGTAAAACATTCCAAATTAAATGCAACAGAGACTCGTGGATTTGTGTCACTCATCTTTGTTATACTAGAGCAACATCACAAAAAACTTGGGAACAGGTTTGTTACTTGCCCACTTGCACCGGATAGCCTCACTGGGAAGAAAATGCTATTTAAAAATAAAAGGGTCTTTTGGGGTAGTGAACCTAGAGATTATGACTCTAAGAGGACCTAATTAAAGTTAAAATCCAAATTTATGAATCATATTTGTGGGCTGAACTGGCAACAACATGTTAACCACCAATGCATGTTAACCACCAATGCATGGGACAATAGTAATCCTTGTATTTGATAAAGCGCCTTCGACGCTGACATCTCAAAGTACTTCAAAAGTAAACTGTCAAGTGTAATTACTCTGCATTTGTAAGTGAACGTGGCAGCCAATTTGCACGCAGTGCTGTCCCAGAAATAACCTTGAGGTGAATGGCCAATTTTATCTGGAAGATTATTGGCCAGCCACCAGGAAAGACTCAATCCTCTTTTTTAAAAAAAATCAGGTCATGGATCTTTTAGCATTCACCTCAGCAGAGATACTGTCTAGACAGAGAGGATAACCTTAGTGCAGAGGCGATGGGAAACACCGATAAAAGGGCTAACGCACCAGCCATCATGACTAAAACTTGAGATGTTTGAAGAAATTTCAGATTAATGCGCCAGAGAATTAAAGTTAACAAAATTCTGAAAATGTATATTTATGCAGAAGATTGAGATCAAGGACTATCACTCAGTGCACTTGAGCAGCAACACTAGACACACACAGCACCATAAATGAAGCACAACCTCTATCTCTAACATCAGAGAACACACAAGCACCCCATTACACACACAATTAACTAGTTAAAACTGATTCACAGAGGATAAAAATAAGCAATGTAGCATACCCAAATGTATTTGTCTATAGAACAGCAAGCAGTACCTTGGTTGGTGTTGTTGTACTACTCTTATTTTCTTTGTTTTCCTTTTGTTGTCGGCGCCTAGCTGCCTCTTGTTCTTCCTGTAAATAAGTTTCAAAACTTCTCATCAACAGGAAGAGAGAATTGCAAACACTGGCCATTAACTCTTATTTTAAGCAAAAACTTACCCTGAGTTTTGGATTTTTGAGACTAGAAAAGTAGTTTTCAAGCTGAAATAAGAAAACAGTCATGAATAAGAGTTTTAAGTTCTTGCTAACCTGTATAAAATGTGTGTTGCTACATTCAGTCATCAACAAGGTGTAGTACTGGGGCTCCTGTCACCACTTATCTACCAACATTTACACCTTCTGCAATTCTTTGTGAAAGCACATTTAACAGAGCTCTAACACAGGCTAAATTTATTTTCTTGGGAGGACCTGAACAGTTCTATTGTGGATATTTGCACTTGTCCTTTGTTAACCTAGACTTCATTGTAATTTCTTCCAAGAAACTCACTACCTCAGCAGCTTGTGAAACTTCAAGTTCCCCTTACTGAGCAGAATGTTCAAAATACTGCCTTCAATATCTTAAAACCTAAAATAAATGTATTGTTACGTTGCTTTTTTCAGTAATGTATTGACACAGTGAATATCAAACATTACTTTTTTTTGATTGAACAAGATTTCATTGCAAATTCAATTGCACGATTGTTCAGCGACGGTGAATTCTTTCCATAAAACTAATATCTGGTTCAAAAGGATTCATAAAGCAGCTGTAAAAAGATTGCCCCAGCAATAAAATATTCAACCCATATCATTAAAACTCAAATGAACTGGGTGTGAGTCCAACCATCTGTTTACAACATTACATTTGTTTACTGGCCTAATGTGTGTTAAAAAAAATTATTCTGGAAACATTTGTTCAGAATAAGATTTCTGATAACAAATCTTATGAGAACCACAGATCTTTCAGAAGCCTTTTGTTAAATGAAGGACTTCCTGGACACATTCACTGGATATAATTCCTTGGGATATCCTCCTGACTTGAAAGGCGCTATACAAATGTAATTTTGTATTGTATAACAGTAATTTAACATGTTACTTACTATGGTTCGATCAATTGTATGCAGATAGTAGGAGACTGGTTTACCAGTCCATGAAACTGAGCCACGCAGTGGTGATAACTCCACAACTTTCATGATAGTGCCAATGTCTTAGAAAAAGCAACACACAAGAAAACAAGAAGTATTAGATAGCTAGGATGAATATTTAATAATTAATGTTACTTTATAGTTAATTACTAGTGCTGAGTTACGGGTAATGAAAGTTAGTCATTAAACAAGTCTGAAATAGCAACAAACTATTTCCACCATTCAAAAGCTTTCCTAATGCATTTAAAAATGCTCACTTCAGTGAAGGCTGTTTATTGGGACTGCATCCAACAGTCAGATTCAAGCTTTACTAGCAGATGATGGTCACTTATTTACCCTCAGTGTAGTTTCTTCCAAACCACAAAACCTATTGGGCAGGTCAAAATTAGCATCTACAATAAAGCTTACGAACATAAACTTGAAAGACATCTGTAAATGATCAAAGATCTTAAAATAACCTAAGAAAAATGTATAGTAGCTCAAATAGGTTTTCTGCCAAAATGCATCTCACTTTTAATAAGCATCTTTCTATTTCAGTGCATCCTCTATGGAACTGTTTGCATATTAATAATATTAACATTTAATAGCTAATTTTCTTCATTGTAGAATGTCAAACCACCCCTGAACTTTTCCTTACCTGAAGCCCAATTACATTCAACATTGCATTAACTTCTCTTGAACCTATTTTAAGCAGTGACGTAAGTTTGACGAAGGTTATCCAAAATTGATGCATGGTACACTAGGAGGGAGCATCCAGTAATATCGCTGCTCATGTTAAAAGGGGCTTGCAGAGCTTCACTTTCAAAAACACGCAATTAATGTTGCACTTTCTGCCAGCACGCATTTTAATAACTGAGAAAGTGCTGAGGGAACACTCCGCTCTTTATAACTCGGCAAAAAGAATGAGAGCTAGGTGATGAATTGCCACAAAAAGCACTGCATAACTCGGGACATAAAACACCTCTTTGAAGCGATGGCTAAATATTTTCATACGTACCACTCAAATTTCGACTGTTTATTCTGAAGTTCAATGGAGCAAAGGGTTTGGAAGAGACAATTTTGCCACCTGCAAAAGATGATGAATTACGAGTTAAATAATCTTCTTACACCCAATATATTTGGTTACTGAGCTATTTTTCTAAACAGAACATTGACAAGACTAATTTCTAAATCATAAATATCAAATCTTCAGCCACATACAAAGGAATGCACATCTTAGTTTTGTATTCAGGTGAATAGGTACTCATCCACATTTTAAAAACATTAACCAAACAAGCTTGCAAAAGGACAAAAGCACGTCAATTCTGATGTAAATAAAAGATACATAGCTACTGTATGCTTACCTTCCTTCATGTTTGCAAATCGTTCTTTCAGCTGGTGATCCACCTCAGGACCAAAGGCAAAATTATTCACAAACACAACACTGGAAAAAAATACTGAAAATATAACCTCAAGTCATATACAGTTGCATCACAAAAACAGAAGAAAATCAGGACAACTTTTCATATTAGGTTAGAATTAAACATGGAGCAAAAAAATAGTTCTACAAATTAACTTTTAATACTCAAATTTTAAACACTTAAACAATTTGTTCTTAAATTGCAACAAGCCCCACCACTGAATCAATTCCTACTCAATGCTACAAGGGATAAGCTGCATTCACAAATCAGCTTTAACCACAGAAACTTACAGGACAGAAAGATAGAGGCATTTCTCTTACAAATAAACAATATAAAAATAGATGTGGCACAAAAACATGCAGATCACCATGCACAAAGTTGACCACAACCCAGTTACGAATGTCACATTTGCGCGTCATTAACCTGAGTGAGAAACAATGAGACATATCCTCAATAAAGTTAACAAAACATTCTTCTAGGTTTATTAGGCAATACTGTGGGACTGGTCACCTTGTATTAGCAATTTTATCTCTCCATTCTTCTGACAAAAAGTCCCCTCTTTCCAGCTGAAAGGAGGAAGAACAAATTATACAATAAGTTATATTTGTGTATGCATCCTTCAGTTAGGTTTTCAAATCGATAACTAAGACGTAAGCAAGCACATCAATAACAATCTATGTAATCGTAGGTACTGGTACAAAAATCTCTTTAGTCCAACTTATCGAGTATAGTCCAACTTATCGAGCAAGTCCAAAATTCTAAATTCAAACTGCCCTACATTATAATAACTATTCTCTGCCAATATATCAGCCCATTGAAACACTAGATTTCAGTGTTACAGTAGTATTAAACATTTTTATTTCTTGGAATTTCAGAGTTCTTGATACCACAACGATCAATTCTTAAACTTTTAAAACAAATTGTAATCAAAGGTTCAACTTAATGAATGACAATGGGTTGGCAACAAGTGAGAGGAAATCAAGAAGCACATGTAGATCCACGGAATGTGTACTTGGGAGACCAAGGTAGGTCACGGTTTATAATTTCATTATGATGGGAGCAGTTAAGATTTAGAAATCTTTGAGTGACAATACTCACTGTGTACTCGCCATACTTCTTCCCATACCACCGCATCCATTTTCTGAATTCGTTATCCATTGACTGTTTACAGATGCATACAAATTTCAGGTTATACTTTGCTTAATATCATGGGCAGTTCTTCAAAATATACTTTGCAAAATGTGTGATTTACCTCTGCGTATTTTGCTGGGATCTCTGCCTTTTCTACACCATAATAGTGCCTGCAATGCGTAGCTGCAGCAACCTGCAACACTACTTGACCTACTCCTGGAGTAAAGAAAGTAAAAGAAATCGATAATGAATATGCCCCAATTTAGCCGATAAAAACTGTGCAAATAGAACGAGGAAGACATGCAAAAAGTACTGTCAATCAAATGTCATCCAGACAACATTTTTGATATCGTTCAGTAAATTACACAGCTAAACAAACGGAACTTACCACTTCCTAAATCAACAAATGTATCATCTTCCATCATTTTGATTTCATCAATCATCTGAGCAACTAAATCAAAGGATGTTTCTCCATAAACCTCAGGGGAAAAGGGTTCATAATTGTTAAGTTTCTCTGGATCAGTCACCGAGTGGTTGTAGACCTGTTGCAGAATATGTCGAAGCAGGCCATTGCAAGGCCGAGTGTTCAGTTTCATTGGTTGTGTAGTCCCTTTCCACTGTTTTAAATAACGACAGAAGTGGACATGCTCAAGCTCAAGGCAAGCTTATTTCAGAGACATGCATCCACCCCACACACTCCTAAAATGTACACAATTACCAACAATCACCCCATTATTTGATCAAATTCATAGAAAGCACTAAATTCAGTTTGAAAGTGCTTTGCAATGGCCAAATAAGGTACAAGTTGGGAAATCATATTTTATTGTTTCTCCTTGTTCCACCCTCCCTCCTGTGAATTAATTTAACATACAGAATTAAACACTGTTCCAATACATAAGTACATACCAATTGCTGAATGCTATCCATTGCTCTGTTGTACTTTTCACATAACTTCTGCATACTTTCAAAGCTAGAAGAAATTGCATATATAATTTCAGAAAAACAACGTTAAACATTTCGAAAACAGTTATTGAGTACAATCCAACGCAATGGATGATACTCACTGGCTTTACCAGTGACAACATAAAATAGTGTGACATAGAAACACTTGTTATCAATACAAGTTTGTGACAATGTTCGTACAGTAGTTGGCACAGTATCCCAGTAAACATTGTTAGACTTGAACAATGACCATTCTGTATTATTTATAAAAGACATGTGAAGCATTGATGCAATTCAGTATTAAATCTTACCATTTGGTATCATAGTCCACTAACACATAATTTTCCATTGCAAGTTTAAGATCCGGGACCTCCTCACAAACCCACCTGTGAAATAAAACAACAGCCTTTAGCTTACCTCAATCCACAAGTTACTTTTTTCTCTTTACCATTTCACATCATATCAGTAAACTACCCTGTGGCACTGTGCCATACATAACTAGGGGAAAAAAGCTTATAAACTCCGAGTCAGTCAACAGCTATGCAAACAAAGGAATATTTTTTTTGTGGGTCAGCCGGGTGTCTGACACATGCAGAAAACCATCACTGCGCTTAAGAGTATTCGAACCAAACATTTCCATGCATCCCACCTATATATGGAAATTCCAGAGATGTTCAATGGAATGGAATATGCACTCTGAAGAACTGGACTACCGAGAACGCCACAGAGGGTTGTCTCAATTGTGACATTCTGTTTCCGAACAAAGCCCATCGAAAAACAAATGAAATTGAAGTTCAGTCCTTACCGAATGGTTTCAATAATTTCATGAGCAGCATCGTGGTGTTTGTCCTGAAACAAAAGACACAACAATCTGTAAATTGCTAAACTTATTTGAAAAGAATTAAGATTCCAAGTTTTTTTTTAAAAAAAGTAAAATTTGCGACTGTGCTCAATATGCAGATGCCATTTATGCAAACCTGTGCTTTTGGTATCCAGTTTCAACAAATATTCAGTGTAGCTTATAAGTATAGTATAGTACAAGCTTATATGTATAGTAACTCCCTCTGTTCTAATTGTTTTAATCATTAGAACACAAACCAGTGTGACTTTTTAGTTTTAAAAGTTAAAACTACGAATGTTGGAAATATTAAATATCCGTTTAATGATTGCTAACCTAACAATTTTTGAAGAAACACATTCCTATTTACAGGAACATATCTAGCCTATGAAAAATTCAGCACTTGCATACTTTTAGAAAGAACCAGTGTTGGGTATTTTAATATTCAAATCAGATACACCAGGTGCATCTTATCTGATTTATATTGAGAAAATTATCTGTTTGAGCATTAACATTTTTATCATTACTCCAGCTAAAATCTATTGTTATTTACCCATTTAAAATTTGTATTTAGAACCATAGAAATTTACAGAACAAAAGAGGGAAAGCCATTCAGCCCACCGTGTCTATGCTGCCTCCCTTAAGAGCAATCCTTTCATGATTGGTTTAAAAACTCATCGCCCCAAGGAAAACAGCTCGAATGACTACTTATCAGTGTTGACTAGTTGTCCAAAGTACAGTAACTATAAAGTATAAAATACTCGAATAGCTAGGATATTGAGTGAGTGACTACATTGTGGTGTTCGCGACTTAATCCAGGGGCAAACCCAAATTTTGCCACTGTAACCACAGATATTTCCAAGTTTCATCTAAAAAATACTAAGAGTAACTAATTATTTCAAGTAATGTCCGATGAAAAACACCAACCGATTCTGCTGTCTGACTTTATGTTTTTTCAATATGGTTAAGAAATATAATTCGACCCGACCTGTATATTTTCAATTTCTCCCACACATGGTTTGTGACTTTGTTTGGGGAAGGGGTGTAGGTCTAAGTTCTAGCACTTTATACAAAGGCTGCATCTGTAATTCATTGTAACTATGGGGATTAAGTTCAATAGGAGAGTAGGGCAGCAGGATAGAAGGAAACACCCTCTTCAAGAAAAATACTGAACCCACACAAAGAAAACTTCAAAGAATTTGTTTGAAACTTATTTATTTTCCAAAGCTCTAGCTTTTTTTCTGGTTTCAAAGTTTCACTTGCAATGATCATATCTATGGGCATCAAGGTCCAGCCTGCAGGAGAGAAAGACAACAAGACAGATATGGGTGGGGAACATTCTCCTCAGGAGAAACGCTGAACCCAGAAAAGCAGCTTCAAAGATCAGTTCCAATCTTACTTTTTCTATAACCCATTAAATGTGATATTTGCTATGTATAAATCTTCTCACAGTGCTTTTATAAATGTATGGTAAAAGAAAACACACACACTTGGTGAGGATGAGAAATTTAGAGATTATCCGACCAGTTATTTTAGATTGAATTCAGTCTTTTATCCTCGACCATTATTGACTGCAAAATATCCTTAGAATCTCACTGCATCTCAATTCAACCCAACGATTGAAACTTTCAATGTCTGATAGTTACAGTCCAGCTGCAGAGATGACAAATTGCTTTCAGCAAGTCCCACTGGGCGCCTGATCGCTTTTACCAGCTTTGTAAATCAATGCAAACATAGATCCATTATATTTTTAATTCATTTTAAGAACACTCCTCAGAGTGATGCTTAGGTGAACCTAAGCTCAACTCATGATCTGGAAATCAATGTTCCTCTACAGTGAATCATATTTGCACATATGGGCCAAATGGATGGCCACCCAAAAGATGAATCACCAAATGTTCTTGCGTTGAAACTTGTATAAGCTTTACAGCAACAAAAATTGTGCAACATCAGCAAAATTAAGACAGTCATCATTATTGTTGGTGATTAGAAAGGATCCACCGAATTCAATATGATTTTGAAGTCAGATGCCAGGTTGGACGAATACATTGCACAATCCATTCCTTAATTGCTCCAACAAAAACAGGCAACTTTTCAAGCTCCTCCACATAACTATAAGCCTCTGATAATCTTCACTGTACTCATTTGATGTTTTCTATAACAAGGTGTCCTATACAACTTGAAAACTTGCAAACCCATTTTAAAGTCCTGTGGATCTGTACTCCTATAAATTGTTCTCCTGCATAACATCAAGGTTAGTATTTGGGGTCTCCATCTACTTTGTTCATTCCAAAATGCATTACTCGCCATATTTCTGCATTAAATTCGATTTTTCACTGCCAGCTAATGCCCAGATCACATATGATATGTAAAAAAACCTATACTAGTACTTAGAAAATTCATTTGGGACATCCAACTAATTACAACATTACTAATGGTTTTATCGGAGCTGTGCTTATTTCTGCAGAAAACGTTTGGACATGCATTTTCCCCCAATTTTGTTTTTTAAAATGTAGCATATTAAGCAAAAGTAAAATACCACATAGCATTTTGAGCGACACAGTATAATTATCAGTCACTGGAGACTAGATACTTTTACTCTCTGCACAAAAAATAATGAATCCAAAACCAGCAACAACCAGAGGATATTGTACAGAAGGTTGAGAGAGCTAACTCGATATATCTCGCTGCACTCAACTGCAAATGGAACTGACCCAACAAGTCAAGTATGTGGAATTCACAAACTCAAGATATGTTGTATTAGGAGCCCCATAAAGTTAACCGAAAACACAAGACTTTCCAATGGAAATGAATTTTCAATCAGAACATCTTAAATACATATACTTAATTTTATTCACGAATTGCTAAGTTTGGTCTTGCATTTCCTTGCTGACAGTTCTATTTTATTTGTGATCCTCAACTCCATGAAGTAAAACAACAGATATCTACACACCAAATATTCACGTCTACAGGGTTCTGAAACATCAAGCAAAACTCCAGATGTATGCATGCACACATCACGGAGCATGAATAGGCCCTAGTAACCTTGCATGTATGAGCACTAGAGGTAAACGTTGATGTACTTTTTTATAAATAGGGTTAGGGTCAGAGGTACATGACATCACATGATCTGAGTGTCAACAGACCCCCCAAATCTACCAAAACAAATGCAATATTCTTGGGCAGGTTTTAATTGCATTTGGAAACATTCCTAGTTATGTTTTTCTGCTGTACAATAAAGTATGTTTGAATGTTCCAATGCCTTGTCTACAACAAAAACGGTTAAATTGCAAGACACGCACAACAGATTGGTGAGGGTGGTTGACAGCAGTCTTCCAACTTTTCACCAAGTAAACAGCTTACGGTAATTAAATATACAGTATTAGTCAAATTACTAGCTTGCGATATTACGTGGCATTTCTAATAAAAGGAAAGGTAGGAAGATACCACAACCTTTCAAAAAAAAAACGGTTCTTTCCCAGGGCTAATCTACTGGGGTATCGTTTTGAGCCAACAGCTGTTTCGTGCTGATGTGCCAAAGTGAGTCTCCCTTCCCACAGCCCAGAAGGACGTCAGCACTGAGCAAAGCACTCACTATCAAATAATAACAAGGCATGATCCTCGGAACAGTGAAAGACAGGCAATGCTCACGCCTAACCTAATATTTACCCCAACTTTCAAAACAAAAACATGTTTTTAAACCCGCATAATTTTTACAAACGATTTCAAGAAAAAGAAATGGCATTTGCCCGCCGCCGGGGTCCCTTGAGATAAGACACCGTCACAAATCATTATAAATGCCACACTTCAGTGAAAGCAGCAGTCCTCAGGAATTCCAGTCATTCCGGAGTCATAACAAGGCAGTTCTAGAAAGACTTGACACTTAACGACTCGTTGCGGCAATTACAGCCTCCGGAGAGCAAGGGGAGATGCGGGAAGGAGGGTGGAAGAGAGAGAAAGAAAGCAAACACAGAGCAAAAGGGAGGAAATTTAGCACGTGCTGCAGCCACTGTAGAATCGAAACTACTGTATAACCCTCACTACTCAACCCCCGAAGACACACAATTACAAGCACTGTACATGGAACCGTCCGGCATGAAAACGCACATACACAAGATCCCATTTGGTCTTAAACCCCCCCCCCAGGTCTCAACCAACAATCTACATTGAACCCGAATCCTCACGGCCGTTAACCAACCCTGGGAGGGGAAAGTCCAAATGAATCATAAAAAAAAGTCGCTGTGCCAAACACAGACACACACACACACCCTTCCTTTGCTATTGTACTGAAAGATTAAACGCATTCCCTCCCCACCCAACCTATGAAATAAAACTCGTCAATCGAGGGTGGATTTATTTAAGATCCCAAAGACTCATTATTACTTGAATCAAACTCAGCATCAGCCAGCTCAAGCAGACTATCCCAGTTCCTGTCTGCCTGCCTGCCTGTCTCTCTCCCTCCCTCCCTCCCCAAGTCACCCTTTGAACAGAGGACAGCCGGAGAGAGAAATTAATTGGGGCTCAGCTCAAGCTCCAGGAGACCAAGAGAAAATAAACGACGGCTTGTCGCCGGCAGGCCGCACGCACGCACGGCACGGCACGCAGGGCGGGCTGACACCAGCTCGCAGCCGCCAACACGTTTCACCCGCAAAAATACGGTCAATTCCCTTTACAGTATATTCCGTGGAGCAACTTTGAGACGTCTTGAAGACGTGATAAGGCGCCGTACCAAATGCAAAGGAGCATGACTCCCCCCCCACAAGCCAAAGCCAAGCCTGGGGATGGGTGTGGGGTGTGTGTGTGTGTGGGGGGGGGGGGGGGGGGGTACACAGACAAGCAAACACACCAACCGACAGAAAGGCAGACAGACAGACAGACCGACCAAGCGTCGTCTATGGTTTATTTTTAAACACAAAAGAATTCCCCCCTCGTTCTTTCTCGCTCTCTCTCTCTCTCTCTCCTCTCTACAACACACACACCGCCACCACCACACACACACACACACATCCATATAAAGCCCCAATCTCACTGTAAATGTTGTTCACGAGCCATAAAAAAAACAAGATAGCAACTTAAAATACGAACAAGGGGGACTCGATCCCGTGGGTCGAGTGAAGGTAAAAGGGAGGGAGTGGGGGGGGGGAAGAGAGAGAGAAAGAGAGAGAGAAAGGAGAGGAGGGGAGGAGAGAGAGGGAGAAAGGAGAGAAGGAGAGGAGGATAGAGAGAGAGAGAGAAAGGGAGAGAGTTTAGTGGGGAGAACGGTGTTGTTGGCTGGGCCCAGGGCGGCCTTTTACGTTCCCCCTTTCCCCCCTCTCTCTCTCTCTCTCAACCCTTTCCCCCCCTCTCTCTCTCTCTATCTCTATCTCAACCCTTTACCCCCTCTCTCTCTCTCAACCCTTTCCCCCCTCTCTCTCTCTCTCTCAACCCTTTCCCCCCCTCCCTCCATGTTGCCGCCGGTCGGCCCCGCGCTTAAAACGGCGTCTCTTTTCTAATGTCTTTCTTTCCCTCCCTTTCTCAACCCCTCTCTCTCTCTCACTCTCTCTCTCACACACACACACACGAACACACACACCAATCCCCCCAATAAACGAACGAACACACACACACACACACAGAGACACAGAGAGACAGACACAGAGACTTACATAGACTGGTAACGGCCAAGGATAAACGGCGGGTTCGGCGCCCGCTGGGCTTTTAAGACGCAATTCGTGCTTCTCACCCATGTTCCTCCTGGTACTATCATGCTATTGTCTTTTATTTTGTGACGATCGGAAAAAAAAATTTCCTCCTCTCTCTCTCTCTACCCCCTCCCTACACCCACTCACCCACCCCACCACCTCCTCCCTCCCTCCCTCTCTCCAATAATATAGATATATATATAGAGAGAGAGAGATGAGATCAATCTTAAAAAAAAACACACACACACACACACACGCTCTCTCTCTCTCCCTCCCTCCCCCTACACAAAAAGAGGAGGAGGGAAGGGAGAGATGAGCGTATGAGCGAGTGAGTGAGTGTGTGAGAGAGAGAGGAAAGGATGGGTTGGTGGGAAGGGGGGGTTGAGAGAGAGAGAGAGAGAGGAGAGAGAGGGGGTGGGGGATGAAGAAGAGGAGGGAATGAAGAAGAGGAGGAAGGAATAATGAAGAAGAAGTAGAAGGAGGAGGAGGAGGAATTGGAAGTCCGAAGACTTTTTTTTAAAATAAGAGAGAGAGAGGGAAAGAGGGAGAGGTGGTGGTTGCTGAGGGAGGGGGGAGGGGGGAGGGGGGAGAGGGAAATGTGTGAGCGAACTGACTGACTGACTAACACACACACACACACAAAAAGAGAGGGAAAGAAAAAAAAAGGCGGGGAGCGGGAGGGTTGAACTTGGCTTCCTCTCTCTATTTTTTTTTACCCCCTCCCCTTCTCTCCTTCCCTCACTCCCTCCCCTTCTCTCCCTCTCTCTCTCTCGGTCGCTCTCTTCTCTCCTCTTTCCCCCCCCCCCCCCCCCCTCAAAAAAAATTTTTTTTCTTTCCTTTCCTTCTCACACGCGCGCACACGACGAATTCGAACGGGAGAGGGAGGAAGATGAAGAGAAGAAGAAGGGGGGAAAAAAAATACGACTGTAAAACTTCCTTCTTATTCTGGTGGGTTTTTCCTCTCTCTCTCTCTCTCCCTCTCTCTGTCCGTGTGTCTGTCTCTCTCTCTCTCTCTGTCTGTCTGTCCGTCTGTCTGTCTCTCTCTCTCTGTCTGTCGGGCCCTCCCCTCGTCACATCCCCTCGGCGGCTCGCCCTCCTCTCCGCCGCCGCCACCACCGCAGAGCCCGAGCCGCGGCCGCCATCTTGGCCGGCGCCGAACCCCAGAGCGAGGTGGTCGGGTTGAGTCGAGTTAAGCGGAGGGAGGGAGGGAGAGGACAGCCAAGCGGTTGGAAGCGGGGGATTGGAACAGCCGAGCGCGGGGCGGGAGGGCGGGAAGGAGGAGGGAAGAGCCGATTGTGCTCCCTCCCTCCCTCCCTTTGGACTGTGCCAAACACCGGGGGGGGGATCCCACTGTCTTTCTACCCCTCCGCTCCCCGCGAAATTGACCTCCCCGTCGCTCTCTGACGCCTCCTGCAGGTCAAATCGCTGCTACACACCGCCACCGGGTCAGGGACCGGGGTACCGCTCCCGGGTGAACCGTTGCAAGGGTCGCCACCCCCCCCCCCCCCCACCACCACCGCCAAAGTCACTCCGTCCTCGACCCGTCTGCGCGCGCGCGCGAGCGGAGCGCGTCATCCGGGAGAGGGAGAGGGGGCGGGGCGGGAGGGAGAGGGGGCGGGGCCAGAGCGGTGTGGGCACGTGACTCGAGCACAGCTGAGCACAGCATTAGGATATATATGTGTGTGTGAGTGTGTGTGTCCCATTGCTCCCCCTCTGAATAATAATAATAATAATAATAATCCTTCCATTTGGTACGGCGCCTGATCCCGTCGCCCCCGAGATGTCCAGACCGACCGCTCCTCTCCCCACCCACCCATCGTCCGCCCCCCCCCCCCCCCCCCGAGAGAATGCACAGTCACTACACTTTACCGCAATGTCCTGTGAAGCGCTTTCGAGACGTCTCAAAGTCGTGGTGAGGCACTATATTGGAGTGGAGTCCTGCAGCTCAGTGCTATTATTATTATTATTATTATTATTAGAGCACTCGCTTTGCAAGTGAGAGACCTGAGTTCAATTCCAGGCAGAGGGCGAAACCTCGGGCAAGTTTCCTTACTCCACACAGAGCTTAATAATAATCCCTCCAAAACAAAAAACGATAATAAATCGGTCATTTTCAATCCACGACTGTTTGTGGGACATTGCTGTGCGCAATTGGCTGCCGCGTTCACCCACAAATATACAGTCAATTCACTTTACAGTGTGTTCTGTAAAGCGCTTTGGGACGTCCTCCCAAAAGCGCTATATCAAATGCAAGGATTATTATTTATTGTTATATTCTGACTCAGAACACCAATAAAAGTCAGGCTTGACACCTAAACAACACTGTTTTGAAACAAACTGTGGGTGACCAGAGTGACTAGGCATCGTGATGCCACTACTTGAAAGAGCACGAGAATAACAGGGATCTATACAATACCCTGTGGTGAGACATTTGTGCTCTGCAGAGCGCACCCAACTATTATGCAGCTGTGATCAGCAGCTTTCCATTAAGGGGACTGTGGAAGGAAGCAAAAAAACATTCTATCTCTCTGATGCACTGCATTTGAGCTCTGGTTTATTGTTGCACTGTGCATTTGGGTTTTAGCACAAATAACTTGTGTTTATCTCTACTGCAGTTCATAGCACTATATCACCCAACCAGTCTTTTGTATAAGAAATGGCAGGACCTGCTGAGTTGCGGGAATGTTGTAAAGGGGATTTTGGAAAAAGTAGCATTTTTTTTAACAAGACCCATAAAAAGACCCCAAACATTCAAAATTGCAGAGATAAGAACATGTTTGATCCATCAAATGCATTCTCTGAGTTTGAATTGAGTTCTGCACACAGTGGATGCAGAGAAAAAGCAAATTATATCTCAGTAGTTAAATGTGTGGCGGATGATTAGAGCATCATTAAAGCAGCTCTGATTCCACAGTTCTCCTCTCCCTTTCTCCCCAACTTGTTGCCATCTGCAAATGTTCTTGCAGTATCTTGCGCTCAGATCGCAATACAAGCAATATTTTTGTGTTTCCCTTCTAGAAACAAAAGTTAATATTTACGGGTTATGACAGTGATAAACCAGATAATAAAATGATTAGTTGCCATTACTTCATAACGAAAAACAAAACACACAGTCACTACACTTTAGAGTATAGCCTGTGAAGGGTTTCGAGACGTCTCAATAACGTGATAAGACGCTATATCAAATGCAAGGATTATTATTATTATTAACGAATGCTGGCAAATCAGCAATAGTGAAATCTTTCATTACAGAGAATAAATCACAAGAGGATGCTGAAAATTAAAGCATTGAGGCATAGAATTAAGTTCATCAGAAACCTGCACTGCAGATTTTGTGCTGGAGCATCCAGAAAGCAGCAGCCCATGGAGAATTTGCTGCCAACCACCCAATTACCAGCTAAAAATAATTTCTCGGATTAAAAAAAGAACCATTCTCATAATTGTCTAGCCTTTAGAATGGTAGTGGATTGTCCCCATAACGCACAAAGAATGACGTCCTGCAAAGACACAGGACATAATGGGCCGAATGGCCTCCTTCTGTGCTGTATAATTCTATGATTCTATGAAAGACAAGCAGGACAAGAAGCCTCAGATTCAGTGTTGTGAAGGATAAGATATATCAGAAAGTATTTCTTTACGCGGAGGGCAATCAGGAGGTTAAAATGGTTACCAGAAAGGTTGAGAGGTAAAGACACTGGACGCATTAAAAAAAACAACTATAATGGGAAGACGGCGGGGTTTGGAATTCAAATCAAATGAGCTGAGTACTGTGTCAAGGTGGAAATTTCCATGTCCTGGCAATAATCCCAGTTTCGGATTATTCCGATTCAGCCTCTCCGCCCTGAAACTATAGAACTCTCTTCCTCAATCCTCAGCTTTGCCTCCTCTTTACCCGGCTTGAGATCATATGCAAAGACTTCCTCTTTAGTGCCTACGATCACCTCCCCCTCCCCTTGACTCGGTGTCAGGCTCCGCCACTGTTAAGCGCTCTGAGATGCTACCCCGTGTGAAGAGTGCTATATAAAGTCAAGCTGTTGTTGATTTCCCTATTGGACTGGAGGGATTAGTTCCTGTCACTGTTCAAGCGCCTTGGGATGTCCTCTCGATGTGAAAGGCGCTATACAAATGTAATTTGTTGTTGCTGGGGCACACCAACAATTACGTGGAACTACCACACATGATGCTGACCTGAAACAGAATAATTATTTTGCGTTAACGTCACAAACAACGTTAGCAGAAAGAATTCCAACGGAACTTGTAGCATGCCGTACCTATTGTAGTATTACGTGTGGTCTAACCTAAAAACGTCACGTGCAGAACACCACATCCTTATCAGCTGCTTCAAGCGTTCTTCCCAGAAGACAAGAAGAAGAGAAACCACTTATTATCTGGCTATGATGTTGTAATTTAACCGTTGCTAGAACAAAACCTTTTGCTTGCGTAGAAGTCCAAAGGCGAGGTAGAGGATGTGGAATGACGCTAAGCACAGTGCTTGGCAGGAGCAAGTCTTCAAACGTACGCGTGAGCTAACACTGAGAGGAATGGGATCCTAGTATTCAAACCAGTTTCATCAATGATTGTCCCTTACCTCCTCTCTTTCAAGGTACGTCTCAAAACGTATCACTTTGACTGTACTTTTGCCCACAAAATATACAGTCGCTATACTTTACAGTATATTCTATGAAGTGTTTTAAGACGTCTCAATAACGTGATAAGGCGCTATATCAGATGCAATGATTATTATTTATTATTAAATTGCATTGTATTCTATTCAACAGAAAAAAACTTCATAACTCACATACGTGCTTGCAGTGCTGCTTAGCACTCCATAACTCTGAAAGCTTTACCACAAGTTGCTGTGATGTTATTTATTAGCAGTTATTTAGGGTAAATCAAAATTATTTTCAAAGTTATATCCGCTTTTTTTCTTTTGTGAGATAACTTCTTGTTGTACCTGCCTCCAGAAAAAGTCACTAAACTCGGCAATATTAGGGCTTTGGGACATTTGAACATTGTAAGTGCTTTAAAATTGCAAGTTCTTTCTTTGTATATGGCAGTTTGACTTAATAATAATAAACCTTGCATTTGATATAGTGCCTTATCACGTTAATGAGTTGTCTCAAATCCCTTCACAGAATATACTGTG